TGAAAAGGACCAGCATGGCTTCGTTCCACCCGAGGACGACGAGTACACCGTACATCCAGTATGGAATCTGAGCGACGCTTGAAACCGTAGAACGCTTTGCCTCGACGTAGTACGCGTCGGCATCGCGGCGGAACCGGGACGTAATGTCGAGCTGCTTTGGCTCGGAGAGCAAGACGAGTGAAGCACCAAAGTCAAACTCGTCCGTCGAGCCCGCAGCGAGCGCTGGCGGTAGGTCACTGTCAGATGGAATGTTGTCCGGAATCAGCGAGGCATCGATGGGAGCAATCTTGGCATAGATGGCAATCAACTCGAGCGTCTAGGCGCTGTTAGCCTTTGTCCAACTACTAATCAGAGACGCACCTGGTCTTTTGCCTTTTTAAAGATTCCGTCAATGTCGTCTTCTGGCTTCCATACACGCGGGACATCGTTTTCGTCGTAGCGGAATCGCTCTTCAAACGACGCTCGGAGTTTGGCCAAGAGCGCTGCATCGGCCGTGTGTTCTTTGGTCTTGTTGAGAAGGGCTGTCCATGCGCGTCGTCGTAGCGTCTCGAGTGCTTGATTGTTTTCCTCTTCGGTACAGTTGAAGGCTGTTAGAGATTTAGCATGCATACTACGTCTTAGTCATACATACACGCCGCCTTGGTGAGATAGCCAGATTCGGCTGCGCCAAGGAGCTCGTTGAACGACGAGAGGACACGGTCCCACATGTCTGCTCCGGGCTTGTTGAGAGCAACGTCGACTGGATCTGCGAGTTGTTGCCTCAAGGCTCGCTACATGGAGTGAGTTGGGCCAAGGACGCGTAAGGACACTCACCTCGATCTGGTTGACCATCTTGGTCGTCTCATCCTTGCGGAAAACATCCGCCACATGGCCAAGTTCGGTGAGGAGAAGCGATTTCTCCTCTTCCCAACCACCATACCAATCACCGCCCCTCTCGTCGACGACGCGGAGCATTTCGACAGTGCTCGCCTCCCAGCCTTGCAGACCAGCCTCGCGTGCCTTGGAGACGACGTCGGCAAAATCGTAGCCTGCATCCCCCTTGAGGGCGTCGGCCAGCGCCTTTTTGAAACGAGCGAGCGTGAGCTTGCTGAGGTTCTTGAGTTGGGAGTAGAAAATCGGATGAAGTGTCGTGTGGATCGTGTTGACCAAGTCGGAGCGCTTCTTTTGATAGACGGCGGCGTGATAACGAGAAGCGGCATGGTCGTATGAAGCTGACATCCATGAGCACAGCACCGTCCCTTTGGACGTGAAAAGGCTTACCGAGTGCCGTCTCCTTCCAGGTTGCCATCATCGCTCCAAGTCCCTCGACAACATTGCCTGCTTCGACGGGCTTGCGAACCCCACGAATCTCTTCGTTAAAGACGGCAAGGGCCGCGGCACCAATTTCGTCGCAACGGAATTGGGCAAGGAGTTCTTGTTGTGTTGGGAGATCGAGGTCCTTGTTGGATTGAACTTGTTCCTGAGGAGAGAATAAGACGGGGTCTGTTTGGACAATGGCCACCTACCCAGATCCCCTCCATGTAGTGGCTGACACCATCTGCGGGTATACGCTTGTGGTACGCCGGACGAAAGTAGGTCTCTGTTCCGCTTTCGCCAGTGAAACGTTTTCGGAGGTCGAGAACGGAAGATTCGAATTTGTCCGGCATAAGGATCTGGAAGACTTAGTCTTCATTTTGGTTAAAAGAGAATGGAGCCACCTTGTGAGGAAGCGTCTCGAATGCCATGTCGAAATAGTCGTCGAGACGAGCAGCGGTGAGACCCGGTGGTTTTGCGAGATTGTCCCATATCCTGTTCATATCCTGGGTGAGGGTAGCCTGCAAGTTGGCGAGCGGAGTTGATCCAATGTGGTCGCGAATCACAAAGAGAAGGAGGGTGCGCTGCGTTTGACTGTTGGGGTCAGCAAAGGCGATAAAATGCCGGGGGTGGTACGCACTCTTCGCGCTTGCCAAATAACCCAAGGTTGACTTCGAACACAGTCTTGAGCAAGCCCATGTTTGCTCCCTGATAGAGACCGACTTGGTGCTCCCAAAGGTTGACGATGAGGACCTAGAGGGATGAGAAAGCCTGGTTAGATGTAAAATCCCAAACGCACCTCGCTACTGGCGAGAGAAAAGAGAGCGCTCTTGCGCTCAAAATCCTGATCTTCGCCGCGCTCGCGTCCGTCTGTGCCCTCGACGTCCATGACGAGGAGGGGTGCGGTTTGTGCCCGACACATCCAAATACCTAGATTCATTAGACGTATTCAATTTCTCAACAAACTATCGCACCCTTGGTCGTTTGCTGACGACGTGATTCGTCCATAACGTCAAAGGTGGTACCAAAGAGTCTGTTAAGCAGTGTACCTAGCATAGCATTGTCAGTCTGGATTCTGTTGTATTTTGTTGAGATGAGCGAGGCGCGTCCGTCACGACACACCGGCATGGGGACACAAGCGGCGTGGTGAAATCACAGAGGACCAATGCGACGCCGAAAAAACGACGCTCACTCTTTCCGGTGCTTTGACTGCCAAAGACGGCGACAATGTTGTAGGCAAAGCCGACGTCTTGTAGACCCCATTTGTCGATTTGTTGTCCGAGATGAGTGCTACAGACGCAAAAGGAGAGTTGTATCAGCAAATGTACGAGTCTGTAACCGCGTGCAGTGGGCGTACTTGAACTGTTTCTGTTCGTCTACGATTTGAATGCGCTCTGCAATAGCCTGGCTGGTGGTAATAGCGCCATTTACACCGTTTGAGAGGGTGGAAATGCCAGTTGGGACGGGTGAAATCTTGGAGTGGGCCGAGTCTGGTCGTAGGGTGGGCGACGTGGCGGTTGTAGACGGCGCATAGGACGTCATTAGAGTCTATAGTTGATATGTAGATTGTAGGCCGGGTTTCGGGGTGTCGCAGTCGTCACAAACTGTGGTGGTCGGGTCAAAGGTGCGTCTGGCGGACCCGACATAGATAGCTTATGATTCATTTCATGATTACATTAGAGACATTTGAAAAGCACTCCATCTCACCACGCATCCCTACCAAGGTGGGCGTACTCGAGTCCGCCGCTGAGACCATGTCGGACAAATGGCCCCTTACATCTTTAGTACTGAGTGTGAGCGATTCCTGACAATATATCTAGTAATTGGGGAAAGTAATTCGTCTATACAGGAAACGAAACTACTATAGATCGCAACTCGAGTCCGTTTCTCGTATTCCTTTGGGACTCTACCATTATAAACGCCTTGAGAATGTATATTCTTCAAGTCACAGAAATTTATGGAATCATCTTGGGATGGTCCCACCAGCTTTGATAATATATGTCGACTCGAGGTAAATGACCACTCCTCGAGACTCTGTCATTCCACTACGTCGTTTGCGACTCGAAGAATGGGTACCTTGTTCGAAGAGGACCACGCAAGGAGATTCAGAGGCGTAATTACCCAGACAGTGCTCAACCCAAAAGGCACCCACCTGAGAGTGCCCAGAGAGGTCCCTCGACCGGATGACCAAACCAATTGCTGATAGTACTCCTAGATGGATTTAATACGAGGTCCAGAGCTACTGGGTAGCGTGACCAGGAACCTTTGAACAGAGTGGGTACGGCGTGCTTGAAGAACACGCTTGGAGAGAAGAGAGATCGATCAATGAAATACAAGGGCATGAGAAAGAAATCCGGCTAACTTGTTCGGTCCCGCGATTACAGACAACGCCGCCCCGTTCCCCTTTTCGACCTAGGACTGGTTGATCAGGCTCCGTCGGGACTGCGTCACTTCCGCGGTAGCTTATCCTTTCTCAGAACCACCGCTCCAGCAGAGTTGCCCCGTCTAGACTTTGTCCGCGTATAGCAGCCGACCCTAGGGGGGGTATTGGGTGGAGAGGCCAGCTAGCCGAATATCTGGACATAGTTGGCCCTGGAGGTTGTTAGACGGAGGACGTGTCATTCTCTAATCTCGTCAATCTTATTCACCAGGCTCAGAGAGGCAGGTTGCTTTGTCGCCAATTTCCAAACGGCCGCGGCTCAACGGTTGGACTCTTGCCTCTGTAGGCAATTGTACGTTCCTCGTCGAGTTGAGCATCCTACACGACGCCCTGGTCATCTCCGACCAATCCTACGACAGTCTGGAAACCCCCAGTGTCCGCCCTCCGACGTCGTCGACGTGTAGACTGCGCCGGACAGAGTTTCAGACGTCCACGCAAGTCTATTTCAGTGTTAGATCATCTTTTGATCGCGCTAACTGCGTATTTTTACCGTCAAATAGGCTACTACGCAGTTCCGCCATTGCGTACTATCAACACACGTCTACGCGCAAACGTCGACGTAGCAAAGCGTTCAAATCATACTCTATATTCAATCCGACACACTCTACTCACTAGGTTTGTCGTCCATTCCCTTCTTTTCCCTCTTATTTCTTCTTTTTTCTCTATCAATCTCGCTGCTCGCCTCTCTCTCGCCCAATTCTTGTCTCAATCTTTGCATTTACACCATAATCTGCGCATTCTCTTGCTCGTCCTCGACGCTGCGCACGATTCTTTGTCGCCGCTCCTCCGCTCTGTCGGCCCTTGGAGTTGCCGGCCGCCATGACTTTGCCGCTCGTGCGGATCGCAAAATGCGCTGTCCGTTTGGTTTCTGAGCGACATCGGGTTACAGAAAGATAAAGAGGATTCGGTTTGCATCCTCAATGCGCTCCCGGCGCAGGTCTATTGCAATCCAGACTCGTCGGATGAATATCCGCACGTGGAACTCTTTTCATCTCCTATTTGCCTACAAAAGTCCATTTTGACATCGGCAAATGGGTCTCGTCCAATCGGTAGACTACTTGGGAATTCCAGCCTTTTCTCGGCCAGCCTGAATTTCTCACCCTCCCGGCCGACTCTATTCTCCTTCTCCCCCCTTCCCCCCCTGCGCTTCTATGCGCGCGCGGTTGTGCCGTTTCAGCGCTCTATCAGACTGTATACAGCACACAGCGGCGCATCACTGGCAGTGCTATAGTCGGTCCGATCACAAAGCCGATTCCGTTCATCCTTGTCCTCTTGATGGTTACCATCTCCCCACCACTTTTACTCTCACCCATCTCGTCACGACTTCAACCCGCCACTCTTTTTGCACGCTTGCTGACCCGGCTTTTTCTGTATCCAGTCTTTCTTCTCTCTCAAATCACACGGAAAGGACGGAATCCGTCTTATTATTTCTCGGTCCTATTTCTGCTTCCAACAGTTTGCTTTGTACCACCACTCGGATTTTGCACAAACGGACACCAACTCGCCATTTACGCGAGACAAACACTACTTACCCAAACGTCAAAATAGAGGTCAATGGCCTCTGCAATCCTTTCAGCCTTTCCCCGACCACCAACACACATCCCAACCTCTCCTCTCCCACAGACACCCGGTTCCAGCTCACGACCTACGACACCAAGTGGGAGGCGAACACCTGGTGCACCATCTGCGCATGAGACTCCCTTTGCATCCACGCCCATTCTCCCATCAGATGCAGACGCTGCAGGCTCTTCAGCCTCAACGACGGCTGCACGGAAAGAACGTCGTCGGAGCCGTGGTGCATCCGCCGCTCCGGGCGCATATCGCGGCGTATTCGTCGGTGAAGAAGCGATGATGCCACGCATGAGTGTCGAAAGCACCATGGCCTTTGCCAATGTGGATGGTGCGAGTAGCCCTACCGAGAGTTCGTTTAGCCACACGACGTTTGCGACGGCGACGACGAGTGCGAACAATCGGGAGCGTGTGGGCCATTATGAGAATCTGCGAAGGACATTGCTCAATAGTCCCAATGGGACTATGAACGGCGAGAGAACTTCTCAATATTCCCAAGGTACCGCCGATGGATCAAGTGGCTCCAGCGCCCACGGTCACCTTGCGCTGCAGACGCCATCTGCTCTGAGCTCGCGGCCAAATTCGTTTATCGGTGAGTATCCTACATCCTTTTGTTTCCTTTTTTTCTTACCACTTACAGGTCCCGGAACACCTCCGTTGAATGTCCCGCTCTCTGCCTCTGCTCGTTTAGCCGCTCTTCGAGCAAAGCGCACCGGACTCAACGCCCTCAACATTACCTCACCACCACCAGGTGGCCACATCCCACTCGGAGATGGTCAAAAGACACCCGGAAGCGGTTCGTACGCCTATCGACGGCAAAGCTGGGGTTCAGTATCCGCTGCGGGCCCTCCTCCGACAACACCGCTCCCACCGATCCCTACAACACCCATGGGCAGAAAGGAAAATCGAAAAAGTATCAACCTAGCATCGCCTACCCAGGCTTCTTTCCCGTTTCCTAAATCGCTTGGTCCGGGAACGTCTACGGCCGCCACGACGCCGACGACTGCGACGTTTCCGTATTCAGCCCCGTCGGTCGCCACGTTTGGTCACGGCATCGGTGGAGCCGCGAGTGTGCGAGACGGAGAGCATAGTCGGGCTAGTAGCTTTGGAAGCACGGGTGATATGCACAGGGGTGGTGTCTATACTTCGACAATGCCGTTGAAACTTGGACTAGGGAATGGGAGCGTCGCCACGTTTGGAGGCGGCGGGAGTCCTAGCGAGTTTGGCGGAGAAGATTCGAATCCGTCCATGTCTGGTACACCCCCACGACAGAATCGGCCCGGACATATGCCAAATTTTAGTACGTCGACTACGACGTCAAATGGAACGGCCTATGCGGCGATTGGCAGGCGGGTGACGCGTTTGTCCACCGAGAGCTTTAATGGTGGGCTCGCTGCCATTGCCGCTCTCAGCCGAGTCGATTCTGGTACCGGGTCGCAATCTAGTAATTCTCCCAATGGTCCGATAAACAACACTATGCCCGCTCCTCAAATTCTCGGCGTGGATATGGACGACGAGCCGCTCGATGTTCAAAAAGAGTTGGAGTTGTTGAGGAGGGAAAAGGCAGAACGACGCGTCTCGAGTGCGTCCATGTTGTCCAATTTTTCGACTCGAAGCAACAATACGTTTCGTGGCGCGGCGAGCAAAGTCATGGACGTCAGCCCCGAAGAAGTTCAAGACGACGAAGGTGCAGAGTTGGCCGGTGAGAGGTTGTTGGGGAGTGTGGGTGCTGGATTGGAAGGACTGGCGAGCACGTGGGGTCCAGGGAAGCGTACTCAGAGCGCGCGAAGTCTAGCGAGTGCCAAATTGGGTATTGGAACCCCGCCCACTTCCCGACCTGGGAGCTCTCGTGGGGACCGATCGCGTCCGACGAGCTTTATTAGTTCGGTCCGCAAGGGATCGTTGCTCGCTGAAGGAGAAGATGTCAACTCTCGAACTCAGTCTCCCTCGGCTGCCTCTCTTGTTGCGCCTTCGCTCACCCAATCGATATCGCGAGGACATTCGCCTGCTTACCAATCAAGTGCAGCCACGACCCCGTTCAACACTCTTCCACGGTCGCAATTACACCAATCGTACGAGGAAGACGATGCCGACGAAACAATCACCCTGAACAGGGCGCCCAGTCTCTCCAGCAATGGCCACCGTGCGACGGCTCGCGAGAGCCTCTTTTCTCTCTACGCTCGTAGAGAAAGCGACGACAGTATCCAGACGTTTGAGCCGGGCGTAGTGGGCTCTGGGTCGACGTTTGCGTCGAGGATCAGTGAAGAGATTGAGAACAGAAACTCTGTCGCGAGCTCCAACTCGGCCCACCTTATGATAAAGCCAAAGGGGACGTCTTCCAAGCGCACTGTGCCTGACGTGACGCTCGAGGATGCAAGTGATCCGAGTGGGAAGACTCCCATGGCTTTTCCGAACAAGCCTCTTTCGGATGATCACCGATCGACATCGAATATACACACATCTGTATCCGTTGAATCACACGAGAGCCAGGACCGGCTAGTCAACATTAGCGTATGGGACGATGCCGCACCCGTCACGCCCAACTCGGCAAGCTCACACGCGACAGCATCACCCAACGGATGGCTCGGTCAGCTGCCAAAGGGACCTGCTTCGAACAACGTGGAGTCCGCCATGGACGAGAGCCTCCCTCGCACATCGATATCAAGCTCGCATTCGGATAAATCTCGACTCGCACCTTCGACCTCTTCCTCTTCTGCGTCTGCGTTGACGATTACGCCTGGCACTGCTTTTGCCCCGTCGGGTGTCTCGTCCTCCAAGCCCAGTCTCGAATTGGAGAGACCGAGCTCTGCCATGTCATCAGGTTTGCAAACTCCATTTCCGGCGCCGCCCGCGCTTAATGTCCACCAAGCCACACCGCTTTCTTCCGAAACATCGCTTGCAATGTATCAGTATGAGGATCAAGACGAAGAGGACGATGTGCTTGCCTCGCCGAGTGCTGGACGTGATCGTGGGAAGCAACAACCGGCCGCCAGGACCTCGCGCAAAGCTCGTGCGTCTGAAGATTTTGCAGTCAAGCTCGAACGGGAAATGGCGCAAGATGGGATGCAAGGAGAATTTGCATTGCTTCAAGAAGTGGCCGTACGCGAAAAGCGCATGAAGCTAGCGCTGTTTGGACGTGGTGGGCCCACGCTCAGTCGTCCCAAGGATCGAAGACCGCAGTCAATGGCCGCGATTGAGAAAAAATTGCCGGATTCGCCTGATCGGGAGGACTCGAGGGCGGATGGGGCGAGTAGTCCAGAGATTGAGGAGATGATTCGGCGTGGACGCAAGAGTCTGAGTAGTGCGCAGAAAAAGGCGATGCGGAGAAGACGAAGCACGGGTGCGATTCGACCTTATCCGTCGGGAGAATGGAGACGGAGCGAGGTTGACCGTGCGCTTGGGTTCATCAAGCCTGGCGAAAGTACACGCAAGGCGATGGATATCGATCGTGATCGTGTGATGGTACGAGACTCTGTTGTGCTCGAGCTCCCTCCGGAAGAAAAATATCGAGAACCCGAATTGGAGGTGGACGAAGGTGCCGAGACGGACTCGAGTATTGATCTCCACACTCCTCTGGTATGTCCAAACATCATTGGCTACACGATTGGTTACTTATACTTCATGTAGCCGCGGCTGATGCTCAAGGACGGTCTCCTGTCACCGCATTCCAAAATTCTAAGGCCACCAACACCCGAGGAAGAAGTCCAAGGGTCAAGAATGTCGATCAGGTCTACCCTCAAAGTACCAAAGCCAAATGATAAGCGCAAACGGCGCCATCGAGATGGCAAGCTTCTTCGAGAAGGTGTTGGTTTGACGACTGGTCTTGGCTGGAGTGATTCGTACGTCTCCTTTGTTTTTTGTACGGCTGATCTAACTTGGATACAGCGAGGACGAAGATGCACCGTCTCCATTGACAAGGCGTCTGTCGACCATGACGCTCAACTCGACCATTTCCCGCAAAGGCTCCATGGCCTCGTCTATCAACTCTTATGGCGGAAGCTCGTTCCACCTCTCCCGCTCTCCATCTATGCCCTCTATCCCATCTGGCGCAACCATCTCCAGCGCTTCCCTCGCGTCGAAACATAGTAGCACCAGCTCTGGATCCGATGCTACCTCTCGTAATGAGGTTCCTCGCACACGCGCCGTCGTGTTTGTCGAGCGAAGTCCCTATGGTCAACCACCCGTCACCCCCAAACCCGCTCTCAAGCCCTCTGCGACAATGTCCATCATCGAGCATGCGCAAATGCTTCCCACGGCATCGCTGTTCAAGTCGAGGAACCATCCACTTGCCTCAAGCAGTCGACATCCTACCTTTAATTTTTCAATGGGAGATCGACGATCCAGCAGCCCTGCTGGTAACTCGAGTCAGTCGAGCAGCGGTGGGGTCATTCCTCCGGTGACGCCAGAGGCGGACCGCATGCCCTCTCTTGGACATGATGCGATGCTCAAGGACATGTCGACGCCCGAAGATCTTCAAGGAGCAAGCGGGGCAAGTTCGATTGGCTTTGGGTCAGCGAGCATTAGCGGTGCCGGCGCTGGACTTGCGGCGATGGGACGTGGTCGGAGTTGGACGAGTCCACCGAGTCCATCGCCCGTAAACGCAATGCTCCCAGGAGACGATGAAATCACCAAACCTACGCCTCGTCCTGCCGAGGTTCGGTATAGCGGAGGAAACTTTTCCTACCCAACCGCCATGCGACAAGTACCGGGTGCTCCTCCAGCCACACCTGGATCCGAGACCAAGAAACCAGATGGATTGAAAAAGCCTGCACCGCGCGGCCTCCAGATGCTCACCTTGCCGACTGTTGTTGCTGCTGGAGGACGGCTGAGCCCACGAGCTGGTACATTCGCTCTCCCAAGTTCGCCAAGTCTGCAAAATGGTGCGACTACGCCCAAGAAGAGTGGTCTTCCTCTTCCCGGAGGCAGCCTGTCAAAGAGTTCTGGAAACATCGCAGCTGCTGCATCTGCTGCTTCAAGTGCTGTCAGAGCTCGTTCGGGAAGCACAGGGAGCACGAATGGGAATCCCGCAATGCCTCCACTCATCTCAACTCCCATGAGAACGAGTAGCCGAATGCCCCAATCGACTATTCCCCGCAACCGAACGTTGAGCGGAGGCGTTAGCGCAATGATGGTCGCTCCTGCAGAACCGGTTACCCCACCTCTTCCTCCGGCACCTGCCACTGGATCCATTGGCAAGAAAGGGCTTGGATCGCTTCGCTCCATTGTCTCGTCTCGCAGTACATCCGAGACTGCAGGATCCATCCCCCGCATGCTCGGCGTTGCGCGAGCAACCAGTGCTCCTGGGAGCCCACCGACTCGCATCGCACCCCCCTCTGTGACGGGCAAGACTGGCGCTGGCATGACGTACCGCAAGTCTGCGGGATCTGCAACGGAAGCGGCCGGCTTCACACCAATGAAGTCGAAGATTGCCACGCCGCCGTCGTCCACCTCGCGATTGGCCGCCCCGAGCTCGTATACGCTCACTCGCACGCCTAGCACGGCAAGCCTGACGCCCTCTGTCGTCGGCGTCGCGCTCTAGATTGACATTCACTTTCGTATTTCATAGGTTGTCTAATTCCTACGGCAAGGCCGTCTCCACACTCCTTTTCTTCTTCCCGCTGTGGTATATGTAGTTGCCCTATTGGCAGTCGGCCCCAGTTTTTGTCCTTCCTTGTTCCATAGTGCTCACAGTGGCCGTCTGCCCAATTCTCAATAGCTAGTTTTGCTTGTCGTCCTTGATCTGTAGTGTCGCGCTCTCAAATGCAATCGACTTGTCTGGATACTCGCGTGTATTTTGAGAGGGAGCAAGCCGGTTGCTTTTCATGTACATAGCTACAGAATAATCCGGATACAAATAGAGATACAAGAGTGATAAGTTACTTTGAACCCCAGAGGTTCAGAGCCGATGAGAGGATGCGGACGTGGTTCATCGACGTGGTAAGGATAGACGACACGTCGACAGGTGGAGTCATGGACCTCGGGATGACCTCTTGGGAACGCTTGAGTGCGAGCTCAATGGCGTCTTGCTGCTGGCGGATGGGAGCAGTGAGCTTGTCCATGCTGCTGTTGAGCGTCATGACTTGCTCCTCAAATGTCCACTCGGTATTCAGTCTTGCCGACTCGGCAAGGCTGCGGTAGACGCTCACGCAGTCGTCTTGGAGCTGAGCCATCTTGACGAGGAGCTCCTTTGGCGTGATTGGTGGGTTCGGGAACGTGCTCTTCTGGAGCGCCGAGAGACGTTGCTTGAACTCGCCCAATGCAATCTTGCGGAGACCTTGGAGGTGGACGAAGTAGGACTGCATCAACTCGGAGTTGATATTGGCCTCTAGCGTCGCACGGTGCTTGGAGACAACCTCGGGGTCATAGACTTTGACTATAACATCGTATTGTGCTGCCAATAATTAGAATTGCGAAAAACGCGAAATGAGGACACTTACCAAGAGCGGTATCGCGAGCTGTCTCTGAGCCGGCCTTGAAGTCTTCACCTCCTTGGTCGGGGTCAAGCTTTTCCTTGATGTAACGATTCGCCATCTTGAGAGAGGAGTTGACAAAGATGGGACACATGCGCTCGGCAAGAGCACGGCGTTCATCAGAAACGTTGACACGGCCTCGGATGGTACGCTAAGAGGCGTTAGAATACTCAGAATTCGAAAGGATGACTCGACTCACCCAGACGCGCTGCATGTGGTCGAACACGTCCTGGAGAGGGACATCCGACGATTGCTCGGTTGCACCAAATCCATCTGGCCCGACAGTCTTGAGATTTTGAGAAAGGTTGGAAACCTGCTGGAAATAGGCGGTAGCATCTAGTTTCTGGAGATCCATTAGCGTCGGGCGTAGCTGCCGGCGTAAACTTACTCTATGCGCAAGGGTATCGAATGCAAGTCTGACATAGTCGGTCAATTGCGCCTCTGGCGACTCCATCTCGTCAGCCACGCGACTCCAGACCTCAGTGATGCCTCGGTTGAGTGCAGCTATGGCGCTCTCATTGGAAATGCTTTCGTCCCAATCCCGAATGACATAGAGCAAGGTCACGGTTCGTCGAAGTCTATTTTGGGTCAGTGCTATTCATGTTTATAATAACTTTACTCACGAGTCTTCGTCATCATATCGCTCTAGTAGAGTCTTGCAAATGGTCTCGAGCAAGGCCTGGTGCTGAGTAGCGTGGCGAACAATCTCATCTTGCTTGAGGTTGATCAGAATGATGGATGAGACTGAAGCCGCAAACTGAGCAAGCTTGTTCTCGATGCGCGAAAAGGCAGCGCCGGTTCTGCCTTGCAGGTCGAGCGTAATGGCACGAGACTCGGCAGACCATGCATACTGAACACCTGAAGCGTTGTTAATTTCTGAACAAATCTTCATCACTAGTTCGCACCAATAGTGGTCTGCGCTGCCTCCATGCCCATCGTGACGAACTGAGTGCCGAATGTGTCGTTGAGCAGGGTAGCTGCAATCATCAGCTTCAAGTATAGAGAGAACAAAGCAACTCACTGCATCCTGATCCTTGGGAGCCGAGAACAGAGACAATGTTGTACTCGGCACCGATATTGCTTGCTGCTGCGGCCCAAGTAGGATCTTCGTCGTACCTATCGGCGAGGAGATTGTCAGCACCTTACTCACACCAGACAGCATCTCGGCTTACAAAAAGTTCAACTTTGCGTCGATGAGTGCGCAAGGCATGGTCGACTCGACGTTGGAAGAGGAGGCCATAGTCAATATGGGGTCGAAAAGATCAAGGTCAAGGTTGAAGGAAACAATGGCTAGTCGTAGAGCGTGGACTGGAGAGTATATATACGCGCGCATATCTCGATCCAGACGGTGGAGCTGCTTCGCGGGAGGGTTGGGAGAGGCGCGCAGTGTGGCGTACAGCAGGCATGAAGCCGCAAGATGGACGCTTGTTCCAAGGAGAGCTCGGTATGTCAAAGTATGCCACGGAGGGCAGCGCACCGCACGGTGGACTGCCTCGAATGCCGCGGACACGAGGCCACCTTCAAGAGCCCTGATGGCGATGTATGATGACTCGTTATAATCACTTGGGTCGAAATAGTCTATGATAGGATTAGGGCACCTCGTACTGCTTTAACGCTAAGTCGGTGAAGCAATGAATGGTGTGAGCGGGATACGTCCCATATACAGTATGCAAAGGAAGCGGTATCGCTTGTGAATCTTCGGGTCTCTTTGGTCGCGAATAACCTTGGCACGTTGTACTCTTCTTGGTTTAGAGGCAATGGACCAGCCATTAGACAAGGACTCTTATTGGATGGTACTCCCTGCTACCAGACGTCAGAGTGCATCTACCAATCAATAATACGGGACTGTATTTTCAATACCAAACGGACGTCTTCATTGATCCAACGTCTGGGATGTGAAGATTCCGAGTGGCTTATAAGCTGCTGTGATAAGTGACATAGGGTATACGACTACGATCTGTCACTAATAATCCCTGTTCGAAAGTTCAAAATTTTTTCGCAGGTCCTGTGAAAATGATAGAAAGGATTCAAATCTTCTCCAGCCTCTTGATCTAGATGGCTGACCTGGTTCCTGAAGAAGCTGATAGGAACGACACGTTTGTATTCTCAACGGGATCCCATCATGATTGAGAAATACATCTATCTTAAGATTTCCAGTGATTTCACATGGCTTTCTGACTAGGCGTACATTCTTTGAAGTCTATGTGTCAGATCTGATTGCGTAAGGGCAGGCTTCCGACATGTGGAGAAGGTTCTGGAAGTATAGATTGCTCAGATACGACGCCATCCTCCCTAGAGTCTGCAATACTCAGCGCCTTGGTCAATTTGCCAGGCTCTTTATCGACAGCCGGTCATTTAGATTGATCCGAGCACCTCACTCAGCATAAATAGCCCCCTTTGATTCCTCTCAAGAACGCCAACAACAAATTAAACATCTTCTCGCCTTTTTCTTTGCTTTCAGCGCTGGAAGCGCTTGCCTGGCGTCCTCACCGGGTTGTTATGGACAACTCTGTGAGTGCGTAAGGAGACAGGCCATGGACACGGGGCAACCTGAAAGGTCGTCTCGTGTTCATTAACTGTTCAGTCATTTGAACTTCAAGTTCTGTGAGCCTCGCCTGGTTTATGGTATACTACTGTATCTAACATCCATCCAGCCCACCCTGCCGAAAACATTTTCTTCTCGGTTGGGTTTTGGCTAGTGGTCATGCCACGGCCTTGTCTTTTCTAGCGGCTGAGTCGCCGTCTCCCTCTGCTATATCATCCGCAGTCCCCGCCAAACGTTCAAATTCACACCGTCGACCTTTACTTTGCAATCTGAGCCGTCTTCAGCCCTCGTTTCCAGGCCACTTTCGAGGGCAGATGGGGAGAAATAGGCTCGATTGAAATGGTCGACAAGGATAAGCAAAGTATTGGGAGTTTGCCTTCCCAGAGGTGATGATAATATCTCGGACAACCTCTCGTGACATGACCTGGCGGTTCATGGACGGAGTATCACCGGATGGACGGCGACCAATATTTCTTTCACTTCATTACTCTTTCGGGTTTGGTGCGTCTGAGAGTTCGATCGAGGTGGCACTACTGATACGGTTCTAGAGATTTGCTTTCATTCTGCTTGCCTGGCAGCGTTTACCTACCCGTCTCGGACCACTACGCTGCCGGAATCGCCACTAGACGTTTGAGAATGCAATTTGTGGAAGCGTCGTCTACAACGGTTCTATTAGTAGCTGGTACTCGAGAGATGTAGATCTAAATGATGTCGGCGAGGTATATACACAAGATATGAAATGCCCATGTACCGAGCGGCGATCCGTTGTAAATCTGATCCAGGACCTTGGCTGCCCACCAGTCAGCTTTGAACCCAACAAACGGCCTGTCCGGGGATTTACACCTCAGGCGTTTCGAGGCTCGAGGCGGGGGAATTGACTGTGCGTGAGGGCGAGGCGGCCATGGCGCTAGACCGAGTCGGGAGTTGTTTTGTAACGTGAGTAGGAAGAGGGACTGAATCTAACCATTTGGGAATATGGAATACTGGACCCGCATTGGTGGCGTTTGATCGACAAGAGATTCCCTTATTGCCAGAGGACATGAATCATTAACACTGCCATTTGCAACTTGGCCACCACCACAACTGTCTACTCGACAAGTCTAGCGCTTACCAGGCGCACCCCGACGGCCTGTAGCCTTCCCACGGCGAGCGACATCCTCTTTTTTGCAACAACGACGCGGGCGGAGACGCCGGTAGAGGCCCTGGAGATTGCATAATCATCGTACAAGACTCAAAGATGGGTGCTGCTGCCTCTCAGTGCAGCTGCATTTCCGCAAATGACTCTGAAGACGTCCGGACGAGCAAGTCGATTGATCATTCGCTCCGAGAGGTTTGTCATCGTCTATGAAAACACACGAGAGAATGCTAACTAGTCGTCTTTCCTCGCGAATCCATCCCGACGAACTCGGCCGTGACGGAAATGAAACGTGACTACGACCGCGGGCGGTGAATGCGTTATGGACGATTAGACGAGACGCCATCTCTTGAATACGCCCAAGATATTGCTACTCGGGAGTGGCGAGTCTGGCAAGAGCACCGTCCTCAAGGTATATGGCCCTCCTATGCTGCAATACTGGGTGCTGATGTCTCCATGCGTTGCTTAGCAAATGCGTCTCATCAACAATATTCCCTTTACCGAGAATGAGCGCGAGGCGTACCGCGTGCAAATCTTCTACAATCTCGTCAACGGCATGCGTTCCCTTCTAGACGCTCTCCGGGAACTCGCGCCTCTCGAGACTGAGGAAGCGTCACAAGCTACACAGAATCCGATCCACCAAGTCCCTGTCCACTCGCACGCTATGCACCATCACCGACCTGGTGTCGTTTCGCATAATCCACCCCCACCCGTCTTTCCAAACGCAAATGTCAAGCCACGCAAGCCATTATTTGGTCCAGTCCCGCCCATGAGCCCTAGTCCCACCCCACCGGAATCGACCGACTCGTTGGCGACCGATGAGACTGAAGGGGAGACTGAGGGGCGGAAAGAGGACCCACAGTCTTCGTCTTCACAAGCACAACAAATCAAAGAGCAGGAAGACGAAGAGTCTAGATCTCGGTCGCCGTCCATTTCGCTCAACTTGTTCGCTTCCGGCAGTCTTACGCCACGGCAGCTTTCACTCTTACACGAGCTCAACTACCCACCCGACCTCCGTCCTGGGCAACCATTCCCAATCGAGTTTGAGGCTGTTTTGCGCGAGTGCTGGTGGGGGGTTACGCCAGATGAATACGCGGCGCTCTTTGACCAGCACCGTCGACAGGCGACGCCATCGGAAATGAAACTGACACCGACACTTCCCGGTGCCGGCGCTCAATTGGACAGGATAGCCATCGAGTCGGGGGTTGCCATCCCAGACAACTTGCCCTACCTCTTTAGCTCCCCGCAACGCCTGGCCAGCTTTTTCCACCCAGACTATATGCCCACAGACGAGGATATTCTACGCTGTCGAGGCCGCACCACTGGCATTCAGGAGACTGTATTTCATCTCGGAAAGGACATAGGGGGTGCTTTAAAGGCCGGTGCTGGGGCGGGTGCAAATCAAGATGCCAGAAGACGGGACCAATTGCAGCCGCTCAAAGTTGCAGTCGGCAAAACTAAATTACATTTGGTCGATGTCGGTGGTCAGAAGAGCGAGCGACGAAAGTGGATACATTGTTTCGAAGGGGTTACTGCCGTTCTATTCCTCGTCGGGCTTAGTGGGTATAACCAGGCAAGTGTCCCTGTCCCCCTCTGAGCTAGAGCTGAAACTCCCCAAGGGGCTCATCGAGGATTCGACCGCGAATCAGATGCAGGATGCCATGTCCCTTTGGGACGGTGTCTGCTCGAGCCAGTGGTTCAAGAATACCGCATTGGTTCGTCTGCAACCGCTGGAATTGACAAAGAAGGGGGCTCATCAGCGATAGATACTTTTCCTTAACAAGACCGACTTGTTCGCGGAGAAGATTGGCAAATTTCCAATCAGAACGTATTTCCCAGACTATGGTGGAGACGATGACGATGCTGATGCTGCCCGGGAATATTTTCGAAAACGGTCAGCACGCTCCTCATTGATTGCGGCTAGTGCCCCCTAACGACATCTCTAGATTTCTAAGAATAGCCGTCAAAGCTACACGCAACATGAACAACGCTGCGGCGAATGCATCGAAAAAGTCTGCTAGTCACGAACCGCTTTCGTCACGGGCAAAGTCGACGAAGAGCAATTCATTCTCAAATTCGCTGGATAACAGGGATACAAAGCGGAAAAAGCAGAGCATGCACGGCGACTTGAGTCCAACCGCCACCACTGGGACCGCTGGGACAACGACGATGAGCTCGCATGGGCAGTCGACACTTACACCTAGCACGGCCCCAACCTCAAACTCGTCCCCGCGCTCCAAGGACAAGGGCAAAGGACGGGCGACGGGGGAAGCGCTGGAAATGGGCCAGCGCCCGTCGCCTACTGCTGGCTCTTCGCGCTCTCGATCTGGACTGCTTGAGGAACGAGAGCGTAAAGAGTCTTCACGAACTGCCCGGACGCGCCAGGACAGTGTGGGTCAAAATGCGACACTCGATTCGACGGGCAGGAGAAGCGCACCCAAGGAACTCTCTGTGGGCATGTCGAGTCTGCCAAAGAGTGCGACGGGTGGGTCTGCGGTGGGCAAAGGTCGATTTGTATATACGCATTTTACAAATGCGACGGATACGGATCAACTGCGAGTCGTCATCCTTGCAGTCTGCGAGTGCGTAATTTCTTTCTCATATCTCATTTCGACCTCGTCCGCCTTTCGCCGTCTCATTTTCTTGATCATTTACCATTTGTGTCCCCATCGTTCGATCTCGTCCTAATCTCGCCTTTTTCCCTCCAATATTCCACTCTTCTTTCGGTCATGTTCTACCAAATACCGGCTAGTGGATGATGGCTGACATTCTTCCCTGTAGCATTATCCTCCGAGATAATTTCGCAACGGCCCACCTCATCTAGTGGGGTCTTTCCGACAGCCTCGTTCGACTTGTCCTCTTTTTTGTTTCTAGATTTATATGTCGTGTTTTGAGGATCGGGATCTTGGATATCTTTCTTTGTTCGCCCATCTTGCGTCTCCGATTCTCGCATTTGCTGTCTATCCAGTCTTGCCGTCTTTTGTTATTCCCGTTGGATATGTACATGTTCATTATCTCTCTAATGACATGCATATTTGTCAGTCGACCCTTTTTGGATAAACTATCGGGGTTAAGGTCGTGTTCGGATGCTCGGTCGTAAAGACTCTTGTCCCCGTCCACAACTTGACCACGACCAAAATCCCGAAAACCAACAGCGTGTCGAAGAGGACGAAATATCAGACACATTTTGTACATTGTCGGATTCCGACAAATTGACGTGGAGCCCATCGTCTGTGGACACTTAGACGCCACGACGGAGGCTGCGACAACGGAGGCGGACAAAGGAACTATCCAACGTGCTTTTAATCAACATATAAGCATATTTAGGTCGTTTCGACGCAACGAACTGCCCCGGCGCCTGCACTAACGAAGAAAAGAGGAGATTAACGAGAACCTGGGCGTCAACTAGCGCATTTCTATACGCTCATCTGAGTGAGTACCATCTTCTCCTTAGTCCTATCGCGTGTGTACAGCATGCCTGGATTTAAGACACTTTACGTCCGACGCCGCCTCGTCGAGCCGCGCTGGCGTTATATTGTCTTGGCCGACACCGGCAGCCACTCTCCGCGAATAGACGGGCAGGTTACTGTATAATCTATATGGAATGGCGTTGACCAGTGTGTGAAATTATCCAGGTTGGCCCCCCGTGGGAAGAGCTCAGCGGAAGCAGGATACCGGCAACAGCGAGGCGCGCGTCGTATTATAGGCACATGGCCCATACGAACCAAATCTCGTTTGGCTTTACTGTCCCCTCGCAAGGAAACGAGTTTATGAACCGGAATCCACCAAACCAGGGCAAGATTCGAAAAAGGTCATCAGAGGATGACGAAGATGGCGATGAAGCTGCGATGATCAACGACGACGACGATGAGGATGACGAAGAGTATGGAGAGGACGGCGAATATCTACCTGACCACGCTGATGGTCGGGTGAGTCGACATTCCCTTGCTGGTAGTGATCCGTCCAATGCGAAAAGTGGGAATCACTACCAGCTGAGCATCCCCTCTGGTGATCACTCTGGTCTTGGGAGGAGCGCCAGTACGGGTAGTCATCCAAAGGATCACCCAGCCGGTGGGAGCGGGTCCAAGTCTGCAAAACCAATTGTATTAGGACCAGACGGCCAACCACCGCCCAAGAAAAAGCGAAGAAGGCAAGCCTTGAGCTGTACCGGTAAGTGCCTCTCTCTCTCCAAGCATTCAACCGCACCCCTCCATGTTCATTGCGAAATGGAGCATTTGCATCCTCGCATGACACTTTCGTGGATAGATGATTGGGCTGCGCCGCAGTTCCAACATTGGGTGTCAGAGCTTTGCCGAAGCCCGCCCGTTTCTGGGATTGGCCCCTCGAATTCTAATTTTTGTTACTCTATCATACTGACTGCTTGGCAACCCACCCTGCAAAACAAATTCACCGATCCCTGCAATCCGACCTCTTGCTTCTAACGCGGTTGCATTTGCGCTATGACGACGATCAACTCCCTTCTTCCCACTCTCCCCACATCAATGTTGAAACTCGACGACGACACCGCGCTCGCGTGCTGGCATTTCTTTCACGCATAACGGACATACGCTTTAATGTCCGTTGGAAATGACAACGATCATCTCTTGTTCGTCGTTGACACGCCCAACGGACGCGCTCCCACCGACACGCCTCTGAATTCGACAAATCTTACGGCAGAATGTAAACGCCGTAAAATCCGCTGTGACCGCGCGCACCCCTGCGCTCCCTGTACGCGCCGCGGCGATGCCGACAAATGCAAATGGAATATCCTCGAACCTGCGTGAGTTTTATTCTTTGTTTCATTTTATAGTCTCGTGCTACACAACGTGGTGGGCCCACTCTTCCCCAAGGAGGTTTGTGGCGAGGTGGGATGGCTAAGTAAGCTGTCGCCGCCACGGCGGGTTTGGTACTATATCGGGGCGCAGACGGATGAATGGAAATGCCGTACAAACGGACATAGTGTTGTCCTCGGTCGGCTTCCTAATGACAATGTCAGACGCCTATCGCGTCTGTGCTTCGCCGTCGTATCGCAAGTTGCCTTGGTGGGCATTCCATCAATCTAGAGTTGATGGCAGATTGCGCACGCTCTCTGTCAACGGCCTTTTCGCCATCCAACTCCTCTCACAATTGCGATCCTACTGCGACTCAACGTGGTTTGATCGACCCCGAGTCGCTGCCAGAGGCAGTTTTGAATGCTTGATCACAGAGGCGAACCTTGATTCCTGCTAGCGCTATTCACACATCCGTACTCAGCGGAGTTTGAGGCTGTTGCAAGCGCGCATGATAGAAATTCGGGCCCTGTTTGTGATGCCTCTTAAGCATCGCCCGCACAGTTTCTCTTTCTCCCTCTCTTTCTCCGCTCATTGTGCAAATGCTAATTCCACCCAACGACGCGCACGACAATGCCCTTCAACTCGTCCTGTCACCTCTGTCACCCAACGTGACGTTCACCGTCTCCTCCGTATGCGATGGACAACTCTCGATTCGAATTGGCGAACAATGCCACTCTCGCGATGCGCCCAACCTTGGCCACGGTTCCTCACTCAGTGACAAGTTTGTGACGAGGAAAGAGTACGACGAGATCAAGGACTCCCTCAGTCGCTTGGAGAACATCCTATCAAGCACGGGCGGTGAACGATTACCAGGCACAACAACCGAGCAGGTTGCGATTATCGTCGACAAGGTCAAGAAGCAAGCGGGCTTGTTAGGAAAGGTTATCTCCGCCACGAACTCGAACACGGGACCCCAGCCCATCATGGTCAATCAGCACCAACAATCACAGAACCACATGACGCACCCGGAGAAATCTTACGATACATACGATACGACCGACCGATTGGATTCGTCAATGTTCCAATCTGGGCCCAGTGGCATCCAGTCTCACCATCATCACCCGGCTCGGAACCGAGCGATGATAGATCCGACGTTTGGCAATGGCACGGGGATTGGCGATCTGCCTACCGCGGGAAACAGTCTCGGACATAGTGGCCCTATGCGCCACGGTTCCAACTCGACAACGAATGGACCCACAGGACTAGGGTATGCGTACCCTCAGTTTGCACTCAACGTTCCCTCACAATCGCCGCGGAGTGATGACGGGTTTTACGGACGCCCACACTCCGGTTCCGTCTCCTCCCAAGCTCAGCCATATGCTGGGCATTCATCACAACGTTCATCCTCTCAGCAACATGGAAACCAACATCACATGCTACCATCACCTTCGCATACCCTTTCCCCATTCTCGGCGACTGCACCCACTATGTCCGGGCCCTTCCACCCACTCGCATCACAATCCTACCACCGAAGCGGGCCTAATGTTGGCCCCACCGGGAGCGTGGATCTTGGTGGGCTTGTCGTTGAAGACCAGTCGTCGAGTTCACTCCTACGCGCGGGGCACCTCTCAACTTCCTCACTCTCGACACTTGCACATGTCGCAAACTCGACGCGTCCTGGGTTATCGCTGATTCCACCTCATTCGTCTCCCGTCCCTAGTACTGGGGCAGAGTATCCTGTTTCGTCAACTCCATCTGTAGGCACAGTGACCCTTGCACCTATCACGGTCGAGAGTCAGACGCGTGGCTCAGCCAACTTGCCGGGAACACACGGTCCACCCGTGGAGTTGACCGTAATGCCCCCTCCGATACTTCCGCCGGAGACAACGGGTGCAAAGGAGGCGGAGATGAAGCGGATTTTGCAGGCAAATTTGCCAAGGAAAGAAATTTGCGATCGACTTGTCGCTCATTACGTGAGTCTTGATATAGCAAGGACAGATTTGTAGAGGCTAACATTGATTCATGGATAGTTTGAGAAGGTCGAATGGTCACTCACTCTTCTTCACCGTCCGACTTTCATGCGTGCCTATGAATCATTTTGGCTCCTCGACGAATCGCAGCGTTGTAGGGTGGTCTTGTCGACCCCCGCAACGTCGACCACCAACTGGGGGACGGGATTCCGCGCCTCATTTCTGCCTCCAACCTCTAGCTACAGTGGCTCCAAGTATGCTACTGCGGCCGCACAGGCAAGCAGTGCTCAACAGCAGACCTCATCGGCTACCGAATCGTCTCGCCAGCCACTTCAAAACTCTGTTACGCCATCATGGATCTCCCTTTTGTTTGCCGTTCTCTGTGTCTCATTGGAGAAGATGGGGTTCTTCAATTCCAAGGTAGATGACTCGTACAATGACGCCAAAGATCTCACGATATTCCAGGTGGTCGGAATCACGGCTGTAGACGACTACAGAACCCAGTGCCGCTCATTGTACGATGCGTCGCAGCGCATTATGGTCGTCATCGATTTTGTCAAGTCGCCTTCATTGGAGATTGTCCAGGCCCTGTATGTCTACATACCAAAGCACAGTATCGTTTGCTGACAGAGGATGGTAGTGTTTTGCATACGCATTGTCATCAGTCTCTCTCGACAACCAACCCTGATGCCAAAATTGCCACCATTGTTTCCGCTGGTATCCGCGTCGGGATGATGATGGGACTCAACCGCCTCCCCCCGGAATCCCAAGAGACGACGCGTCGTCCCGGATTCCTAAAAAGAGAGGTAGATCGTTTCCACTATCACATATCTATTTAGTGACACTCTTTCCAGTTGGGGAGGCGAGCGTGGTGGAACCTGATTGAGAGAGATTGGAACCTTGGGTCCCAAGTTGGTCGAGCATATACAATTCATTCGTCGCAAAACTTCACAGAAGAACCAAATAATACAAACTGGCAAGATCTTAGTGCACGTAGTAGTGCGACACCCTCTCCACCCAGAGGGACCTGGACTGTGCGTACTACCAATGACCCTAGACTTGAGCTAACATCACGCAGAACTCTTCGTGCTTCCTTGCACGTATCGACCTCGCGCGGTTCAACAAAGACATGGTAAATAAATGCTTCGAACAGGGATACTTGGGCTTACGCTACCTAGACTGATCAATACAACACCTGCGAAGGTGTTTCTTACGATCAAATGTTGAAGCAAGAAGCCGCGCTGCAGGAAACGGTCCTTCGATTGCCGCCTCAGCTTCACACTGCCGACTCGGTTGCCGAGGAAGAAAATCCCCAGATTCAGGTGCGTCGGTTTGATGGCCACTGAGCCCTTCTCTGACCTAAACGCAGTGGGATCGTATCCACATCTCCTTCCTTTATCACTACACTATAATTATGCTACACCGGCCATATCTCGTTGCATCGCTTTTGGAGAGCCGAACGTCGGACGGAACCCCAAGCAACCGCGCTACACTGCACCAAAAGACGCTGGAAACCTGCGTTCGCTCGGCAGAGGTCATCTTGAACGGATTGGAGGAGGCCAAATCCGCCAATTACCCTGGTCTTGCAGTGCGTCTCGTTTAATCGTGTTTTTTTTCTGATGAACTAACTTTATTAGTGGTGGCAAACAACCATCTATTGCTACACGGCCGCCCTTGTCCTGCTCATCGAGAGATGGTATACGGCCGAAGCTAAGCCAGGTTCGCTCGAATCCGAAGATGCCGAAGAACGACGACGCAAGATTGTTGCGACCATTGGTCTCCTTCAAGACCAAGGGGATTCCATCGAACTATTTGCATTGGCTGCCAATGCCATCGACTCGCTCCTGGACGCAACGACGTCTGCACGCCGTAAAGCAAGGAGGCACGCTCGCAAAGCTATGGATCTAAATGATGTCGTTAATCCCGTTAACGTCTCGACCCGTACTTTGGCGGGCGGGAACACGCCACCGTTCGTTCGCGAGTGGATTGAACGACCGACGACACCTCTTCCTGGCAGCGAACAACCCGTTGTCGACCAGCCGCCATCTCTATCGACACTCGAACTTTCTCCTGGAGCTCCACTTCTTTCGGATGCGTCCTATGATTCGAAGTTCTGGGCCCGTGTCTTTGACATGGAATTTGAAGACAAACCGGATTCGATGGCCACCTTCTTCACTGCGGAGAGTTCTGATGAAGAGGACGGCCAAGCACCGGAGGATGTCGAGCAAACGTCTGTACCGTGGGAAGAACAGCAAGCTGTCTCTGCTCACACCGAGGGCAATTATGGAAAAAGCGCAATCTGGGACCAAGTGTCTGGCTCGCTCGGAGGTATGGACCTCGATGCGGGTTGGAAACCTCAGCCATACGACCGTTCGACTTAGAGATAGTTTACTCCATGCAACTTGCTTTCTTCCAGCTTCTTGTATTCTCTCATGTGCATTATATATTTGCATCGCCTTGTCGTGGCTCGATTTCAGACTATGTAGCCTCTATCCGAGTGTAGCTTGCTATTGTCAAGTGCAGGAATGCTCATCAAGACTTCCCTCTGGTGGGCGGGGCCTTCCCTTTGCGTTCCTTTGGCTAAACATACAGGATCGTAGCTCAGCATTCCCTACGTCTGGAACGCTCAACAATCGGTCTCTTAATCCCATGGTTTCGAGTCTTGTGCGCCGTAATGATTTACATGCCTTTCTATTTTACACAGATTATAATAGCAACCTGCCCTATGGGGACAAGGGACTCTTCTCGAACGTGGTGACTTTAATATCCTCGACTGCCCCACCAATGTACGGCCACACGTGCGAAACTGTCGACATGCAATTTAGCGCTAGTCGGCCTCGGGCGAGAGATGCCTACCTATCCGGACGGAGTGGTTGGACCACTTGGTGGTTAGCTCGATATCCTCATCCTTGGGCAGATTGAGGTAGTAGCGAAGGAGCTTGGTCGTCTCCTATACAGCGGTTAGTGCTCTCTCTTCCTCAAGGTAATCATATATAGCACGTACCTCGAGAGTCTTGGTGTGCGGGAGAAGAATCCTGTCCGACTCGTAGGTAAAGCATATGAGTGGGTATTGAGGGGTCGGGCGGTCGTTGGATTTGGACATTGGATTGATGGTGCTAATGATCGGGTTCAATGCCGACGTCGATATGGCTATTCGTGTTGAGTTTTTATAGGATATACGCGATTCAGGACTCACAGGTAAGGGCACGGAATGGATCCAGCTTGCAGTCGTCAGTTAGGTGAAAAGGATACTCTGCCGTGGTTGAGTCGCTGGCGTAACTGGTGCTTTTATACACAATACCTGAGCATCGCATGTGTCAAGAAACGCGAGGAGTGCACGCTGAACGCGATCAAAGAGCGCATGGCGGCAGCAACGAGGAGCAGAGCCATGCAACGCCGCCCCCACGTTGACTGAAGAGGAGCGAAACGACACCGCCTATTGGCCCCCTAATTACCGAATGTAGCCACTTTAACAACTTTACGACAACGGATCAATCCAATACCAGCAGCGGCTTGGAGGGAGGCGAGCAAAGTTGCTTTAGCCAAATATGATACACGCACGACGATATTCTACATCCGAATTCCTGCTGAGACCAAAAATAGCCTGGAACAAGTCCCCGAATCGTGCAAAAATTTCAGAACCCGGCGGATTCCTCTCGAACTGGTGGAAGTGCTCGTGGTGTGCTTCGCGGAGTGCCAAACTCTGCAGAGGTCGTCGGTGCAGACGCTTGACGCAAGGGGACTGGCAACGGCTGATCAAGCTCGTGCGTCTGCTCCCTAAGCTGAAACGCTGGCGAAGGCGCAATCGGAGCCGCGAGTGAACCCCATGGTGCGAGTGGATCGACTGCCGTCAGCGGTGTGGGTTGTGTTACAATCGTTGTGACTGGTCCTTGTTGCTGGCCCACCCCGGCAAGTTCAACAGAGGACATCATCGGCGGCGTCGTAGTCAGCGTTGGGATGAGTTGATTCGATGGCTTTCCGACTCCTCCAGGTGTAAGTTCGAGTCGTAATGCCGAGGGAGTACCGCTTGCTGCGCGTGGTACCCCAAGGACGCTGGTGTCTAACGGTCGAATCTCTGGCGGAAGGTCCCCTGGTTGCGTTCCGGGCGTATTATCTACGGACCCATGGGTACTGCTCGTTTGACGGCGGTCAACTGTGCGCATGGAGACTCCTTTCCACTTGGCGAAGACGCGTAAGGCCGCAATGAAATAAATGGCGCCAATCACAAAGATGATGGAGATGATGATTCTCGGTGCTAGAATGACACCAGAAGTATCGGAGGCATCAGGAGGGTTCACGTGTTTACCATTCCCTAGAGTAGCAGCGGTGAGTCTTTGCTTCGAAGAACCAGATCTGCTCACCTGACGTCCAAACAAACGAAAGAATTGTAGCGATAAAACTCATGATCGAGTATCCTAGCCAAATTCCAGGCAAAGCCAACATCACCCAGATATTCCACAATGCAGTTTGCGTCTGCTTCTGTGATTCCTATCGAGAAATGAGAATAGAAATATGAAGAAAGTAGTGGCCTACATCAACCCAAATGATGGCTTTACGAAGAGGGCGCATAGTTCCAAAACGGATAATGTAGATCCCCCCAAAGAGAAGACTGAGAAGTGCCGTGGAAAGTGAAATGAGGGCGCAAGTGCGCGTCGACGGAACGTATTGCGCTTCTTCGATTTGGAAGACGGTCAGAAGCGCACTGTTACAACGTCAGCCTAGCCACTTTAGATCGGGAGGCACGGACCCAATGAGCAATGCATTGACCACGTTGAGCGTCTTCCATTCCCGCACGAGGCTGTCCACAAACGTCTCCCACTCTGTCTGGAAATACTTGACCTTGCGGGCAATATCGCGGACTGTTCAAGGTCAAATACGGTTTACAAAAAAGTTGAGAACCCACCATCACGATCACCGAGAATATTTGGATCGATGGGAACGGCCCCACTCTCTAGATCCTGTGGGTTATCGACGAGGGACTTGAATATCGACGGCTGATAAGGCGAATTTGAGGGCGAATTTCCAGGACCTTGGAATGGTCAAGCTGTGCTAATCAAGAAAGCCAAAGCTGGCTCACCTATAAGAGGCCTGGTCTCTTCAAGATCTTCCAACGCATAGCGCGCGGGTGTATCCAATATTCTCCCTGCCGCGCTATTTCGACCATTTTCCTTGTCTATGGATCTGTTAGAGCGATCACGGATATAGAATCGTCGCTCACCAATTTTGATGAGGATATGAACTTCGGCCTCTGACAAGTGCGCCTGTTCGATGACCCGCTCAACCCTGTGCGAATACATAGATGGCATCCGAAGGAGAAAATGACTACTAATTGTTAGAAGTTGATTATCCGTGAACATTCGTCATACCGGTAGACTTGAATGACGACATCCCGCAAATACTTTCTAAGCGTATTCTCCACCACCACCTCTACATCTCGGACATTTGCAAATTGCTCTGCAAAGAATTAAAAGAACCCAATATTAAACACATACGACGCACCTTTGATGGCATTAAAGTCAAACGGACTTTGTCGCTGAGTCGGCGAGACAGGGTCGCTTGCAGGTCGATGATCCGGACTCGCCTTTGGAGGCGAAAGCGCCCCGCGCACCTCTCCTGGACGAGACGGTACATGCCCCGCTGGTGCCGACCCAGCGATACTCGGTGGGTACTCCCCCGGAAACGTTTTGCTAATCCCCTGCAACGTTTCGCGCGGTTGTATTTCTGGTAGTGGTTCCGGTTGTATCGGTGTTGGAACAGGCCGTGATCGTTCAAATTCGGCCTTTTCCTTCAAAAACTTTGCGCGTTCTTCTTCCAACCGAGCACGCTCTCGTGTAATCTGAACCCGCTGCGTCTCCAGATCGAGTTCTAACGTCCGCGCTTGATGAATCTTTTGAACCAGCTCGAGGTTGTGGATACTATCGAGTTGCTTGTTGGGCTCCATCGTCCCGACGGCTACTGCATCCGACGTCCGAACCGTTCCTCGAGCGGCCCTTGTAGACTGCACTATTCTCGTAGTACGAGTTGACCTGATGCGCGGATGGGCTCCAGTTTCATCGATCAGTGGTTCACCCTGACCGTGCTCCAAGTCACCCTTGGGATGTCTAGGTTCCTTGCCTTTGCCGTTGAGTGTACTACTCGTACTTCCCGTATTCGCATCCGAGCCGCCCTCTCCACTCCCACTCGTGTCACCACCCAACCATTCCTCAGCCGCAGTAATAGCCCACCTGACGGCTCCAAGAAGAGGCGGAATCGGGCTCTTTTTCTGGTCCTTGGGAAACACGTACGGATCATACACTTTAAACGGACGATCTGGGCTCCGTCTCGGTACACGCCGTCGTTGACCCCGGCTGGGACTTCCATGGCGATTGGGCGGGTAATGATGACGCGCCACATTAGGATTCTTGAGTGGCTTGATTTCCTCTTCTCGAGTCGGTCTACGTGGTTCGTCGGGGAGACTTGACCTCCCACGACCCCTACCACGTTCACCACGATGATCCGCACGCCGTTCTTGATTACCAGAGGTAATGTGCGCGTCTGCGGTTAGAAACTTTCCCGGAGGCGATGAGACGCCTGCTGGCGTGGCGGGTCGACCAAGGGGATCGTTGGGTGCAGGAGAGACGGTCTCCATCTGGAATCCGGCACTTGGAATAGCTGGTTGAGCTCCCTGTGGATTCGAATTGCGTGTATCTGCGCGACTGGCGCTTGCAGCTGCGACTGCTGGTGCGGAATCTGAGAGTGCGGGAGGTACGGCGCCAGGTAGACTGGGTTCGAAGAGTAATTCTGGAGTACGAGGACGAAACGCTTCAAATTCTTCGTCTTCAAACGGCGCGTTGGCTGGGTTGAAAAATCTTGCGCTGGATCCAGACGGACGGGTGGTCGCGAGGAAGAGGCGACAGCGTTTTGATTCTGAGAAGCAATCCACGTAGGGACAAACGGTGAGTTTGACTTTTTTAGTCGAGAAGAAACGACTAGACACGGTAAGAGAATGAAAGTAGAGAAGCATATACGCACATTCTTCGACATTTCCCGCCGCATTCGAATCGTTATCCCGCTGTCGACCCCCTCCAATGCCGTCTTTGAAACTGACGCTGCGAGTCTTGCGGGAGGACGCATTACTGTGTCTGTCGTCGGGGAGGCTATTATCGGCTGCTGGAGTTTGGGGTGTTTTGTTGGAAGATGAGGATGAATTGTGGAGGATAGAATGTGGGGGTGGCCGTGTGGCGCTAGAGGGTGTTATGGCGCTCGCGCTAGAAGTGTTTATGGGCGACACGGGAGAGCGTACATCTGTCAGATACAAGGATATTGTCAGCTGCTGCTTGATGTAAACGAGAACAAGGACAAACTTTCAGAACTGCGCCCTTGATTCGTCTGAACGCCCGTCGAGCGGCCATCTGAGCGAACAATCTCCACTTCTGGAACACCAGGAGACCGTATTGTAGAAGAAGACTGCACATCAGCAGCTTCCAGAGAGGTCGAGGATGGTTGAGCAGACGTTGCGGCGTCTGTGCGAGAGGCAGGAGCACGCGGGCTGATCCGGTTATCGGACATATCGAGTGTAAATGATAATTAGCACGTTATAAATGTCGTTAGAAGTGTGCCGGTGAGCCAAAGTGCTTGACGACTGTGGTTTCCGAATGTCAGCGAATTTCCAGACTGTCCAGAGTGGGCAGTAACGTACATAAAATGTGCTATAGACCGTAGAATGATCGTGAAAAGTCAAGCCAATGGCCAAAAGGTGAGATGGAGAGTCCGGTCGAATCCAAGTTTACAAGTTGAGCCCGGCGACAACTGGCGGCTTTGCTCAATCGCAGCCATTTATATCAACTATATTCACAGAGGCTGGTCAAGTCGCAGAATTACCACGTGGCTTAGATGGATCTGACTAGGAGGCTGCAGAGAACGTCTACGCTTTGTTGGAGAAGTAATACCAACAACACGCCTCGATAGGCTATTCTACAGAACAGAGAATGTTATCTCAACATCATAAATGAATAGAAGAGTCTGGGATAGACACCCCAGAGTCGCTACTCGTCACCACGGCCAAAGTTCTAAAAACTTACTAGCAGTCTATATGACTTGTTAGTTGTCTCATCTACACCCTTGCTGTGCTAAAGCCTCGTGGTCAGTCTCCCCATAGACGCCCGGATTCTAGAGTGAGCCCGCTTACAAGGCAACCAACCTGCCTTGTTCTCAGAAAATCGGGGATCAACAACGGATGTCACAATGCCAACTCGCCTACTCCATGAATAACTGACCAGCCACTCAGCCTCGAATGCAGATGCTAGACTGTATCGTTCAGACTATTACAATAGTACAAGTTCTACATGGAATAAGATTGTCCTAAATCAACCCCAATACTTGTGCGTCTCGCGCTTTTCATGAACAGTCCTCGGAAGTGAAACCGTATCCCCCTTTGAAACCGTCTTGGACTTGATCGCACACAACTCGCGAAACGCAATCTGCCATCCGAGTCCATTCGTGCTCCCTCCGCGACGTGATCCACCATGGAGCATATCATGCACATACATGCAGCTCGCCATGACCCGTCCTCGAACTGCATCCGCATCCAGCACACCAAACATCGACGGCTGCCCTTCATCCAATGGCGGTTGAAACTCGGCGAACCGCGTACAAATGGCCCGAATCTCGTTGGTCCTCTGCCGTGCCGTGCACCGTCTCCTGGCCGTTTCTACACTGATCCTCTTCATGGCATCGAAGCACTCTTTCACGAATACTTTGATGGCGTCGAGTTGCGCCTCGTAGACACGGTTCCCCTTTGCAAAGTTGACTGCTGCATTCCACGGCGCGGCCAGATCCTCATCGGTACCGTTGCCCAGGAAAAAGAGGTCATTTTCCTCCCTCGATGCGTCGACGCGGTCCTTCAGACGCTTAATTTCTTCGTCCACCTGCTTCTCGCCCGCGTAGGCGAGTCGGTCGAGAATCGGTATGCCTCCCCCCTTGGGCTCTAGAGACTTTGGGTTGTGTTCCTTGATGAAAGTCTCCTTCTTGTCAAGCTCCATCTGTCGTTGGCGCCAATATGGCTCGCTAAACTTGGACCACTCTCGGTGATCGTGGGTGAGCTCTTCATCCCGGATCCGCAGGCCAGACTTTTTGCTGTCCATGAGTACATTGAACCTAGGAGGGTCAGAGACGAAGTTAACCTCGATTTATCACATACTTGTGCGCCATTTCAACCGCTGGGCTCAGCTCTTTGTCGTTCTCCGGATACCAGAGACCATAACGGTGGACGGCCATGTTCCAGAAGGAGTTGTCTGAAACGCGTTAGAAACATAACGCTATTCACACCAAGCTTACAGATTTTAAAAGTATCGCCTTCACCCACCGACGCAATGAGCCTCGGCGCAAGTATCGCAGCGTACTCCGAGGCATCGTAACTCGAGGCTTCCTTGTTGACATCTGACACCTTTTCGGTCACCTTCCCAAACTTGTCGTCGAAACCTGGTGGTGGCTCGCGCAGATGAAGTGGTGCATTCTTGAAAGGCTGGACAATTCTCTGCTCCCAGATGATTGTCCCTTCGTCTAGATAAAGTTAGCACGTGAAGATCAGGCCAGTCTATTGCAAACCTCCGTCATAATCTGTCAAAGTTTGTTAAGCTAGGCCGAGAATAAAGGGCGGACTTACCTCCTCCTGCAAGAATGGAAGCCAAAGGAAGTTCGCCGTGAATAGAGCAGAACAAGATTCCTTTAAAGTCTTGGAGCTTCGGGACAAACACCGCTTTGACTTTGCGCATGTCCGTCGGCAGTAGTGCTGGGTGGCGGCCAACCTGATCATAGGCTCAATACGAGCATCCAAGTACCTTGAAGACTTACAATGACATCGCCTTCGATGAACTGCACAGCGAGACCCGTTTCCGAGTCCACCATTGCCGACTTGGGCGAAAAGAAGACCTCTCCTTCCTTTAGACTACCCGTAAAATCTACACCAATCAGCATTAGAACTGGATATCCATTCTATACTCACCAGGTTGCAAGAATCCACACGCAGACCTCTCGACAGGGAGGTGAAACTTTGCGACAACCCTCATCATCGCCTCGGAAGCCATTTCACTCCACAGCTTCAACCAATAGTTCGACTTGTGGACTTCAATCCCAGCTAGGAGCGCATCATGAAGTGCTTGACCCTTCGAAGCTGGGAATCCACTAATCTCGTTGTGAGTATAGGCAGGTACGGATCGAAGTTCGAGGTTGCCAGATCCAGTGGCCATGGAGGAAAAGCTGTCAAAGCTGTTGGCGTGGACTAGGCTCGGTTTGGTCTCTTCCTCCGACTCGTATCCTGCCTCGGTTTCGCGCTTCGTCCTGCGTCCATAGCCCAACCCTTTTGCCTCGCCTCCGAGTTCACGTTTCTTGATGGTCAGCACGAGTGATTGAGTATGGGAGATGAGTCTCGCCATACGGAGTCGAGTGTTTTCGTTGATCCGGTGGCCTTTGTTAACCTCCTCCGTCTCGATGTCCGTCCAAGCCTCGAGTTCCTTCTCCAGTGCATCGTGTTGGATTTGGAGAAAGACATCGTCGGGAACGCCACACGACGAGAGGACAGTAATAAATTGGGAGGAGAGGCGCACACCCGTGCTCGCGCTGACGGGCGCAGGCTTGACAATACAGACGATGCAGTCGGCGGCGTCGAGAATATGCATTCCGTTGACGGGTCCAGGGCGCAACGGTTTGTTCCCACGCGCAGCCTTGCACATAGATTTTGACAACAGTAGACGATGCGGACCGTCAAAGTTTCTGTCTACGAGCATATCGGGGTCGATGAGTACGACGCCTTTGGCGGTCTGAACGCGGATCTGGTATGCGACTGGGGTGTCGAGAGCGTCGCGGTCGCGTTGGTCCTTGGTTGGATACTTGCGAGCGAGCGTCCGAGCAAGCGACGGAGTCATTAAGCCAGCTCCATCAGTAAAGACGGTACCATCGTCATTCTCTGTGGAGGGCCATCAACAGTATTCATAAGAAACCCGGGAGAACACGCACCAATGTCATTGACGACGTGGATATGAGCCGGTTCCAGAAGCACCCCAGGAAGAGTGTCGGAGAAGCCAAGCTCGAGTCGAGTAGCTAGTTTTGACATATCTTGCTTTTCGTTATACTTGAGTGGAACCCACCAGTTGATGAGACCTTGGAGAGTTTGACACTCGACGACTCCGTAGCTGCGACCGCGTGGGAGCTTGAACTGTTGCTCAAAAAACTCCCCAACGGATTCTTTCCCCTCCAAAAAGTACAGGATCACACCATCCTTTTCGAGCATTGGGACATAGACTCGGCCGAGGATGAACAGTGGGCGCTGAACATACTCCCGAAGACGTCTCTTGTTCTCCGAACGTTCCTCGGCGCTTGAGTTGCTCCAGACTCCAACGTGACGCTGGATAGCCGAGGAGATTCGCATTCGAAGAAATCGGTGCGACCCAAGAGTGCGTGTAAAGATGGACGAGCCGCGGAGACAGAGTGGCTCAAGGACAATGCGACCTTGGCTCTCGAGATCGAGCAGAGGCGAAGAACTTTTCTGGCTCTGTGATTTCCCTGATGGGTCCTCGTCGTTGAACTTGAGCGTTGCGGCAAACTGGACTTTGCCACCATACCGGGTCCCTCGTTCTCGCGCCATCCGAGCATGTCACCTGTCCCAAGGATAATCTGTTCCGCCTCCCAATCAAGTTCCGCTGCGACCTGGTCGAGTGATGTATTGGTCGCCTGCGGGGTTTGATTCCCCGGTCGAACAAACATCTCCGAGTCCGTTTCCACATCAGTGACATAGTCCTCCACATCTGTCTCGTCGTCGTTTCGTCGTGAATAAGAAGGTTGACCACCACCTTGGCTTGTCATCGCTTCACGAAGAACTGACTCGACAGCCTTTATCATTTCATTCCCCTTTTCGGTCAGTGGGATCACAGATTTTTTGGTGATGGCCTCTAGATCTACACCAAGATTTTGTGCCATGAGCGCGACCTGAAATGCGGTACCGACAGGCAGATCATTCCACACATCTTGGTGCCTAGGGGCATGCGCAAGCACATGCGGGTTTCGGAGTCGAACGTCTCGGGGCAGGTTCTTGAGATACAAGCGGTACACTTGGTGCAGGTTGACGCTGCTGACGAGCAACCATTGTCAAGGACGAAGAAGCACCTTCGAGCGAGTTAGTACGCCAATTTGAGCGAGGTCTACAGACAAACCTGGATTGCGTGACAAAGGGGTGGGAGCTGTCGGCTGGATAATTGTAACAGAAGACCTCTGAGCAGCCTTTGTGCCACTGGGGACTGGATGTCGGTGTTCAGCCTCGTCACTTGATTGTGGAAGAGCAGGACTGATGTCCAGCTGTGATAGATCTATGTCTGAGACCGAATCGAAAAGCTCCTCGTCTTCAGATTGAAATGACGTATCATGTTCAGATACAGATTCGTTTTGCGAACTAGGAGCGATGACCGTGGTGGAGAATGGCTTGAGCCTCGGGCGTGGGGTTTGCTCCGCGGAGCCTCCTTTTTTGGCGGTCGAAGTCGTGCTCCGATGAGAATACATGGAGGGAGAAAGACGAGAGACTGCCGGGATAGGTGATTTGAGGTTTCCAGGCAACGAAGAAGGCGAAACCGTTCGGTGTTGGACTGGAGGATATCGACTACGAGGCGAAAGTAGGCGCGGAACCATGTTGAAATCATCCTCAAACTCTGACTCGGACACGTGACTCTCATAATCGCTCTCTCTCGCATCTGTACCACCACGGGGATGCGCCACCCCTTTGCCCTTGTCAGAGTTCATTGGTCGAGTACGTTGGTAACTCTCAACCGTGCTTCCACCGTCCAATGGGTCGCCGTAGGGAATCGCGAGGTCGTTGTCAGGGTGAGCTTTACCGGGAGAGATAGACAGCGGTGAATGAGGACGTGTGGGCGGGTTGGATACAGTTGGGGAGACGCGCGTTGAGGCGCGTCGTTGAGATTGCCTTGCGGCGCGGAAGTCTACGATGGGGGTGTGACTACGGGACCCACTGTTCGACGCGCCGCTGCCAACGAGAACTCGAGGACGAGAGAGAGGCGAATGATGCGAATTTTCTACTGGTGCTCCAATTTTACCAACTGTGACACGGCCTGCGCTGGGGTTGGTCGAGCTCGAAGCAGAAGAGGAGGCGTTTGTAGGGTGATCGACTGGAGCTGCTTTATGCAAATAACTCAGATAAGGTGTACAGATCGAATAAAGGGGGCATACCCTGCACGGAATGCAAGACTTCGCTCGTAGCGAGACGCTGTGGGCGGTGGGCACTTGAATCGCCACGATCCCGTAGAGAGCGCCTCAAAGATTCGTGAGAGACGTTCAAATGAGGTTGTGTGCTCTCTGGGAACGCTCCTGGAATCGGCGGAGTTGAACCTTGAGAGCAGGAGCAAGATTGTGGCAGAGAAACACGAGTGGGCAGAGCGGGATATTTGATCTCAACCTCGGTGTTTATATCCATTTGATTGACTTGACCGGATATCCAGGCGACGCCCACGTCAAGAGCCTGGCGAATAGACTGGGCCTGGTCAGACGCTTCAGATATACCGTGAAGTTCTGTTGAGTCTGAAATCTCGGGAGATCTATGGACGACTGCGTCTGTATCAGAAAGTCAGAAACCGGCCTCCACGGATGTTGGCAGACGCAGGGGCTCACCTGCATTCTCGAGGTCGGCTACCTCTGAACATTGGACTCCAACATCAACGTAATATCTGTTCCGCGCGTCTTCTCGCGAGGGGGATGTCGCTAAGAAGATTGAAACAAGTTAGGCTCCCAGCGGTGGTTGCGTCTTTGATCTTCGCACCTAATTGAACGTCCTCGCTACTACTTTCCCTTCTATCCATCCGTCTGTCAACCTCTTGTGACAGCCGAGACGGAATACACGGCGTCAGTGACGACGGTCGGGTCGAAGTTGCCACCAACTCGGCGTCCACCGCGTCTCGAATGCCTAAACTTTTCTCATTTTGAGACAAAGTATCCCAGGTTCTCGCTTTGATACTCTGTACAAGATTTTGATTTGCCTGTGGGTGAGATGGGCGATCCCTTGAGGTGGAGCTGAATTGTAGACGCAAAGCGTTTTCAAACTCTTCACGCGTTCCAGTGAAAACCATGCTGCCCTTTCGAAACCTCCAGCGAAAACTCCCCGAACTCGAGCTCATCTTGAGTGCGTTTGTGGGAGGGACATGACCCTGACAATATACCTCGGGGTGCGTTTAATAGGATGTGCCTCTATTGGTGAGAATGTCGATCGAACTCCTACACCAACTTGAAGAGCCTGGAACAGCTCGAACGGATGACAGATGACCCGGTACCGTAATCTGGGCGAAGACTGACACTCTTATCGATATGGTTTGTCATGCTCCCACTGAATCAGACAGTAAGAATGAATGACCAATGAAAGAGTAACCCTGCCAACGACCAAGACAGCGCGCCTGGGGTGAAGCAGAAAGAGGGAGGAGTCATATTGTAGATAAGAAGAAAGTTTAAAAGGCAAGACTTCTCCAATATATAGACAAGGTGTCATTGAAATCTGATTGTCCCCTAGATAACACTTCGAATGGAACGCCCTCGGTGGAATGAAACCATGTTCATCAAGTCCTACTTTGGATTTACATACCACAAGCCAAGTCAGCCTCACCTACAGAACCGAGACAATGACTCGCTTTGTATGACTCCCGCGGCAAGGACGTCCACTTTGTTGTCATGTCGGTGGAGCCGGTCTTCAGATCGAATCATGGATAAACTAGTATCCAGACACGGCCATTGATAAAACACCCCTTTTCACGGAATTTATAATTCGACTTTAGACTGTGAACGAGATATGTCTTCGACTCGACCAACAAGACTATGCATTCTTCGCTTCATTTGATTGGGATTCCTTGTGAGCTTGAAGTAGCCCGCCCGCAGAAACCTCAGAGACAAACCTCTTCAAAGTGCGTTCGTACCCATCCCACTTGCGAAAAGCCTTGACAATCTCCTCGTTATGTCTCTTTATCTGGGCAAGTAGTGCAATCGCGCGCATCCTGCGCTCTGGATCCTTGTAATAATTCTCTTCACGTCCTTCTGCATCCCGATCAATCTCCATATCCATATGATGCCCATATGACGAAGTAACGCAAGGATCCGACACGGCACCCCACGCCAGCATTCCCAATCGGCTCATTCGACGTCGTCTGGATTCGCCTCGTCGGTGTGCACGCCCGTGGTCCTTACCACGTGATCAAATGGCCCTTTGAATAGAGGGAGATGTCATCGGATGGTGTACTTGTCCAGTCCGCATACCACACCATAAGCGACGCACCAGTCGGGCAGCAACTGTTTCAAAGATTTGCGGGTATCTAGGTACCATGGCACAAAGAGCATCATTGTTTCCTTGAACGCATTCGCAAGCCGCTTCGACGCAAGCTCGAATGTGTCCTCACTGTCGTCGCGAACGTACTCGATGGCGAACACTACGGGGCTCACCCACGGATGCCATTCGTTATTCAAAGATCCTGGAGTGATACGGCAGCTATAGTGAGGTTGTGAGGTTGGTCCAAGTGAAATGAGCGGACCATTCAAGTCCTTGATTACTGCTCGATAATGTCAGTAGGATGTACATATACCAATGGCAACACACTGTTGCACGGGACAGTCATCGGTGGCGACAATGTTCACGATTCTTCGCGCCATCCACTCGACATATGAGACCTCGGGACTCAAATGGTCGCAGAGACCCATATTCAGCTGCGTGATGGCCAGGTCTAGCTGATAGTCGAGGATGTGCAGTTGCGTATGCAGTTTGAACCGGTTACAACAGGAAGCTTGGATATCCCTAATGCGCTCCGGAGTTTGCCATTGACACCAAATATCTTCGTCGCCACGCTTGATTGAATTAAGAAACGCCAATTGTGATCGATCAGTCAGGGTATATGATGTCGCAGGGCACGTTTTGATTAAGGTCGGAGAGTTGGGATCTTTCTCTGCGGGGCTTGCAATGTATACATGCTCATCTGCGGGGAGCTGGAATGGCGATGGTGCAGATGATCGACTCGGAACCGGACGATGATAGATTTTTATCGAGAGTGAAGGAGGAGAGCGAACCAACAAAGAAGGTGCCGAGTCTGAGACCGAGTCAGGAGGCAACAACACGTGCTGAGGCCACTTTGATCTCGGCTCCCGCCTCGCCTCGCATGTCTGTACCATCACAAGGCGATTACCATAGAGACGAAAGCACTCTATGTGGTGATGCTCACGATGATATGTCGGGACCCTAGTTCCATTCCATTGAATAAGGTCCTGGAGGATCTGCGTGGCCTTCAAGTCCATATCATGATCATGTTGGTAGAGATTACTAACCGGTAAAGAAGTGGATATGCGAATAAATCTCCTTCCAACCCGTCGAGCCGACTCGGATAGACGGACGATGCTTGGGAGGCAAATTGACGCGGGGACCTCTGTCTGCTCGCGCGTATGCATCGTTTGATTCGTGTATATCGTGATATTATAGACCATTGAGTGGATTATCTCCATGTAACTGCCACCGGAGGTCCCGATTTGAGTCAAAGATCCATCGGAGCGAGCCCATACAACTGCCCAGGATCAGCGTCGGACACAACCTATACAAGAAATCAGTTTTACTCCTCTCTGTCGATAGGTTTTGTCCAGGGGTTGCTCGGCCTGGAAGGTGAAGGGCGAATAAGTACCCGAGGTTCCTTGTAAACGTGCCAGTTGAGCCCCCTTGCCAAGCTTCCAAAGTATTCTGAACTGAGAAAAGTGAATGCTCTTTAGATATCATGTTTGGGAACTACAATGATGCGACCGCTTAACAAAGCCAGCACGATCCATCCGGGCTATGGGTACAGATCGGACCACACGGTGCTTTGGTCTATTCGCCTCACTCCGGGAGCCTATGGATGGTTTGTTTGTAGATTTCGATCGACAGCTTCGCATGACGGAAATAGGCAAGTTCGGCGGGGTCCACGTTACCAACCATCACTAGTAATGATCGTTCGGGGTAAACAATAGTCAGTTCCTGCTCTACATAGCAAAGTAAAGTAATTTGATAATCGCTTGTGTAATAGTGACCCTTTATCCAGGTAGGGTCTCGTCTTTGACCACTCTCTGCGGCAGAAATATGGACGTACGGTTGGCTTTACCTCAAATTTATTCTCTTTTCAGATGCGTGCATCAGAATCTCTTTGGAAAAGACGGTCTGTGGCACCCAGGATCGCGGACGGGTTCTCGACGTATCCTTATCTACCTCGAAGGAGTCTCTGGTTGGCTGTGTATAGTGGGCGTCTAGTGGCTGGTTGATTCTGGGGCGCCAATCAACTTGGACCGCATCCTCTTCCATGTCGTTCAGAAAGCTCACCACGCTCAAGAAAAAGGATAAATCTAAGAAAAGTACCTCGAGTGTTCCTTATGCTCATGATCCAGATCTCGCCTACGATCGCACTCGGAACAATCTTATCGAGGGCTTAAAGGTCGCAAAGGCAGTGGGTGAGGCTAGCTCACTTCTCGCACCGATGAAAGCAGTCTGCGAACTTGGTATTCTCTTCTTGGAGACGACAAAGGTGAGTAAATGGGCTCAAGCTACCCTGTCGGCATCTGCTGATTATTCGAAACCGACAGGCCGTGGATGAAAACACGTCGAGTCTCAAGCAGCTTCAACAGCGGGTCTCTAGTCATATCGAAATCTTACAGGATGGTCTTAAGAGTTTGCCTTCCGGGACGCGAGGACCCGCGGCGATTACCGAGTTTCGGCACGCGCAGCAGGAGTATATAGCGTAAGATTTAGCCAAATTAGCCGTTTCGTCTGACAGGGGCTCTCTTTATAGTGGTCTAAATGCCATCCGGGATAGACTCAACGACATGCTCCTCCGACGAGGCAGTGGCAGCGTCCGTAGTATTCTCGGAAAGATTGGAGATGCGCGAATTGATCCGGGGATTATTGCATCGATCAAGGAGGACATTTTCCACCAGTCAAGAATCTTTGCTGTCGGTCATTTCATTAATGATGCTGTCCATTGACGCAACTGTTGCGCAGGAGGCGACCAAGAGGCCCATGATTGATCTTCAAGAAGAAGGTATTTTCAATTTTCTCCCTACTCGGTTTTTTCTTACGCCTCAAAGTGTGGAAAATGGCCAGTCTCGGGCCTGAGCAAGCCAGACCAATGGGTACTCAGCACAAGCTCTGCTTACCTGGGACGCGACTTTCAGTTCTCGGAGAGATCCGCGACTGGGCTACTAGTGACGACTCTGAAAAGCCCGTCTTCTGGCTGTGCGACATCGGTGGTACCGGTAAATCCACTGTCGCGTTTACACTTTGTCATGAATGGGACGCTACTGATCAGTTGATTATCACTCGTTTCTTCTTCTCGAAGAATGCACGGTCTACTTCGGAAACGGACATTGTCTGCACGACGCTTGGCAAGGACCTTGGCGCAAAGGACGATACAATACGAAAATACGTTAAAGAAGCATTTGAACAGGACGAGCAGCTCGGTACGCGACCGCTGGCCTACCAATTTTCGAAGCTCGTAGAGGCATCCATACAGCTGACAGCAAAACGCGTGATTTTCGTCATTGATGCCATCGATGAGTGTAGAGCGGACATGAGACGCGATCTTCTCGCTCTAATTGTCAAGCGGCTTCCGACTCTGCCAAATCTGCGGATACTCCTCACCAGCCGCCCTGAGCCAGATATAATGACGTTACTTCAGGGAATGGCCATCGTTCGTAGTATGCAATACGAGCTCCAGGGACGCGATAATCAAGCAAACGTTGAGGATATTAGAATCTACGTCGAGAATCATTTCACAGGGCTCCTCACCCGGTCGGAGCGTCAACAACTCGTGGATAAGGCAAATGGGCTCTTTATATGGGTTGCTACCGCCCGTCTAGAGCTCGAACAGGTGGATGGTCCAGACGCTCGGGTCCGTACACTCACAAGTCTTATCTCACGAGGCGAAGGTGGCGACATTAATCATCTGTATGCCAGGATCCTTCGTCGTTTGTCTCAAGAGACCTCCCTCGACAAGGTGAAGAAGATCATAGGAACCATTTCAATTCTTCTTGAGCCAGTTTCCATACGAGTGCTCTCCAAGCTCATCAGCATAGATCCCGACGATTTGGAACCAATTATAAGCTCTATGCGTAGCGTACTACGCGCAGAGAATGTTGTCGAGTTTCTTCATCCAACATTCCACGAGTACCTTCACAGTAGTCGTAATGAAGAACTGCGAGTGGATGCCGGGGTCTATCACTCGGACGTTGCTAGGACGGCCCTGGAAGTTCTACAGGCTGATCTTCGACAAGACGTCTGCAACATTTCAATCCCGGATCATCGCTATCCGGATAATAATGATGTGAGCGACTTGGAAGGTCGCTTGAACGCCCTCTGGACTCACTCACCGGCGCTACTGTACTCGGCAAGGTACTGGTCTGCACACGTTATCGCGGGAATATCTCGTGAAGAAGTCATGGTCCATCTAGGGTCGTTCTTAAGAAACTCGATGCTCTACTTCATTGAATTACTCAGCTTAATTGGTAAACTGGTATGGATTAAAAACTTTGAAGATGTTCGCAGGTGTCTCAGAACTTATACCGCCTATCAAGAAGAACGCGAGGTAATTTGTCACTCTAATCACAAAAAAAAAAAACGTACTCAATGCCAATTATGCAGCTTTGTCGCGAAATACTATGCGTAGTATCAACTAATCGCCCTTTCATTGAACGCAGCGCATTGCATATATATTCTTCGTCGCTTTATCTGCTCCCTCGAAAATCAAAACTTTATGCGAGATACCACGAACGATTCAAGCACGCACTCCCAAAGGTCTTATACGACCAGGAGGTCACTATACCATCATACCTCGAGCTTGTCGAACAGGACACGCGCATAAGCTGTGGCGTCTTCTCACCAGATGGAACCTGCGTTGTCTCCGGGTCAGAGAACGGGTCAATACGGCTCTGGGATTCAGTTGCCGGTGCGGCAATCGGGGTGCCACTCCGATGTGGAAAATTTTCTGTCCAAACCGTCTGCTTTTCATCCGATGGCACAATGGTTGCTTCCTGCTCAGACTATGAAGCCAGATCTGGTAGCATAATGCATATATGGGATGCGTTTAGAGGCGTACAAGTGGGCCAGCCAATGATAGCAGCCGATCTGACAACTCTGAAGATCAGCTTTACAACAGAGTGCGATCGTCTACTCGCAGCAGGCTATAAGCCTGATAATCTGGTCGACAATCATGAGATCAATTTGTGGTCGACCACAGGCTGCCATCTTTCCTGCGCGACTGTTGGCTCGTTTGACGTCGATCTTAATAGATACATGGACTACTACAAAGCGAGCTTGGTCAGCGTCACCGCAAATACCAAGCGAGTAGTCTATGGACTTCAATCGGACCGCATTGCTATCTTTGATGTGGTCACTGAGAAGAGATTGCAAGACCTAGTTGTATTCTCTCCAGGTGAAGAATCAATAAGGGGAGTTGCTTCCTCTGCTAATGGTGACTTGATTGCTGCTACCCATTATAATCGTTCACAAAGTGAATTTGTGGTTTCTGTTTGGATGGCCGCTACCGGAGATTGTATCCTACATTTCACAATGAGGTCGCCCTTTCATATAGCATTCCTGACGTTCACGGCCAATGATACCAAGATTATCCATATGATTGGGGGCGAATATGTGGTCCTGGACATTGCAACAGCACAGTTGGTCTGGGGTAATCTCCGACATTACAGGATGCAAAACTTGGATGTCTCACAAACAGACTTTCGTGCTCTTGCTCGTTCGTTTAGTGGCACCAGCCTGCTCTGGGATTGCGATCCTAACGGGGAACAAGACGTTAGCCAGACAGGCCTCGGGTCAATTCAGTGTATGTGCATTTCTGATAGCAAATTGTGGTTTGCAACCTGCACATATCCTGGGGAACTCCAGGTTTGGGACGCGTTTGATGGTCGGCGCATCGGCAGGCCAATGCCCGGGAACACGCTTGTTACTTTCATGGATATTTCACCCGATGATGCGCAAATAGCAGCTGGATCCTGTTTTGGAGATATCAAGATATGGGATCGAATCACGGCCACGATGATCGGTGAAGTCAATGTCTCAGTAACCCCAGGTTTATGGGGCCTGCGGTTCTCATTGGATGGGGAAACAATTGTAGCGCGTTCAATTCCTGACCACAGTTCCCGTGAAATGTTATTGTACGAGCTAACGCGTCGCTCAGGCACTTGGGTTGCCAAGGCTGCTGGAGTAATGCGCGAGGACACATCAGAGGATAACATTTGGATTACAGTGACAACGGAGCGTCCCATAATGGACCATACTAGATCGACTTTGGTATACAAAGACGGCTACATCTCCGACTCCCGTCGTCCCCGTCTGCATTTTGGACTTTCTTCTGGCATCGAGATCCTCCAGTGGCTTTCATATGATGACAAGATTGCTCTCAGATGTGACGACGGTTGGTCCAGATGGCTTGACTTTACAAACATAGTCATGTCGCCATGATATATAGTTCCCCTAGATGTACATCGCTCCGCAGTCAAGGACCTATGTATCTCGTTTCGTTTCATCCCACGTTGAAAAATGCTAAGACTAGCTAAATAGTGTATTTGAATTCTGAGCATTTGAGAGTCGGTCCTAGGTGTACTTGATTTGCAGCGAAATTTCCAACTACTGAGTTCCTAAGCCGTCGCCCAGGTCGACATGGCCATGAGCAAGCAATTACTAACGTTCCGAGCAGTGATTATAACGTGCATTTAGACGGTACGCAAGAATCTTACAGCAATTAGCTACGCAGCCTTCCAGCGCCACCATCGACTCGCTCCAACCTTCGACCTCGCACCAACAGGTGGCGCACGCTCTTCATCATGGAGAATACCACGTGATTCCTCCTTGGCAATGTAGATCACATAGAGGCCCTTGAGGACCCAGAGCGCCGAGAGGACCCAAAGACCAAAATCATATAGCCAACAAATCCGCACTATCAAAACGACCCTGACAGGTAGAGATACCAGGGAGCGATCAGGTAATAGTAATCACGCCCGCAAGATCACCTTCAGGCTAAGAACGCGTAGGCAGCAGGGGTGGCCGCGAAGATGAAGAGGGAGACGAGGAAGGAGATTGTAGTCCAGACGTCTGCGCGGCATGCGCATGCGTCGTGGCCAAAGGCTTCAACGCCGGTGAGGGAGATGCGGGCGGTCGTCCATCCACGCCAGAGCGAGAATGGGACGTGGACAAAGACTAGAGGTGCATTATTATATTTCTGAGTTCCAAAATGAATGAACGTACGCTCGTCACCGAGATTCCTGCCGTGGTGGTGCTCCTCGACGATATAGTAGATATGTGACACGGCTGACCTCATGAAGAGCGCGAGGAAAAACACGATCACGTCGTGTCCGCAGCTCCAGACGTTGACGTAAATCGCATAGAGAATGGCGAGGAGAGGAAAGCGCCAGCTGATACCGTCAATGATGCCCTTCCACGCGTCGCTAAAGAGAGACATAGGGAGGAGGGGATGAATAAAAGTCTAACGGGCCCGGTGTACTGGCGTGCGGTAGGTTCCCTCGGAGTGGCCGTAAATGTCGTCTAGGTGAGCAGCAGCGTAAACATTACTTTCTTGGAGGAAGAAGAATGCGATGATATGCAATGGGCCATCGTTGATTCTCAATTCCAAAAGGAGGAAACGGGATGGCTGCGGCAAAGAAACGCATGCATCATGGCCGAAGACGAGATGAAGAGAGGAGGAACGCAGGCTGAACAAGGGGTGAGAAAAGCCGTAATAAACCGCGCAGAGCAGGGCCCATGCGCTCAATACGGCTCGAAATGACAAAAGCCAGCTTTCAATGACTGCGTACAGCGTTGGAAGACGTCATGACGAGCACTACTAAGAGAATATAGGTGACCTTTGGACGCCGTAAATCAACGCACACAGCGTTTTCTGGGAAATATAGTTGAAGACCCTGACCTCGAGGAGGATGCCATCCTTCCACGACGATCTCGTCGTTTCACCTGGGGTTTCTGTTCTGCTTGCATTTCGGGCTATTGGAGGCTCTTTGGATCACGGTATTATCGTCGCAGGTAGTCCGTTGGGTCCCGCTGTTTCGTGTCCTGCGATTTGGGTGAGATTTCACCGTGCTTTGGTCTATTTATTTTCCTCCTTGAAGATCTAGATCGCATCTCCTACAGAGTGAACCGTAGAGTCGACTGGTGGGATCATGCCGATGATTGTGGCGAGGACCAAGATACAAGGAAGAATTATCGTGCTTAAACAGGGACCTGAGTACCAGAACAGTGCGAGAATAGCTCTCATCAAGCAAATGCCAACTTTGGTTTAGTTGATACGCTAACTCACTCGGTGTTGAAGCCAATGTGTATGGAGCCTACAATGAATTCATGTAGCAATAGGTAATTTGATACCGAAGGAATACTTAATGGACGCTCTGCTTATCAGAATTTCCCGAATTTCATCGATTCGGAGGCAAGCCTCGTGATCCGAGCAGTATCTACGGCATTCTGGGTTACTGGATCTATATTTATCTTCAAATCGGTCTCTTTTCGGCTGTTCAAGGCGGATATCTAAGGGCTGGTTGAGATCCTCGGCCGCCAATCTACTTGGACCCATCTACTCTCCATGTCGTCGCTGAGAACATTTACCACGCTCAAGAAGAAAGAAAAATCCAAAAAGAGTGTTCCATACGCTCATGATCCAGATCTCGCCTATGATCGTACTCGAAACAACCTTATCGAGGGTCTCAAGATCACCAAGGCCGTCAGCGAGGCTACCTCGTTTCTTGGACCAATGAAGGCAGTTTGCGAACTTGGTATTCTCTTTCTGGAAACAACAAAGGTGATTCGATGCCGGGTTCAAAGCTCCTCCGTTGCATGTGCTGATCGTTGATGCCAAAGGTCGTGGATGAAAACACCTCGAGTCTCAGGGAACTTCACCAGAGACTATCTGCTCACATCGACATATTAGACGATGACCTCGGGACTTTGCCTTTTGGTACACGAGGACCTGCAGCAATTGCCGAATTCCAACACGCGCAGCAGCGATACGTGGCGTAAGTTGTGATTGGACATACCGCCCTTTCTGACCAAAATTCTTTTTCCTAGTGGCCTGAAAATCATCCGGGACAGGCTCAACGACATGCTCCTCCAACGAGTCAGTGGCGGCGTGCGTAGCATCCTCGGAAAAATTGCAGATGCGCGTATTGATCCGAGGATCATCGCTTCAATTAAAGAAGAAATCACCCAGTACTCGCAGATCTTTGCTGTGGGTCACTACCCCCGCCACGGTGCTCACTAACGCAACATTTGTTCAGGAAGCGACGTCAAGGCCAATGATCGATCTTCAAGAAGAAGGTATACTTCAATTTTCACTTCTAGAGCCTCACCTGACGCTTCAAAGTGTGGAAATTGGCCAGTCTTGGGCCTGAGCAAGCCCGCCCGATGGGGACTCAGCACAAGCTTTGCCTGCCCGGGACGAGGATGTCAATTCTCAAAGAAATTCGCAACTGGGCCAGTGGGTTCGATACTGAAAAACCGATGTTTTGGCTTTGCGACGTCGGTGGTACGGGTAAATCCACTGTCGCGTATACGCTCTGTCATGAATGGGATACTAATGATCATGTCATCGTCGCTCGTTTCTTCTTCTCGAAGAATGCTCGGTCGACATCGGAGACGGACATTGTTTGCACCACGCTGGCCAATGATCTTGGGTCTAAGGACAACGCTATTCGAAAGCACGTCCAGAGCGCATTTGTAAAGGACAAGCAACTCGATGCACGACCGTTAAGCTACCAGTTCTCGAAACTTGTCGAAGCATCCATACGGTTAACGTCCAAGCGCGTCGTTTTGGTCATCGACGCGGTTGACGAGTGTAGAGCGGATATGAGACGTGATCTACTCAATCTCATCGTGGAAAAACTCCCAACTCTTCCAAACGTCCGGATCTTTCTTACCAGCCGCCCAGAGCCAGATATAATGGCGTTACTTCAGGGAAAGGCTATCGTTAGGAATATGCACTACGAGCTTCAGGGAAGCGAAAATCCGTCAAACGTTGATGATATCAAGCTCTACGTCGAGAAATATTTCACTGGACTCCTCACGCGCTCGGAGCGTCAACAACTCATTGATAAAGCGAACGGGCTTTTCATATGGGTTGCTACCGCCCGTCTAGAGCTTGATCAGGCGGATGGTCCGGATGCTCGAGTCCGTACACTGACAAGTCTCATTTCACGAGGAGAAGGCGGGGATATTAATCATCTCTATGCTGGGATTCTTCGTCGTCTCGCTCAAGAGACTTCTTTCAATGAGGTAAAGAGGATCATCGGAACTATCTCCATCCTTTTCGAGCCAGTTTCTATACAGGCGCTCTCCAAGCTCACTCGAATGGACCTAGACGATTTGGAGCCTATGATCAAATCTATGCACAGCGTCCTTCGCACGGAACATGTCGTCGAGTTCCTTCATCCGACGTTTCATGAATACCTTCACAGCGGCCGGAACACGGAGCTAAGAATCGACGCAGACCTATGCCACTTGGACGTGGCCAGAGGAACGCTACAAACTCTACAAGCTGACCTTCGACAAGATGTCTGCAACATATCAGCCCCATACCAACGCTATCCAGATAACAACACGATCATAGATTTAGATACCCGGTTGAATGCCCTTTGGGCTCATTCCCCGGCGCTACTCTACTCGGCGAAGTACTGGTCAGCGCATGTGATTCCAGTCATATCCCACCAAGACATGCTCTCAGCGCTAGAGCTCTTCCTACACAACTCGGCACTTCACGTCATCGAATTACTCAGTTTAATAGGGAAGCTGGTTTGGACCAAGAATTTCGAAGACATCCGCAAAAGCCTCCAGGGCAACAGCTCTCGTCAAGACGAGTACAGCGTAAGTGCTCTCACCACTTACCTTTACCATGAAAGAGTCTTGCTGATATATCTAGCTCTGTCGCGAGGTTGTGTGGAGCATGTCGACCTATCAGCATCTCATTAAACGCAGTGCATTGAGTATATATTCTTCCGCCCTATTTTTACTCCCTCGCAACTCCACACTCTATGCAAAATACTACCCAAAATTTCAAAATGCACTGCCAAGAGTCCTGCACGGCCGGAAGGAAGATATACCATTGTACCTCGAATTGGTTGAACAGGACACAGGCATTAATTGCTGCGCTTTCTCGCCTGATGGAGCTCATGTCATCTCCGGAGCAAAGAATGGGTCTATTCGCCTTTGGGATTCAGCTACTGGGGCAGCAATGGGGACACCAGTCTCGTGTGGGAGATTTCCTATACAAATAATCTGTTTCTCATGGGATGGAACAATGGTTGCTTCCTGCTCGGACCATAGCGCTGCAAATTTGGTTTGGGGCGGAGGGTGGTCAGGCAGCATAATGCACATATGGGATATACTGAGTGGTGTCCAAGTGGCCTTACCAATTATAGCAGACGATATACAGATCTTGGATATCTGCTTCACAAAAGACTCTCCTCGCCTCCTCGCGGTGGGTTATAATCAGCTCAACATCTACGAGGTCCGCTTGTGGTCTCCCACAGGCGCTCATCTTTCCAGCATAGTTCTCGGTCAAGTTACAGGCTGTGCGCCACGGAGCCGGTTGGTAAACATCACCCGAGATGCCAAGCAAATCTTCTTCGGACTAGAATCAGGGAATATTGGTATCTTCGATGCTGGTACCGGGAAGAGATCAGAGGATATCTTGGTAAGCTGGCAATCCAAAGATGAGGCTATAAAGGGAATCACATCATCAACTGACGGCACAATGGTCGCCGCTATCTACCATATCGGACAAACAGAGGTGTGCGTGCTTAGGGTCTGGATTGTTGCCACCAAGGCTCTTCTACAAGATTTATATATCTGGGGATGTCAATATGTCCTTAGCACGCCCATGGCATTCACAGACAACAATTCTAAACTTATGTTCACGGCTGGGTTCAAGTACCCCAATGGAAATCTGAGGGTCTATGATATTTTCAAAGCAGAGTTGGTTGAGTGTACTCTTCAAGGCGAGTTGATTGAAGAATTACATGGCTCGCAAAATGATCCTCGTGTTCTTGGCACTTTAAATAGCGGAAAAAGCTTGCTGTGGGACCCTAAACTCCACGATCGAGGCTGCCTCCAGCTTGCTTCTACAAAAGGCGAGAATATAACGTGTTTTTGTATCTCTGATAGCAAGCATTGGGTCATTACTGGCTCAAAGGATGCACAAGTACAAGTTTGGGATGCATCTGATGGTCGGCGTGTTGGCCCACCACTGGTTGCTGGTGGTGAAATTACTTGTGTGGATATTTCGCACGACGACTCGCAGATACTATGCGGTTACTATGATGGAGAATTAATAACATGGGATAGAATCACGAGGGCTGTGACTGGTAAAGTCAGGGTTGGAAGCCACGATACATATTTAGAGAACCTACGGTATTCATTGGACGGAAAATCCATTTGGTCATGCTTATCTGTAGTCCATTTTCCTACACATTACTCTTACGGGGTGTACCGATATTATTCAGGCACTTGGGTCGAACAATCGTACTTGCCCAGTGGAGAACGGATTTCAAGCTGGGAACCCGTGCTCCGTGAACGTCCCATAACAGAACAGAATGGATCCACATTGGCATGGAAAGAAGGCTACATATCCGACTCTCGTCGCCCGTGCATACATTTTGAACTTCCTCATGGGGTCGAAATGAACGAGTGGCGCTCTTACGACAACAAGATTGCCCTCTTGTGTCGCGGCGGCAGGTTCATATGGCTTGACTTTACAAACATGGCGACGTCCCCGTGAACATACACGGTCGACATCTATGTAGATTATGTTGCAATCAGTATTTTGTCTCTTAATCCACCTTCCTCGTTAAGAAACTTGACAATTCGTAAAGCAAGCTGAGTTGTTTTGTCGTCGTCGGAGATAACGAGGTGATGAATGAAGAACTACTAACGTTCTGTAAGGATTGGTTCACCTTACAGGTCCGAACCCAGCCGACCAGGTTGGACTACCTGAGCGACGGGGGTACATAGGGAGTGTAACGCATTAGAGGGGAAAAGAGGGACGCTATCGTCTAGTGATCTAAGTCTAAGTCGGTGCGAATCCGGCTTGTTCCATTTTCCCATGGCTAAACGTTACACGTTCCGAGTAGTGATCACAAACATGTATTCAGACGGGTACTCTCAATTTTACAGCAATGAGCTACGCAGCCTTCCACCACCACCACCACCACCACCACCATCGAATCGCTCCAACTGTCTCATCCTCTCTTAGTGACCAACAAGTGGCGCACGCTCTTCATCATGGAGAATACCACGCGACTCTCCCTTGGCGATATAAATGCCATAGAGACCCTTGAGGACCCAAAAGGCGGAGAGGGACGCAAAGATCAAGCTGGTGATACCGACGAATCCACTTCCACCAACACGGCTCTGACGTGCCCAGATACCGAAAAGGGACCACGTAATCGCAATCGAGCCCGCGAGGTCACCTTCGGGAGAGGAAAAGGCGTATGCGGCAGAGGTGGCCTCGAGGATGAAGAGGGAGAGGAAGACGAAAATCTTGGTCCAGACGCCTGCGCGGTGGGTGTATGCGTCGCGACCAAAGGCTTCGAATCCGGTGAGGAAAATGAGGACGGTCGTCCATCCGTGCCAGAGCGAGAAGGGGAGGTGGACAAAGACTAGAGATATGTTAGTTTGTTGGATAGCCACACACACACAAGGTAAACGTACCCTCGTCACCGAGGTTCCTTCCGTGATGGTGCTTCTTGACAATGTAGTAAATGTGCGAAACGGCCGAGCTCACGAAGAGAGCAAGGATGAACGCGATGACATAGTGTCCGCGGCTCCAGACATTGATGTAAATGGCGTTGAGAATGGCGAGGAGCGGGAGACGCCAGCCGATGCCGTCAATGATGACTTCTTTGCCCGAGTCGGTGAACTGGTAAAAGAGGGAGCCGAGGAGGAGAAGATGAATGAGAGACCAGATGCCAAAGGTCCAATGGGCGGGGGTGAGGTACGTTTCCTTGGAGTGGCGGTAAATGTCGCCTGGACCAGCAATGGTGTAAATGTTGCTTCCGAGGAAGAAGAAGAAGACGATAATGTTTACAATCTGCAGAGCGTGGTTAGTTTTCTATTCCAAAAATAGGAAAGTGTACGGTGCGGGGAAGGTGCGTGTACATCATGGCCAAATGACGGCAAAAAGACGAGCTCGACAACGAGACAAGTCGAGGAGATTACTCTGAAATACGAGAGAATGCGTAATCGACTGTGGAGAGGGCAGCGGCCATGCGCTCAACACGGCTCGAAATGACGAAAGAGGGCTTCCAATGACTGCGCACGACGTCGGGGCGGCTTTGCCAACAATGAGCGGATGAAATATACATCCATGGGACATTTGTACATCAACAGACGCGGTGAAGATGGGAGAGAGTCAACCAGACTGACCTTGAGGAAGATGCCATCCTTCCACGACGACGTTGTCGTTTCACCTGGCATGTCTGTTGTGTTTCTACTGTACTCTAGATTATTACAACTGGATGATTTTTCGAGCAGTCGTCGTCGTCGCCTGTCGTGGTCGGATCCAACCTTTGGGTGTTGTGGGATTGCACATGACCCGACTACCTCATTGCCCTTCTTTTCTATTGTCCCTTGGCGCTCGTCATAAACAAGGAGCGTCCAGGCTTACGGCGTTTGGTAATCGCCGCAAACGTGTGAATGCGACAGTTCTGACATTTCCTTTGTTCTTTATATACACAACACTCCAGTTTAGAACGTTCCAGTGAGTCGAATATCCTTGATGGACGCTCCAACAGACACCGTAAATGTCCCAGCAGGCCTCGTCCACTTTTGCTGTACAACATCCCAAATACTATGCATTTTATCAACAACAGAGCAATCTAAGGAGAGAATACACACCTAATCTCTCGAAGCGTCAACGACACGGTCACAGTCTTGCTCTGTCCGACTCCCAAATCCTTGACCTCGTCGAATCCACGCAGGACCATGGGCGGTTCCCCACTTCCACTCGGATACCCCAGATACAGCTGCGGAATCTCTGTTCCAACAACAGATCCAGTATTCTTGACGTCGAATGTAATCGTATACGCGGTCGAGGTCAGCGACGACGGGGTCGAGGCCGTGATGCTCAGCGACGAATAGGCAAACGTCGTGTACGACAGTCCGAATCCAAAGGGATAGCGAGGGTTGATGCCCTTGGAGTCCATATATCGTAGTCGACCAGGAGTTTCTCGGTGTATTCGATCTACAATGGTCAGAGTCTCTCCATTTGCCTCGAATGATGCTCACCGTCGGGAAACCCAGGCTGTTGTACACAATTGGACCAGGATACGAACTCTCGTTCTGCGAAAGTCAGAGGAGCACAACAGTCTCGAAGAAAACTTACGTCGTCCATGCTAAACGGCAACCGTCCACTAGGATTGACCGCTCCCCACATCACATCAACCAGCGACGGTCCAGCCTGTTCTCCAGGTGCACCCGCATAAATGATAGCCGTAACATTCGGATGATTCGCCCAAGAAAGCGAAACAGGTCCAACCGAATGCACGACCACAATCGTATTCTGATTCACCGCCGCGACAGCCTCGACAAGACTCCCGCCCTTCCACCACAGATCCAAATCGTTTCTGTCACCCATGTTGCCAACGACATTGTCATAGAACCCGAGTTCGCCCGACATGGCGTTGACAAACACAAACGCAGCGTCTTTACCTCGCGCGGCGTTTACACCTGCGTTGATGTCGTTGGACAGACTCGAGGTGACAGTTCCACCAGATCCAGTAATCTTTGTAGTGATCGAGTCGATGGGCGGGACGACGTATGTGAGCGCATACGAGCCGGATCCCCATCTACTATCGTCAGCATCCGCATCTAGAGCGACGAGAATACGCACCCGACGACCATGACACCCTCGTTGCACTCGTTCAAGTAACATCCATCCTTTGGCATCTTTGCATCCTGCCCGACAACCGCCACATTCGCCTTCCATCCATTCTTGATAGGCAACCCTTTGCCGCCTGTATTACCCAACCCACCATTGACGACGCTATTCTTCAACAAGACGGCACTGGCAGCCGCAATCTCACGCGCGAGCGCCGTGTGTGCGTCAGAGCGGACGTTGACGTTTTGGTTGAGTGAGCCCGAGCCGTCGGTGTGTTGTATATCAAAGTTTGTCGGTGGGAAATCCGGAGCATCTTGTCGGAGACGGTAAAAGGGAGCGAGGACGCGGATGACCATTTCATTGAGGCGCTAGACGAGATTGTCAAACGGTGACGTTGTCTACTCCCAAAAGGTACGTACGCCAACTGTCACTGCACCGCTGTTGACGGCTGATTTCAGACCACGGTATACGCCACCGCCAATGACGATGTAATCTCCCGGTTGTCTACGCGCTCATCAATCACCCAATCTACTCGCACGGAAAGAAGACGTACTCCATGTCTAGCCCAGCATTTGCGTTATCCGCCGCCGAGTCATGCGTCGCTCCCCAATCACTGACGACATATCCTTGGAATCCAATACCATTGGCATTGGGAGACGCGCGGGCGTAGCCGTTTGGACCGAGGAGAGCGGCATTGTGGCATGCAGAGGTTTGGTTAATCCGGTTGTACGCGCACATGAGCGACGATACATCCGCCTAGAATCGACGACGTCAATCAAAGTTGCGCTGCCCTTTTGTCGTGGCTCACCTCGACGGCTTTGTAGTACCCGTACAGGTATAACTCGTGCGTCGTGCGATCGTCAATGTCCGCGGAGAGACCGTATCGCCAGTGTTCTTGGTTGTTGGCGAGGAAATGTTTCGCGCAGGCTTGGACGCCGACGGATTGGACGCCTTGAATGGTCGCATACGTGGCTTCGCCTGTCAAGTATGGGTCGGGACCAAAGCTACGAGAGATTTTCAATGAATGGACAAGTCGTCGAGTCCGACGTACCTCTCCCAATTTCTACCACCCTTGGGATTGCGCGAAATGTCCAGAGCAGGACCGAGGTACACGCTGGAGTAGAGGTAAATATCGGATCAGGAGACGAATAAAGCGACGTACTGGATACCCTTGCCACGAAACTCTTCGCCGAGCGCAACACCACGCGCCGTCATGAGCCGCCTAGAAAATGTAGCAGCAGCATTGATACCCGTAGGAAACCCAGTGGTGAATTTCGTCTGCCGAATCCCCGCTGGACCGTCGTTGAGGCAAAAGCTAGGAATGCCCAAGCGCGCCACCGGCGTCGTGCTCCCTGCACAACGTGAATTGAATGTTCCGACACCCGTCACAACACCGATTTTCTCATCGAGTGTCATTTGGGATACAGTGGCATTTGCGAGTGTATAGGATTCGGTCCATGAGCCTGTTGCGAAGTGTCGAAATACGTGGTTAGTAGGTTGATTGGTATGAAAGTGAATGTTTCAGTGCAAGGTGTGGGATACGAGGACCGGAGCCGGCGAGAGAGTGTGTCGGGCAGCGCGGCGTCTGACCCTGCACAGTCTGGCGTCGCACGCTGACGGGTTGGGCGCGAAGCTGGGAACAGACAACGTACGTGGTGTGATAGCAGCCCAAGTTCCTCCAATAAACGCAGAGCCAGAGGCGAGCAGCGCGAGGTCAAGCTTCATGGCTATGGTCAAACGAGCGGAAAGCAGTGTCGTGAGACGGATAGGCCAAGAGAGAGTGTGATAACGAAAAGGATGGTGATGATAGCGAGCGGAGTGAGCTTTGAGAGCACTCGACGACGACGAGCCCGAATTGGGTCCCTGCGACGACGCGATGTGCGAGGGGAGTGTCGTGCGAGGTGCGAGGGTTATAAAGAGGAGGTCCCGAGTCGAATCGGATCAATAGTCGGGTCCAAGGTCTTGTCCTGTCTCACTCGGTCCGCGGCCACACGGTCCTTTGGCGGCGCATTGCAGGCGGCCTGTATCATTACTTCGACCTATACGCATTGTTCGTACCAAGATATTGCCCAGTCGCTCTATATGATGTTCTACCCTCCACCTTGTCTAGCGCGTTTGAGAGAATAGGAGTTGCGGATGCAATCCCGACCTTCTTTGAGCGTCGCATGCTTCCGAGGACGATCATAAGACCCATCGGATTGTGGTTCACATGGGCCCCAACAGAGTTCGACCGAGGATACCCACGCGTACGACGGCTTCCTGCGTCATAAAATTCGACCCCGCTCGATTCAATTCAGAGAACTAGGATTTTTGATGCGCGGGCTGCCATCAGACACCATTAAAGCATCCGGCTATGACATAACCGGCTAGAGCTATGTAGAGGAATTTCGGAGAGTCGATGGATACTTGAACGACGTAGTATATTATGTCCCAAACGAAGATATTCACTCTGTCGCGAGGTTTTCCGCCTAATTATTAGTCGCAGCTCGGCGTACTTGAAAGTGTAGAGTCTATCTCACCATTGTAGAGTCAAGGCACCCTCTTGCGAGTCAGGTGTACTCCTGTTTCTCTCGACCACGACGCTGTTGATGCACCTCGTCGTCGAGATACCGTCGGCCGCAAGAATCTCGCAATTCTGAATCTCCTTTGACAGGCACGTCGCGTTGAATCCTATTCGCTTCAACGCACGGCCTCGCAGGTCTCAACCACCATCCAAATTGCTCACAATTTCCTATTCTCTGGCATAAACGTGTTATAGATATCAGAGCACCTACTGGGATGTCACTGGCATGACTCCAGTCGGGATTCCATTGCACGGACCGTCGTCTAGGGGCGCGTCGCCGGACGTTTTATCGTCTCCAGTCAATGCTACCCAAAGGCTTCAGCTGGCTTGCTCGTCTCGACGGATACTCTGACTTGTTTCGGACATCTGAGTATGTGAATACAATGCTCGTACCGATGGATCGCTTGGGTTGTGTTGGTTGTGTCGTTCATCTTCACTCTACAGCGTTTCACTGCATTTTCGGTGGATCCTCATGACATTCGATGTGGCTTGATGTCCTCTATGCCGCCGAACAATGACTCTGGTCAAGCTATAGAGGCGTAAGAGCGTATTAAACAATTTCAATTTGATGGGGATTATATCGTTAGCAGGCTCGGATTGCCCTTCCGGACGCCTGTCGACGCGTGATTGGAGTGCGAGTCAGCATGACATATTGTCCAGGGAGTCTGCATAACGAGCGCCGAGAAAAGGATACACACAAAGTTTCATCCCACGTCACATCTATCTCTTATGATGTCCGCGTGACTTAGTCGAGGCTTAGGGACGAGCAAATATCACAACAGAACGGTGTAATACTGGGGTACGCGGTACCTTCATTTATGACCCGTGGGCGGCACAGAGATAGGTTTGGTGCAATTTTAATTATTTACGATGATGACGGCGTCCCGAATCCATCGCCCGGAAGCCTTTGAACCTCCCAAAACGGTCACCAATGCCTGAAATTACCTCTTCGGGATCCTTGAAACCGCCCGACTCGCGGTGGATCTTTTAACCAGCAGACGCCCGTCAAGCCTCATGTCATAATTCTGAGCATACGCGAGTCCTTACCCCGTAACCCCGCCGACTTGACGCATGTTCTCGGTTCTCTTTGGATTTCATCACGGTGCGTGGGTACAACGTTTCGAGACCGCCTGTTAGATGCTTCGCCTTGGAAGACTGGGCCGTTGAACGAGCTCGAGATGCTCCCGAGGACACCGTGCGCCGCTGACGCTTATGCACGAGACACCCCAATCAACCAGCCGCACCACTCCACTAGTTTGACGGCGTGAACAGTCTTTTTTTTTTAGAGATTGAGGCAAATTATGTAGACAAAACCGTACAGGGTATAAAGTATTATCGGCCGTGACACATATCCGTAATAAAATAGGATCCGTGGAAGTAATTTATTCTATGCGTTCATTTCAAGTGCCTCGGTATGGCTTCGTAAGGGTAAGGGTATTGAGAGCGTCAACACTGGTAGTCCCAGTGTAAACTCTAGAGAACGTCGTGGAAGAAGCAGCTCATTTTTCAACAAGATTCCAATCTAAACGGACGAATAACGTACCCTGAGCCGTCGAAACATGGCACTTGATCTGGAAAGCTGGTAAATAAATCAAGCTATCGCGCGGAGAACTCCGCGAAGAAAGAGAACGTGGGCACCCACGTTGCGTGCCTTCTACAGGTCGAGATGCGGATGTAGATACCGTATGACATTGAACAGAGCCAGTTGCAGACATGTGATGACCATCGTGACAATGACAAGAGCACGGTGAGCTCACGGCCGCATGGCTTGTGGCTGACTGACGGGAACTTTTTGCAGTACTTCTAGTCTGCCTGTTCCCTGTGCTCATATATTCAGAGGGTGTACTTGGGTGACAATGGCCGAGGGGAATGGTGAGGTATGAAGTTGGAGGGGACGCAACTCTTGCTTTGGGTAGAACAGATGGGCTTTTAACCTGGTATATGCGTTGATATATGGCTCAGAGTCACTCTTTCCCGTGATCAACGGCTCGGTTACCTGTGAATCCGTGTTCACAGAAAGGAAATAGCCTCATTGATGCTTCATGGGTTATCTGGTTTGCCATATAAGCTGACCCTGCATTCGTATACAACCAGGGCTGTCAGGCGCCACGGAGAGGCGCGTCAGCCTCGAGCTCAGTGTAGGAACGTATCCTCGGATTACCCAGTAGGCTCCAGTCTGACACTTCTCCACCTTCATTCCTGAGAATTCCGCCAGATTGATTCGAAGCGGAAAAAGAAGTACAGACGAAAGGGAGTTTCGAAACTCATCAGCGCTGGGCAGATGGAGCGCTATTGTAGAGTAACCTTTGCCTACCCGTGACCGTGGCCGACGGGACTCCACCAAATTCAAATCCTTTGCAAAATGACAAATGTTCTGAGCTGGCCTTCGACCTGTCGACCATGCGCGCCGTAAACCAGCCGTCAGAGAGGTATGCTGTCATGCATGACTCGCCAATAAATGTATTGTATCAGCAAATCCTTAGTAATATTACGATATCAGCGCTAAGGAGAGGCGAGTCATACGGAGGGGAAAGTGTGAAAGTGGTCAAGTATTGGGTATTCAGAGACTATGAACGGAGTCTTTAATGTAAAATAGTATGGTATTCTCAAAGGAATCGGCCTGAACCCAGAATTTCTCCAGAGCGCGCGGGTCCCCTCGCGCTTCCGTGCATGGACCTGCCTAGATTGCTCGAGATGGTGCATGTGGCCCGTCCTTAAATCTTCTATTTACTGATCATAAGGTTACATGGACTCCAGTTTCAGTCCCGGAAATGAATCAAGTTCTTGATCCGCGCCAAGATCCAACTGGAGGAATCGAGTTAAAGCACGGAACATCCACTGGTGAGTAAAAACGAATGAGTTCAGGGTGTCCAATAAACACTGATTAATGCTGAATCGACCGAGTTCGGGTTGCGCAACAGCGGCTTGTCACGCAGCTGGCTGGCCCGAACGAGCCTCACCCACTCAGGCGTATCTTGTCCATCCATAATAGTGCCAGCGTCTTCCTTCATCTCACCAAGTCTCGAAGCCGCCGACTCAAGAGTTTAAGGAGAGATATCAGAGGATCAAGCTGCGTTGCGCTACAAGCCGGCTTCTCCATTTTCTTTGCTGATAGTATAACCGTACGACGAATTTGACAACAGTATCGAAACATATCAAGGTCAAAGGTCGTATGAAGAGCTTGTAAAATGATCCTATGACAGATAAACAAGGGGCCCCCATACGCAAACGGTGATGGTGGTCCGCTCGACGCGGGACTTGACGAGACGGCCTCACTATATTATTTCCAAGAGAAAATTCCTGTATAAATGTTTGTAATATGTCCATTTTCCTGCCATATTGGCCACTCCCAAATCAAGCGCGGGTGGCCGAGGAGACTCCCGACCCATGTACATTCCATAAAGAAAATGTCGTGCAGTCAGCACAATTTTAATGCATAAAAATTCATACGGTGTTGATTCGAAATATTGACATAGCAAAGGCATGTATGCATGTACCTTGAACGGAGAAACAAAAGTTTACTGTAGTGTAACTATCCTCACTGGTCTGGCTTGATACAGGTTATCATCAAACCGAAGCCGTTTACCACGACTCCATATCAAAGAACGGATATGTGGAGCGCAAGAAGCCCTGAAAGACTCTCCTGGGAAAGAAATTAGCACTGACCACCGGGATAGGTGAAGGACGTACTCTGTATCATCCCACACAGGCGCCACGTCTGTTTGGATAATCAGTTGTGTAGACAAACGAAAGAGTATTGTTTTGGATCTGGAAACTCACATTCCATCACCTCTTGCTCCTTGAGCTCCGCCGTTGGGATGATCATGGGCTGGCTGTGCCCGCCCTCAGTCGTAGGTGGGATATAGACAGTGGAGTTCACTGTATTTAATGATTTGAGAAGCTGAGATTGGTTATAAATGTACACCTGTGTCGGCAATGATGCCAATGACTCTGGAGACGACCACTGCATGGGCGTAAAAGAGCTGAAAATCCGAAAACTGCGAATTTAAGCACATTCTCACATGTAACCACGACCTTTCACAAACCTTGACTCATTCCAGATTGGTGTAGCCTCTACCAAATCGTGAGAACAAGGCTGGGTGATGAAGGGCAGACGTTCTGCACATGTACAGTCGTCCATGCGCCTCTGAATTTGAATTGTTGACGACGACGAAACCCTCAGCTGTGTCGTATTATCTGTGGCCAGAATAGGTGGTCCGGCTCCTATCACCGAATCCAAACTGTGTCGACTAGTGATAGGAGGGGCTGGAGGTAGTTTAGGCAGCAAAGGAGTGCGACCATGGCGACTAGTGACCACTCTAGTGCTCTTTCGGGAGCTTAGAATCGATGTTGGTCGGGTTTCAGTGATCGTGTCCAACGGCATGGGTCGGAATGCTTGAATTAGACTGTATTATTTGTGAAAAGCGACAGAGATGGGGATGATGATGCAAGGATCCTCTTGAGCAGTCCCAGGGAGAGGAAAAGGGGCACCTTTATATCTCCACACAATCTTTGCGAGGCGCCCGGCTTATCTCGCTGGTTTTCATGCTTATAATTTGCTGATATAACATTTTCGGCACCCCCGCCTCGACTGTACCACACCCAACTCACAGTGAGTGGCGGGAATGCCATCCTAGACCACATTATAGATAGAATTGTTCCAAGAGAAAGGTGTACAGTCGCATTACATCAGAGAGGCGTGTGTCGCAGGGCATGGCAAGTGAGACTTGGTGGATCCGTTCCGAATAAATGAGGTCGATCGCACTCGACTCCAGTGGCTGAACAAGCCGGTTTTCTCCACCAATTGTACTGCATGAGGTATGTTCGATTTGGTGATCTATGGTAACTGGGTGGGGCCGCATACGCTCAGGAGATTACAACCAAAGGGAGGTTGACATGCATATGCCACTATACCAGCAAACAAATTTCAATCAACCCGAGCCATAAGGCGGTTCATCTCTTTGGATAACGCCATATTACACTTCAGACTAGAGACCAAGGCCGACCCTATGTAATAGCTAGTATGAGACTGGTTTTCTTTGGTAGTACGGTATAAATGTTTCGGGTCCACGAACAAAAGTAATTACACAGAGTAACTTGGGCAAAGGTGACAAGAAGCAGGAATAATTCCATGGAACGTCTAGGAGAGTGGTTAGTTATCATAATGTTGACGGCACGGTGTTGCCTCATGTCAGTGGCAGTTTCGCAAGGTCTCCTAACAAGCAGAGCTGAGGTGACTGGGCGAGAGCATCGTTGTCATGTGGTCTCGGAATACTCCTTTGAGACGCCAAGACAGCGATGTACATAGACGGATTCACCAGATAAAACTTTTCTGGAAAGTCAATCACTAAGTGCTGGCAAACTCTATCCAGGCACCGTAACGTCGCGTAGGGAGACGGTACAGAGGTGGGCCGAGATTGAATAGAAGAACGCCCCAAGATTTACTCAAAGAGTCTAGATACTTTCTCTTTATACCCTAAATTAGTTTAGATGCCGTTATTTAAATGTTGTTGACGGTTCATTTCTGTCATTCTATTCCGCCAATGACAATCCCTGGACAGATGCCCCTTTCCTTGCGGCTGACATCTCGAACTTCAATGTTTATTGCGTTAATTCAACACATTCTCCTCGAAGCCGCATGGAATCCAGCCAACTCACTGCCCATCGTATATTTCTAGAACTCTGGCATTGATGGACTTCTCATTGGTAGCGTCTGGTGGTGGCCGCGCATCTACCCTCTCAAAGTGCTCACATCTCGTTTTCTAGAAGGGGCCAATTGTCACCAAGCGTACCAGGGGCTAGTTGAAGACGTAGATTGGATTTTGTCGCTTATTTCATACTTGTAACGTAGAGGAATGCCTATTTTCTGGGATGACTGGTATTATTCTCCAACTGTAGGTAATGCCATTCACAAAGAGCCTCATCCATGCTACGGTAGCTTCGTCTGTGATTCTGGGAATATCTGGTGAGAGATTTTACCTTATATAAAGATATTGAAAGTCCGTGATGATGATAGGATGTTTATAGGCTTCACCCTGGCGGGGGATGGGGTCTCCTGATGGGTCACCGGTATATACCGGTGGCGTTTGGCGTATCCTTTTGTTGTTGGCCTCCACCGGGTTCATCAGTAGATAAGGACGTAACCTTGAGAAGTTCGTTAACCACCCGTTGCCCGAGGCACTAAGTTAGCCGAGTAAAGTATAGGAATCACCGCGCTGTATCCACCGGGTTCCGGTTTCTCAAGTGCGTTTATGTTTTAAACACTGATAAGCTCCACAATGATACCCATTTTACGTGACCTGAGGTGATTCTTAGCCACCAGAACATCCCACCCGCTCCCAAATTCATCGACAACCCGCTCTTCCAAACCAGTCTCTCATGAATTCGACGTATATGCGCAGATGCGCTACGTCTTATTCACTCTCAACTCGCGCTGCTAACTTACCTTTGGCTCAGAGTACGATTGCTTTCACCTGTGGACCTGAAGGCGCTTGTGTACTGCAAGTGATTAGGTGATATGCACAAAGAGTAACTAACGAAGAACAGGAACTCCACGGTGGCGGCTCTTAACCATCCGCGCCGTCGTAGAAAGATGAACGGAGCGGGCGTGCGGTCATAACGCAATCCATGACATATCGCGGCGCAGATAGACTGCGTGCAGTAGACCATCCTCACAGATGAGTAAACCTGGTCAACAAAAATCGACCTAAGCTCACCTTTGGGATTATCCATCCACGCCGTCACAGATACTTCTTAAGAAGGGGAAAAACGTCCTTCATCTCGATAGCAACACATCCTCGCTGGACCCGGAGTCGTAGCGAGTTGCTGTTGCTGGATCCAGGTGTCTCTTCGGCCGAATAAGCGATGATAGTAGATTAGAGCTTGTAAAGTTCGTGCACCGATGAACAAACATCGGAAGAGGAAATCTGTCACATTTGTCGAACTCTTTTGCAGCTGGCATGAGCCATGGTGGACTTTACCGAGCCGGTGACGCAGCAGAGCGGGATAGTTTGGGTGCTCTCAGTAGTATCGGCATGAAGGGCTCGCATATACGCACCCGTGCTCCAGAAACCCTGGCGTTATGCTGTATTTCAGTGGTTGGACAAGCTCTGGCCGGAGCTCCATCATTTTGCATACGCCCCAATCAGTTGTAGACAAGTATTTCCGTACGCCTAGTACTTGCCTTCGGCCTGAGTCTCCGTCTGAAACCACCCGTGGCTGCGCTGCACTCAGAACGACGGGGGACGGAAGCAGGCGAGGAAGAGTTCACGCCATAGTAGAATTGGTGGCCAGATACGTGATCTCTGGATGCATCTAAACATCAAGGTCAACATGGCACCTCAGCCTTCGAGTGGCGACCCCGCTCAGCGTTCTGGAAGCAAGCGTCGCTTTGACATTGACCAAGAAGACCAAAGTGTGTCCTAAAGCGTGTTAGTGAAGTAACCTGACAGGGATAGAACTTGTTTCACGCGTAAAAGTGGTTTGAGTCTGCGAGCATGGAATTGGTTCGGGGTTGCTATCTCGCGCGAATCTCTTCATAACTCGATGATCTATTTGCGGGTGTCCAACTGTGATGAGAGAACCTGTCATTAAGGTTTGTCGACACTCACCGTGTTCTCTGGTTCTGCTCCGGTAGAAGCAAATCAGCTACCAGTGGAGGAATCGCCGAGTGGAAAGAGTACCAACTGTCTTAGGGAAGAGTATACAAAACCTGGGATCTGACTGGAGCGAATGCGGTTGTCGCCTCGGAAACGTCTCGACGACGCCTCGGAAACGATTCCGAAATGCAAAACCGATCATCTCAGGAGGTAGATCAGTGTATAAGATGGGGTCAGCCTACGTCTGCTGTGGCGACAGTCACCCTTTCGCGCTCCTGATCTCTAGTACTCCAGCAGCCAGTCGCAACTGCTGCTCGACAGACTGGTCACTGCAATACGATTGGCGACCATTTATTTGCCACATAAGAGTCGAAAAAGGTGTCCAAGTTGCGAATTCCCTTTGCGCAAAACCGCTTCACAAACGGTCGCTCGGACTGAAGGCGTAGGGTTATAATCGATGAGCAAATCGTCAATAAACCAGCCTTTGAATGAATACGTACCTATGAGCAAACTCGAATACACCAGGCGTTGGGCGCATTGATCCGACTCGGCCGGAAAGGACGTATGGAGACCAACAATGGCTTTTTTTTTTTGATTATACACGATTCTTTGGAGAAGGTGTCATTCGACTTCACGCTTTATCTGTTGGTATTCTTGAGGGATCCGTTGACCAGCAAGCTTCTGAAGATATCCGTGCAATCGAACGGCCATTTGTGTGAATTGAAAGACGATATATTTATTCTCCGTGATTAAGTGTGTAGGACGGTACACGTCAACTAGTGCAACGGAATGTCGCCACCAGCGCGGTCGACGCTGGAAGCAACCTGGCGACCGACCACCGTCAACACAAAATCGAATAGAAAATCATGGACAAAAGAATTTCACCCTTTACATAATATTATTCATTCAAGATCATATTGGAACCCTGGGTAAAGGTACACCGTCAGCAATCTGCCATCTCTGGTCCACGAACATCGCCGAGTCCCTCTTTTACCCAAAACCTTGGTTTTAACACATTTTTAGACGGAGAATATTCTATCTCTGGCCGGATTTCAAGCCGGATGTCTTGGACGGACTCACGTAAATCCTCTCGGGCCACTGGAAACGGTCGTAAGCCATCTTCCAATTGTATTGCCGTAGCTGACAATCCGTAAGGCTGTGGATTGAGCGTCTGCAAGGTCACTCCGTAGTGGACACGCCGGCTGACAGTCATCCAGGTGTACCATCAAATCACAAATTCACTTCGACTTTCTCGTCTCCCAGCGTAGTAGAATCCTTAAGATGCGAGGTTAGCATACTACCACTCCCAAAACGGCCGGTGGTATCAACTCGTTGGCGAGACTGTCTACAGATAGAATCTTGGTGTCAGCAAGCAGACAGTGTCATTCGCCTCACATTCAACGTCCAGGGTCTTGTACCACTTCTTTCTGGTTGGCAACAAGACCTACATACGCGCAGACGAAAACGCGACAAAATCCTCGAGGGCATGGTGAGGCGCCAATCCTTTTTGTATTGTTTCCAATCTCACCACAAGTTTCGAAAGAAACATGTCAGCGCACTAGAGTGATACTGCTATCGTCCTCCCTCAACCGCCTGCACTATAAAGGGGAGCACGATCCATCAAACGTCCACCATTCCTACAACCATGTCTAGTCACGGTTCGATTCCAGACTTTGCTTTCGCCGAAACCTCGAGCGTGCTCTCGCTAGAGTCTCCTAGCCCTCCCCACCGGCCCATCATGGATGCGTACAGTAAGCGCGTCGGTGTCAAGAGGTCCCTAGATAGAGCCACTGCCGAAGGGTGAGCTACGTCATTATTGCGAGTCACGTCGTCGTCTAACGACATTGTGCTGCAGTGTCGCCGGAGACATCCAAGCCCCGCAGATTGTCGTAATAGGATCTCAAAGCGCTGGAAAAAGCAGTCTATTTGAAGGGATATCTAGGGTATGCCTACCCCTCTCGACTGTAGCTTGCTCAATTGACCCATGGATATAGATCCCTCTGCCGAAGAATCACGGTACTTGTACCCGGTACACTCGTCCATCCTGCATTGGATTTTGAATACTCACCGGTCACTAGATGTCCAATCATCTGTCATATGCAAAATAAGAACCGGCCATGGTCGTGCAGAATCGGCATTTTGCGTGAAGGCAAAGGAAAAAGTGACTCGAACTCACTACATCAATACATACAGTTTGGAGAGATCATCTACTCTCACGATCAAGTCCGCGACCGCATCTCTCGCGCGCAGGCCGCTATTCTCCAGCCTTCCCAAGACCTCCAACAATTTCTCGATCCATCCTTTATGCAAGAACGGATTGATGGGTTTTCATTTGACTCTATTGTTGTCGATATCGACGGTCCAGATGTCATAGACCTTTCCTTTGTTGACCTCCCAGGTATGTTCCTCGACTTCGCTCGCGTGCATGGACTCATATTTCATCTCTAGGAATTATCGCTTCTGGCCCACACGTCGACGACGTTCAAAAGATGGCAGAGAAGTTCATCAGCAAACCCTGCAATATTATTCTCCTTGTGCTAAATTGCGCAGGTAAGGGTGTTCCCCTCGACTATCAAAGTATTCAACTTGACCGCAAACCACAGACGACAAAGAAAATCAAGGCGCTGTGGATATCGCTCATAAATACGACCAGGACGGAACGAGAACAATCAGTGCGCTCTCCTTTTCTGCCATACTACGCCGCTTATAATCTCCAGCTGTCTTGACAAAGCCGGATAAACACGATATTGGAGACGAGGCCAGGACTTGGCAGGACTTTCTCCGTGAATCTCCAAACCGCTTCTGCGTCAAGCAGCCTGGTCCAAAGGATCAGCGTAACATGAGCTGGGAGGAGGCACGTAAGCAAGAGATGGACTGGTTCCACAATAATTGGTGGGCAGATGTTGCGAATGACCCGGATACGTGTCGTCAAGTCGGAACGGAGAATCTGACAAACTACCTCAACTCCGAACTCTTGAACCGTTTGGTCGCTCGGTGAGCCTTCGTCCCATCCTCGCTCGGAGTCTCTTGGGCGCGTTGCTGACTATTCATGACCAGGCTTCCCGCCATCCAAGAGGACCTACGCAAAAAGCTGCGCATCCTCAGAGGCGACCTAGACAACTTACCTCCACCGATCGAGGATCCAATCAAGCAGACGAATCAGCTAATCTGGAAGTTCGGCGACGCGATCAAAGCTGCCATCAGTCACGACAACTTCAAGATACCAGTACTCGTCGGAGAGTGCCGCCGTGAGCTCGAAAAATACACCAACGTACTCGTGTACCACCTTTTCCCTCGTTTCTGCCCAGTTCAGTCTCAGTCGGCTTCGACCTTTCGTTTCGACGATATGGACGACTTTCCAACTGCTTTACCAAAGCCACCCAAGGTTTCTGCTGAATCTGCCAAACCTCGGGTCGTATACCTTGACGAAATCATCCAAAAATGCGAGGTGTATGTCGCTTATTGTGCCTTATTTGTCACGCTTCTAATTATCGACCAGGGGCCGTACTTTGGAGATGCCAGGCAATTCCCCGTACGGCGTTCGCAAGGAGTTCATGGAAATTGCTGTCAATGCATGGCAAACCGAGGTAGAAAAGGTCCTGGATGATGTCTTCGACCGCATCTCGCGCATCTTCGACGCGGTCCTGACTGACAAGTTTGGCAACATTGGTGGCCTAAACATTATGTTGTGAGTATGTTCCTTGCGTAGACTATTTATCTTTTCTGATCCTCGATCCATAGGGCGACTGTGCAAACCCACCTCGAAAATCGTCGTAATGCGGTGCGACAAGTCCTACTGGCGTCGCTTAAAATGGAGAAAAGATGCTCGATGATCTATGGATGCTCAGAGTACTTCCATCTCAAAGACATCTACTATCAGCACTATCTATCCCTGCGGTCGGGTGGAAACGGAAAGAAGGCCCGCACGAAGAAGTCGCTGCGCGCTGGTGATGCGATTCATATGGCGGCAAACGTAATTCCGAATCCTGGAATCCAGGCCGCCGCTCACATCGTGGGCGGAGCCATCAATGCCCTGGATGGGTCAGACGAAGAAGACGCAGTAGAGGATGACATATCTCCCGAGGAGAAGCACGCAATCGACGTCATGGCAGAGACGCGTGCCTTCTATCATAGTACGTACCCTCTCCGCTCACTGTTGACGCAATGCTGATTCTATACCCAGTGGCCGTCCGGCGATACGCCGAGGGGACATGCCAAATCATCTTCCACGACCTGCTGCTCGACATCCAAGGGGAATCCGAACTTCAAGAGAGCCTTCGTACCGCAATTGGAGTGTCAAATGCCTTCGCCTCTCCCGGCGAAGACGGTGAGGTCTTGAAGAGGTGTCAGGCGTTTATGGAGCCATCTCCCGAAGTCATCGAGCGGAGAAAGACGCTACACCGCAGACGTGAAACATTGCAGTCGGTCTTGAGCGAACTTATGGGGTTTAATGTAGCGAGGAGCGCCGATTAGTCTTTGTAGGCAGGTCCTGAAGTCTTACTGTTACGCTATTCATGATGTCATATACCAGAATATGATGCATGTGCAAGAACTTCTGTGGCCAATCAATGGGAAAATGAAGCACCATAATACCATCGTTTGACCTTTCGGCGCTCTGAAGCCATCGTTCGTCGAAGGTTTCCCCTCTGAGTTTATGTGCTCATACAATAGACTTGGCCGAATACTATATTCTCTTTGTAACTAGCGTATAGGGAAGCCCGACGTCGGTGGCCGGAAGCGTCCTAGTCCGGCCTCTATGCACACGCATCTTGGACTCCTTATCAACAAAAAGCCCGGTAAATGGGTCTGTATAAATGTTGGATAATATGCGTGTACAGATTATGTAGAGCGAATATATACGCAGAGACTCTTCAGGCGTTGAGTCCTGGTAAGCGAATGAGAGTGGGGAAATATCTTCTATGATTAATCGAGACGCAGATCATAGCTACTTATATACATGCTTGAGCTGATGATGACTGACTAGGATTAACTATCAGGCTATAGTGATTAGCCCGCGGAGAGCCTGGCTCCGCTGACTCTGTGTCAGCCGTGCTTGCACTTACAACAATAAACAGGGGAAGGAGTGACAGGCACTATTGAGCGAAGAAACAAAGAGCTCAGAAACCGGACCCGGAGTGTAAGAAGAAATGCCGTGTAGGCTCTACGGAGAGGGTCCATATCCCGTTCTCCGCTTTCGGGTGGTTAAGCTTAGTGATACATACAAATACGAGTTTATTCATAGTTTGTAAAATATCTGCTCAAAGATGAGAGAAATCGAGCAACATAAATCGGCCCGAACTAAACCCTAGACCTATCTTTCGGCCGTGTGTTCCCCAAGCTGTGACGGATAGCTCTTCGGGTACAATAAAAGCCTGATTCCTTATCGAAACTTCCGTGATTACACTATTATGATAGACAATACGCGACTGTATTGAAGAGCCGAAGTCGTCAAGTGAGTGCAGAGTGAACTTTCGGATATGATCGTTTGACATGTCTAGCATCTTTCCGTTATTTAGAAGCACTATATTCTGGTGACTGAAGTAGGTGAAGCGATCGAATGGTGTTTCTTCTGGCCAAATTGCTCCAACCTGCGTCTGTGTGCTGGCGTCCCAGAGCTGTACAATCCCTAGTTCCGGTTTCCGCCAGGAACCAGACGTGAATTGAGAAAAATTTTGGTAGGGTTTTTTTGGAAGGGATACCGTCACAATCCGACTGCCATCCAACGAAAACGCAAGGCCAACGATGCGCTCCTCGGCAATCATAAGTTTCCCAATCTTCTGGCCAGTCTCGGTATCCCATAGCTGCATCGACTTGCTACGCGACCCTGAAGCCACTTTAGAGTCTTTCGGTGAGTAGGCGACGCAGTTAATCCGACCTGCGTGTCCGTGAAGGGGCCCGATGATGCCGAAGGCGGCCGCTCGGTTCCAGAGCCGCAATGTCGAATCACGGGAACCTAATGCAAGCTGGTCACTGCTTGGTGACCATGCAATACAGTGGACCTGGAGGTCACCAAGTAGATGGCTAATACTTTCGCCGTTGGCCGCGTTCCATATACAGACAGTCTGGCCAGACACTTGGGCATCATGGAGCAAGCCAGAAGCTGTGAAGCCAAGCCGGCGTTCTCCCCTCGGTACAGGATCAGCAGAACCAGAGGCCAAGAACTCGCTACGGGGCGAAAATGTGAGACAAGTGATCTCACTAGTTGGTCCCCGAAGATGACATACTAGCTCCCCTGTGGTGGTATCCCAGAGTCGAGCGCTACGTCCTGCTGCAGTAGCTACGCGCATCCCATCCGGAGAAAACGCGATGTATTTCACCTCGCTCTCGTGATCCCTCATGTCATCTGTGTTAATATCACGCTGATAATTCCAAAGACGGAGTGTAGAATCTTTGGAGCCGGAAACGAGATAGTTTTGTTGAACAGCAAGGCAGCTGATTGCTTGGTTATGACCCCGAAGGGCATTACCGATACAAGTCGTTGTGGCAGTGTTCCATACGCGTAGAGTTGTATCACGGGAGCCAGAAACTATGAGCGCTCCATTACGCCAGAAAGTGACGCAGGTTATTCCGCCAGTATGACCCTCGAGAGTATTGCCAGTTTGAGCTCCTGTGAACCCGTCCCATAGTCGGAGACTTTTATCTGCTGAACCCGTGACGATACAAGTTCCACAAGGCGAGAACGCAAGGCATGTTACCGGTGCTTTGTGCCCATGTAGAATGGCAATTTGCTGCCTAGTCTGGACGTCCCAGAGACGAGCCGTCGCATCAGCTGATCCAGAGGCAATACGGGTAGGAGGCCCAGGCGAAAAAGCCACGCAGATGATGGGCGCCGTATGAGTTGGGGGATGTAAGAAGGAGTTGCCAAAAGGCTCCCCAATAGGTTCACCAGTATTGACATCCCATAATCGAAGAGTGTGGTCGATTGAGCCGGATACAATGAGGCTTCCGTCACTGGAAAGTGCCGTGCACAAGACGCGATTTGTATGGACATGTGGAGTCGTCCCAATACTTGCACCGCTTTTAGCATCCCACACTCGAATGCGGTGATCCCAGGAGCCGGAGATAATACGGCGGCCGTCAAGACTATAATGGACCGAGGCCACCACGTAGCTGTGCCCCTTGAGGGGTTGTCCAATGGGATCACCGGTTGCCGCGTCCCACTGACGAATAGTTCTGTCCCACCCACCGGTGACAATACGCATCCCATCTGGTGAAAAGTCGAGTGACTGGACCGACTCTTCGTGGCCTCGCAGAGATTGTCCCACGCGTGCTCCAGTGGAAACATCCCATATACGTGCAGTCCCATCTCTTGACCCAGATGCTATCAACCTTCCGTCCGGAGAGAATGCTAGGCACTCGACCTCCTTTATGTGACCACTCAATGCGTGATTTGGTGGCCAGTGGTCCTCTGCTCCAAGTATGGCTCTTGGGAACATATGTTCAAACTTCGCGCCATATTTTTCCCACAAGCGTGTTAATCGTGGTGTAAAAAGTAGAGATGATGAATAGAGATTATGCGAATCCCTCTCCAAGATAGCCTGATGTCGCTGGACGAGCCTGATAATGTCACTACAGGTCTTTATGACAAGCATCAGTCGAGATAGGATTACCATGCTGTGATTCACTTACTTCTTTATCCTTTTCTGCGAATTTGTGGCGATGCAGAGTATCGCGGGCAATGTCAAAGTTGTGAATGAGGTGCTTTAGATCCGCGAAGCTCAGCAGCTCCACAAGGTAAAGGGCACTATTTTGCAGGAATGCGCTTAGATTTTGCTCTACGCTAGAATTGCGTAACGCGGTGTCCACATGTCGCGCCCAGTATTTCACCGAGTACATTAAGGCTGGTTGCTTGTCAAAGGGCGTCGGGCGCAATTGATCCAACTGTTGTTGTGAGTGATTATCCGGAGAAGTTATAGCAATGCGACAGGTGTCATACGTGCAATGCTCTTGCAAAGTTTGAAGAGTTGAAATGGCAATGCGTCCGTTGATAGACCTTTCGCAGATGCGAACGGGAATATTGGTCCTGTCAACTTGTGTGATGTAATCACGAAAAGTTGGATGAAGAAACTCGACCACAGAATGCACACGGAGTACACTTTGCATTGTTCGCACTGCTGAGGTCAGTTTATCGAGGTCTGTGTCCATCAAGACTGAGAGTGTTGGGATCGAGACAGGGTCAAGGAGGCACGCGATAAATCCTATAATTGATCCATGGATTCCAGAGTCATCCCCGTCAGAAAAAAGGCGGACGACGGAGGTGTAAAGCTGATTTATGTCTCCTCCAGGAACTCTAGATAGCAATGTATCGAATGTCGAGGAAAGTTGACCCAAACCGTGAGCACGGTTAAGCTCAAGACACGCGGTAGCAATCCAGATGAAACTTCCACCAGACCGTTGCACAAGCTGCTGTCTTTGCTCGCGGGTAAGCCGACCTTGAAGACTATCAGTGGCAAACATATCAACGTCTTCCATGTTGGTACTATTATTGCCGTTCAGGTAGTAATGATACCCATGGACCAAGGTGTTGCCCTGTAAAATCTTCATGACATCTTGCTCTGGCCGACTGGTGATGAAAACCTTGAGATGTGGGATAGAGGGAAGCTTGTCAATGAGGATGCGCATCAGCTCGCTCCGTGTCGGAGCTCTGCATTCGTCTATGGCGTCGATAACAATCACTGCTGGCCGGTCCCACTCAAGTAGAGGTTCCTCCACAAGTCGCGCAAACTGGGTGCCGAAGTCCCGGTCACAAAGTAAGGGATCCCTGCGGCGTGCTCCTTCCACTTTTTTTCGGATCAACCGGCTGTTCTCGCTGAGATCGGCAGCAATAATTGAGCAAAATTTGTCGATTTCCGAAGTCTCCCGCGCGTTCCTGGAGAAAAAGAAGCGCCCAATCACAATGTCTGGATTTTGGTCCCATTCATAGCACATGGTGCGAGCAATTGTAGACTTTCCGGAACCACCGATATCGCAGAGCCAAAAGATGCGAGTCGGGGTATCAAGGTCGGCATGCCAAATTCGCACATTTTCAAGTACATTCACTCTCGTCCCGTCAAGGCAGCGGTTGTGTTGTATTCCCAATGGCCTTGGGATATCAGGCCCAAGCTGAGTCATTTTCCAGGCTTTCCATTCAATTAATCCCCTGAATATCTAAGCATATGTGATACATACCTTCAGCTTGGAGCTCTGCTTGACATTGCCGGAGAGTATACTGGTAAAGTTAGCTCGAATATAACTATCCGGAGTAAAACCTACCTCAAAAGTAGTGTAGTGATCTGCTATCTTCTCTTTGAGGCCAGAAAGAGCAGATGCCTCTATTTTACTATCGACTGGCATCAAGGCCCGACCTGCCGGTGTTTCCCGACGAGTCGAAATTGCTTCCACTTCTTGCAAGACGGCTTCAAGTGCGCTAAGCGGCAGGTTAGTATCCAACATGATTCGAATGCTGTCATCCATACGCAATTTGGTTTCTATATGCGAGTTTAAAACCATCCCAGCTGGCAGGCTGCAAGCCCGTCCCGTCTCCTTCCCGGAACTTGGACTCCAGATCTTGCAGTATTTGAATATGACGGGATAGTTTCATCTCCAGCTCTTCTAGCGTCGCCGTGTTCTCGTTGATCGCCTTTTCAATGAAAGGTCAGCTATTTAGGGGGACGTCTGTCTCGATGACGTACTTTGACTGTCTCCAGAGATAGAATGCAGAGCTCGCACGTGGCTTTCAATGGAGCCAACAGGGTCGTTGCTTCGGAGATGTGCTTCACGACCTTGAAGCCCTCAATGAGACCGTTACGAACTCGCTGATACTTGAGTTTCTGATATTCTGAGTTGGAACCCTTGGTAATTTGACTCTTCGAAGGGTTGGATACAGCGCCGATTGCCTGAGAGCTAGAGGCTGACGACATTGCGGGAGATGGGACGAAGGAAAGATACGCAACGGAGGTATAACTTTGATCTGTTGTCTATTATAACCCCCCTGGCGCCTGAACAGTCAGTCAGCCGCGAAGCTGCTGGTTGACGAACCAGCGTTTAACTGGTTCATCCTAATAGAGTTTTTGATATGGATAGTAGGGAATGCTGGTAGACACCCCCTTCTGAAAAGCCGTGTAGAGGCCACTAACTCGGTGCTCAGTATGAGTTGGCTGGACAGAGCGCGATTGGACGGATATCAACAGAAAGCGACCTCGGCAAACGTGGAACATAGCATAGAGTCAGTCCCAGTTCAGCGCTGTGATCCGATTCCTTGGGTAAATATTAAAAGATGAGAGACTACTGGCTCCTCTTTTGACGCTTCGTGGGAGTCGAGGTAGTACACCTTTTGAGGTGGCATCTGTTCTTGGTATTCGCTCGTCGCGGCGATTATTCAAACATGTACATGCGTCGATAGCGATGGGCTTGTTCGCCAGTTCGAAGATGTTCTATTCATTCTCCACTATTCGGTGTGGAAACTACACACGTTGACCGGCGTAACAAAGAGGTCGCCGTCAGAGTGACCACCGTCGACGGACAGGTTGTCGCTGACCACGTTCACTACAGAATCAGAGAAAAGCAATAGTGACAAATAATCACCCCTTCCTGCAATTAGGCTTGTGTTGGAATCTGGATATCACTGTCAGCACGGGTGCTATCGGCGGCCCATGAAAGGTCGCCAGATTCCCTTGTTCCCTATTCCTTGCTCCTGTCTCTTTTCCACATGGGAATAAACTAGCTTTGAGCTGGACGTCCCGGGCGACCCATTCTCACCTCGGGCTAAGCCGACAGTCCTCAATACAATCATTTGACCATCCGCAATAGCAGCTGGCATGCTCATCGAGGTCACCTCACTGTATATCATCCAGTCATGGGCACCACATGGATTTCTTCCACTCGCACTATAGTAGGAGCCGGTGGCGTCACCTCGTCGGTAAGACTATTTCACGGTGAGTTTCAGTGCAATCAAACCGACCCGACCACTGATTCACGTCTGAGTTTAGGGTATTGGACCACCGCATTTGAGCGAGGGCTATATGCTCGCAACGCCGGAAACACGACAAAATCCTCCACGGCGCGGTGAGATACGATTTACCTCCGATAATCTTATCGTTATTTGCTGGTGGAATCACTTCAACTGGCATGAGAATCTCAGCTATCTTCTTTTTCCTACCACAGAAGGGGCACGATGCGTACCCACCTCGAAAATCGTCGCAATGAGGTGCGACAAGTCCTATTAGGGTCTCTTGGACGGGAGAAGCAATGTTTGATTATCTACCGATGCTCAGAGTGCTTTCACCTCAAGAAAATTTGCACCAAGCACTAGTTGTCTCTCCGATTGGTAGTGAGAAAGCTATACAGAAGAAACTCCGTCGCAAGGAGACTCTGCGAGAGGGTGATGTGATCCATTTAGCAGCAGGCGCAGTGCCTCATCCGGGGATCCAAGCCGCTAGCCACATCATCGGCGAGTAGTCAAAGCTCTCGAGAGTGACATAGTCGAAGAAGTGGGGTATTCGGTGGCAGAAGTTCTATCACCTGAGGAAGAACATGGAATCTCATGGTAAGTATCTTTCTCCGACCGCCGATATTTTGCACATTTTGCGTCCAGTGGCCGTTCGTCGATACGCCGTTCCTTCGGCGTAGATCACCTTCCATGACCTGCTACTCGACATTCAAAGTGGTGCCAACCTACAAGAAAAGCTTCGCTTCGCAATTGGGTCTTTATGGAGTCCGGAAGTCTGCTTGAGGCGAAGAGGTGCCGAGGAAGTGTAAAGAGTTCGTGTAGCCGTTTTCCGAAGTTTTGAGCGGAGAAAGGCATTACATCGCAAGAGGGAGAGGTCCTAAACGAGCTTCTGGCGTTCAACGTTGCGAGATGATTCAAACTGCTTGTATGCAATCCAAATGATATCTTAGTTTGTCTTAGTTGATTTAGGCGCAAACTGACACCTTTGCCTTGAATTACTTGGAGTAATGCCGGCCACTCATTGATAACGCAAACCGTCCCAAGGAACATAAAAATTACCCGTAGGCCGTGTCTACTTCGCAGAATATATCAAAAGAATATCACATTGAATATGCGTTGGACAAAGAACGTGTAATAATGCTGGCAAATGCGTCGCCGATTAAACTCGCATACGATGAATGGTTTGGGGCCCCATGAAGAAGTCCACCTGTACGAGAGCTATGTGAGACCAAGTAAGTATTACTTAGCGAGGCGAGCGAATTCACCAGTCCAAACCCGTTTACTGACTGAGGGCATCAACTTAGGAGGGGCAGAAGAGGTCTGAACCCGGCCAACCAGGTTGGATTACCTGAGTAACGGGGGGTACATAGGGAGTGTAACGCGTTAGAAGGAAAACAGGGACACTATAGTCTAGTGGTCTAAGGCTAAGTCGGCGCGAATCCGGCTTGTTCCGTTTTCCCGCGGCTAAACGTCACAAACCTGCAGCAGCCTCAAGTCAGTTGCGTGCTTTACGAACCAGGGTTGAAGTCGCGTCGACGATCGGCTCTGGTATCTCCAAGATGCAGACATTTGGGGAGATCTGGTATAAAGAGGCCATCACATGCGTATTCTCCCCATACCATTCAGCGGTGTGCTCCAAGTTTCTTGCGTTTGTGACATTTTACACACTATACTACCAAAACGCGACCAGTTTCAGAGATGCCAATAACAAGGGAACTTACAGTCCGCGCTTCAGGTTCAGCTGCGGTGACTGATGATGGGGGAGCTCCCATCTCTCATTTATCCATCCAGGCTGGGGGACCTATAACGACTATGACGACTACGACTGCAAATGGAACGGAAATGACCAGGATTAGTGTCTCAGAGGCACCAGTGTCAGTACCTGATCAACATGTTCCGAGTATCCTAGACGAGTGTGCGCATCCTTCTACTCAGGTTACGGTAGAATCATGCTGACCCAATGTGTCAATCTCCCAAAACGGCCTCCGAAGTATGCATCACACAAGGAGAAAGATGCTGCAATTGACAAGCTCTTTGACACATTGGATGAAAATGCGACGGCCATAAAGGGCTATCACGGAAGGCTGGTGGTGGCTGATGATGAAAATGGCCACTTATAGGCCAAGATCTATGGAGGGAAGTCAAAGTGTCTCCAAGCTAGACGTCCTTCTCCAGCTACAGGTCGAATACTCACAGCAGATAAGCAGTTCGATGAACTGTACCGGCAAGACCGCAAGCGGGCCATGAAAGAGGTCCTAAAGGAGATAAAACCTATTCTAAATCAGATATCAAAGGCTTTGACAGATGCGGAGCGGAAATGGGCAAAAAAGGATGACAATCATGAGAAAATGGAGATCAAGATAGCAAAAGGAGAGATGGAAAGAGTAGAAAAAGAGACTGTTAGCTCACAAGACAGATGGAATTGGTGCAGAATGGGTTGGAGAAGGCTGAGGAGCGGCAAGATAATGCCAGAACGGCATCTGCAACCAATAGGGAGAATAAGGCATGCAGCAGCTGGAAGCAAAAGCTCAATGGACATTTAAAATGTCAATTATCAGCATCCCAACGGTTCTCTGCTGCACAAGCTGCTTACAATGTGCTTGTGGCGAAACGCAAAGATTGCCTGGAGAAGCTGGACGATATGGAGAAGCAGTATGACGCAGCAATAGCAGCAGAGAAACGAGAAAAGGAGATTGAAGATGAAAGAAGACAGCAGGAGAGGGCGCGCCATGCAAATCTCCCACAGCGTCCAAAAGACGCAGCAAGTCTATGGAGGGATCGTTTCTCGGTCCTTGAAATTTACCGACTTCCCACCAAGGATGATCAAGTAGACGTACGCTTACAATTTGACACCCAACCGGCCCTACATGACAATTGTTCCAAGGTCACACACGCTCTCAGTCCACTGTAACAACTTTGGTGCAAGCAGCAATATATTGACCACGACGGACTAGGTAGCACAAGTCTACTCTTCTACGTCTACAGTTCGAACGACTATAATACCCGTCTTAAATAGACAGAATGGACATATCTCGGTTCGGATGGACTATCTGAGGACGGAAACCGGAATGAGGGAACGGCAGCTGACTACCTAAGATAGGGGTAAAGAGTGGCGACGGTCAGAAGACCGTGTCAGAGACATGAGAAACAATAAGAACTGTGGGAATCGTTGTCAGGACTAAGAATAACAATGAGAAAAGTGCTCCGGGGTTTGCGCGTTCCAGTAGATTCGCCCAGAGCTCGTGCGCGAGCCTACACGGAATTACTTGACATTGCAGAAGAGCCCGAACTTGACAAGCGCAGTAAAAAGGATCAATTTGGTGACTTTATACCCTGCCAGAGCTTAAGGCTTTATGTAAACCTTTCCCTGTATATCGTGGCGGGTGACTATCACGGAGTTCAACGGCCTCGCGTGACCCAGTCGATGAACCTGACGGGACCGCCTTTCTGGGTTGATCTCCTGAACAGAGTCGATGAGAAATCCTTGGATATGGATAAAGTAGAATAAGTCCCGTACCCATTATTTCGACATTGACTGGCAGATCAAATAATCTACAAATATAAAGAGTGTAAAACTCATGACAACCTGGTAGACAACGCCAAAGTACGCACCCTTTCGAAGTTCCAATATGCCCTGGAGAAGCCGTACCTTGGATACCACGCTTGTAGTATTCCTCGTAGACGTTAGATACGGGTTCGTGCTTCAAGATCCCATTTCCAAGGTCGCCGAAGAGAACCTCTTGCTTCCTGAGGTCGGATTCCTTGAACTTCCCCAACGGAGGTGTACGTCTGGCGAGTTTTCCATCGATGGGAATGCTGCAAAGTGTCAGAGTAAGAATGACTGGCAAAGGCTTGTCACCGTACGTACGGGGCTGCATTGACGAGGAAAGCAGAAAGGAGGAGCGCAGCGATTAAGGGGAAGATAGGCTTGAACATTTGTTCGCTTGAAAGAAAGAGGTTCAAAGAAATGTTTGTGAACAATGTGTGATACCAGATCAAAAGAAGGAGGAACAGTGGCCATCGATGACCGGATCCGCGGAGGGCTTTATACTGCTCTGCATGGGCCAGAAATGAAGACGATATCTGACAATTGGGGGGATACCAAATGGTTTCTATGGGAACGAATAGCCCATTAGTACGAACTAGCCAGCTCAGTGATGCGGATAGTTCTAAACCCCGCAAATGAATGGCATTGACCGGTGAGAGATGTCGTTGATGTCTCACGGTCATTTGGTGGCTCTCTCGCACGTTTGGATAATATATTAAAATTCTGTGCTCGTCGAAAAGACCACACCGCTACACGGAGATAATCGACATGACCCTCTATATTTGGTCCTTGACCTCGATTCTTACCTTGACATTCCCAGTCTTGCGCACCGTGACAAGGTAATCCAAGACGTGAATTTATCCTCAAAGGTGGATTCGGTGAATGTTCGTGGTCGCCGAGCCGAAGGAAAAGAGCATTCAAGGTCATGTTAGCGCGGTGACTCTGCCAATGACAACTGCGGGATCCAAGCGGTCACTGTGAATCGCGGAAGAGGACACGTTTACGCCCGCAAAAGGCTGCCTACACCAATGGCCATCGACGACTTTGGCGCCGACCTGGACATTTCGACAGACCCCTGCCCGAAGTCGACAAGCGCTATAAAAGGGGACCACTTCGATGACTTTAAGCTCTCCAAGGGCTTACCCTCTTACCACCTACAATGTCTTACATCGTTATTGGAATTGTCCCCGCCGGTGGGGACCTCAAACTGCGTGAACAGTACCTGTTGGTTCAGTTTCGGTGCAATTATAACGTTGTAGACGTGTATAGCGTCGCAGAGATTGTCCAAGATTACCATTCAACCGTGATGTCGACTATGTGTTTCCCTTTCCACCTAGTGCCGCCGTTTGCTCCTTCAAGGCAGTCATCGATGACAAACGGACGATAAAGGGAGTGTAAGGTTTCGAGGATTACTCCTCGTCACGCACCCCTCACCGGCAGTGTCCGCACCAGTGACACTCCGTCCTCACTCTATACCCATCTCATGACCCCTATCCTCTCAGCCGCCGCCGTCTCCGCCATTGTGGCAATGGTAGTTTCACATACCTAGACTCCCCTCGCTTCTAATCGCTCTTTCCTTGTTTCAACGTTTACCCACGGTCACTGTTTACTATATAAGACGCTATGTACATGTCCTAGCTAGCAGAGCCTCCTGTACCCTCCCAAGTCGAACACCCTCCTTCAATAAACGGGTTTAGACTGGTGAAATTGCTCGCCCCTGCTAAGTAATACTTACTTGGTCTCGCGTAGCACCGCTGTCAGTCAAATCCGAGACAAGTTTGTCGGCAAGGGCCACCACGCTCCAGCGCAGGAAAATAAATCCTGGCGAGACATTTGAATGGGATAGGGTTGATGAGCTTGCAGGGGCACACCGCTGGCAGGGCATTTGGCAAACTATGAGAACCCGCTGGTGAGGAGACAGGACCCGGCCCCCATGTGCCGGCGAAGGCCATAGCAAGTTTGTCTACACTGGCAAGACGCCCCGGTCCCTACCACTTCTAGGCGAATTGCACATCGTAAGCATGCTGAAACACCCAATCCAAGCCTGACGGATATGCAACATGTAGCGAACAATGGCGGGCCATCGGACGGTGAGGATACCGTTACCGCGTCCTGTGTGCCCCAGCATACGTTAATTGAGGATGAAACGCTAGCTGGTTGTAGGTCCCGAAGCCCGAGTCGTCGTCGGCAGTGCTGACAATCCATCGGACATGGAGGCTACGTGGGGAGGTCCATCTGTGTATGCATCAGGTTTACGGATAACAGGGTGCGAGTGTTGATTCCGTTGATTCTAGGATGCGTGAGGTGAGAGGCAAGACCAGTAAGGTCTGGCCATATTGTCCCGCGTCCCTAAATACATTGAGTTATGACGTGAGCTATTACTATTGGCCAAGTCTATTTAGTGAGTGCTAAGAGTCAAAGGGTAAACCTTCAACAGTGAGTGATGACTGACCACTTGTTGATAGCGTGTTCATGGGCAGCTTGCGTACTGCGAACCCATTTGATAAATGGAATTGAGCGCTGCGACCAGAGCAGGAGGAGTGTTGATGATCGAAGGCAATCTACAACGAAGAGAGTGGTAAACAGTGGGCCTAGGAAGGGTCTGTAAGACCCTCTCTGGCCTGCCATATGGTCGTTGACGGAATGTGCGCGCCAATCCAAGCAAAAGGTCCGACCCATTCGCTAGCCCTCTATCACTATACAGCCTTCATGCTGTGCAATATGTGCTTTATGATACGCTGGGCCACCTTGTGAGCATTGACTGAGCAGCCTACGCTGGTCGTGAATACCGTGAATAAAGAGTGCTAGCAACATGCGAGAGTAACCGAGTGCAGCCTGGTAAGGAACAGTATTGCAATGGCAGGTGGGGTCCAGAGTCACTGAGGGTGAGGACGCCAACCATGGAAGCACGCTAGCGACCTCGAATCTCCATAGCATTATCTAGCACTCGAAATATATGTGGAGACGCTGAGAACTTTACCACGCACCGGCTCTTTGCACATTCTGACCGACCATTTCGACCCCAGCTCGCCCACAAGGCAATGCGAAGATACGAGTGGTTATCAAGAGTACGGATATCAGTACAAATGATAGAATTCCGAGGATCAGAGCGAAAGAAAGAGGATCGAAGAACACAAGGCGCAAGTCGGCATCTCTGCGCATATGATAGCTCCGATAGAGCTATTCGTGGGGCGGATCATTCCCTATACGCGCCTCCTGCGACGCCTTTGGGATTGACCAGGATCGTCAAGATTGTCCAGAGAGTCTGGGGACTTTCTGTGGTACCATCGTGGGCCTTTAGTACCATTCAGGGTATTTAGAACCTTGAGTCGTGCAAAGGCGTCATTTATCCAGGCTCTGTCGGGAGATACACGCTGAACAACGCGAGCGCAAGTCTGCTGTAAGCGCGCCCCATCGGGCCAGCTGAGATAGATAGAATCTAGACACCGATACTAAAGTCTTCCGTAGGTTTTTCTTGGGTCCGACGCATCGCATCGACGGCGTTGGACACGATCACGGGAGAGTCAAGCATTAATGGATTCTTTGTTTGGTGTTGACCCGCACTTAGCACCGGCAATAACACCCCTCGGGCGGTAAAGGACATAGCAGGACCTAGGTCGTATATGCATATGGAAGGGGAGGCATTATTAATATAAACAGCGCGGTGGATGCGGTGGGGCAACGTTCCATGCTCTTTTTCCGAGACAAAAACCATCCGGTATTCATTACATGGCACTAAAAGAGCTTTGGGAGACTGGATTGTGCGCTGGGCCACATTAGAGATGGCGTACGGCGACCATAGCCTGTTCATAGGCTTGCCTCGGAAGTAGAGTGGTCGCGTCAACTGGTCGGTGAGCTTTCTTAGATTATTGACACATCTAGCATCTATAGCAACTCTTGGTCGACCCGGAGCTCCAGGGTAGGCTTCAACGACCAACGTCGTCTGCCAGTTGCCTTCCGAATGGTCATGCTAACCCGCCGCAAGAAGAGAGAACCACATAGTGATCAGTATTTTCCAACGGAGTATAGGATTAGAGTGCCTCATGATTCGACCCACCGTTCAGGCGACCCAGGTCCGCCGGCCGAAGATTGAATTTATTTGAGAATAGGTTCATATATTGTATTTCTACGTGAAACTCATATTCTAATACTCCAACTATTCCAAATCGAGTCATTCCGATTGCGCAATATCGCATTCCTTGAAACCAATCAGCAAGGCCGACCTTAACTATCATCTTAGCAGAGTCTATCCATTGACGAATCAGAGGATCAGCTGTCCGGCAATCCATGTGAACAGAGAGAGGCTTGGGATGTAGTGGAGCTGTCTTCAGAAGTCATAGAGAAAAGGGAAATGATTCATTGTAGGCACGTAATTGTCCGCAGAGAATGTCCAAAGTCGTCTTATGCACGTGACTCTAGTCAGCCTGGATGCTGGAAATACTGAGGATAGAGGACGCATACAAACCTGCAAAAACGGGAGATTTTACACGCGCACTCGACATTCCATTAATAATCTTGACTCAGCCGCATCGGAATATTGTCACCTCCGGTGTAGGACAGTATCAGGCGGACAAGGCCATTGGGTTTGCCTCGGTTTCTCTAAGCCTTACAAAGCCTGGAGAAATATATTGCTGGGATAGCGCCATCGATAATAATACAGATTCCCAGAAGCACCGATCGAAAGAGCCAAACTTGGTCATTAAGGTTGGAGCGATAATTGAGCCTGCTGGTTGATATGGCACCGACAAATCAATCGACATCGACAGGGTGTCCATGCTCGACACATTAGGCGCCTTGGCTACGTCAACGCCATGTTCGGCACGGACGCATCGCTTTATGCAGCAATGTGCATCCTATGCGCGCCCAATAAAACCATTGACAGTCTGCTCAGCTGGCGGAAACTTGTCACGAACTAGAGATCTAGTGGTATCCGATTAGCACTGAAGATACTCATCTTCATAAAATTCCATTGAATTGAACAGCTACACCGGCAGCCGTGACCGTTTGGGGTTGAAAATTTTGCGGCCGTCTTTACCTCCAGGGGCCTACTTAAAGCCCAAGCATCTGTCCTGCTTCTGCCTCAGAACGTAACACTTACATTCCCCTCATTCGTGAGTTGGTTGCATGCCTTGGTAATCGCTCTGTGTTGACATAGCATGGAGGTTTCCATCCCTTTAGATTAGCTGCGGCGTATCCGACAATGCTCCCAACGAATCAGCCCATCAAAGCGATCCCTAGCCCAAAAATTGCTAGTGAAGATACTCCTGTAATTAATGTAGCAGATATAGCAGGCCACGGCGAACAGGCGAACACGGTTCGGACGTCGGCAACAACAGTGATTAGAGCTGCCGCAGCCGACGATAACGTCCTGGAGATACCGGCGTCAACGTTAGATATCGGGATGACATGTGGCGCGCGTGAGTATATTCCTTGCAGTCCCTTTGCCTTGTCACTGGCCGCGCATGCTGATGTCAGTGGCTCCAGACGTCGTCGAGGTTACCTGGACCAACTCAGGGTGAGTGGACGGATTCCTTGGAGAGTGAATAGAGCTGATTCCATCCCTTGTATACAACAGGGAATTTACTGGTTTTTTATACACACCATGTCCCGACTGGTTAACGACACCCACGTCCACGCTCCCATATCAGATGGCCACATCACCTGCTCTAACGCCAATGAACGTGCATCAAGTCCCCAGCGGCGATAGTGAGGCGCCAACTGATGGTAGCTTTGCATCACAGGACATGCCGAATCAGGAGGCGTTGACTGAATGTGAGTTGATCCAGTGGCATCCGAGTCGTCCTCGTTGGTGCTGACAGTCCATCAGATATGGGGATTACATGGGATGACAACTCTCGGTAAATATTACCTGATTGATTCGACGCACGCATTGAAACCTCTTTTCGTCTACAGCATGTTTACCGGTCATGTGCGCGCTGCCTGGCCGTTCGACGACTCGACGGCGGAGCTACATCTTGGACACGGTCTAAACCATTGACATAAGGAAAACTACGACCACGTACGATCAGCCAGACTTGACTCTTTGAATCATGACTCTGGTCTCTCGCTTGGTCGTAGATGGGACGCTGCGCACCAAGAAAATCAAAAGAAGAATAGATATTCTAATGCCACAATTCTGCCCATATGTACCTCTTATGCTATAAAATATGATCGTCACGCTGACGTGCTAGCCCCGCGCCCAGGGGTTTGGGTTGAACGGTCAACGCTGCGATTAGATGGGGCCAGACGAGTTGAGCGAGCATCTTTATGTGTGAATAGACAGTCTTGCAGGGCAAAGGTACCAGAACGACTGGCTAGGGACGAAACCGGCCAGGCTGAGTGTGAACATTGGACAGCGTTGATGATTTCGAATCTGTATGATAGTACTGAGTGTTATTAGTATACTTTGAGCTCCTTGATATCTTTGTAAAGCATCGATTTTGCAGGCTCTGAGGGCGGGCTCAAGCCTACCGCGCTTATAAGACACTGTAAGCGTTTCAGAATTTTTTCACGACTAGAGAGAGTCAGTAAGAAATAAATGAGGGCAAAAGGGAAGAAAACGACGCCGAGCAAAAAATGCAAAATGCAAGGGTCGAACACACGTCCTTTAGACGATTGGTAGCCATTAACTTGGTGTGTTTGTGTCTGTATTATGGCTCCGACAGAGCCATTCGTTGAGCAGCCTATTCACTATACGCGACTCCTAGCCACCTGTATTGGCGTTGGCCAATCTCATACCGCCCACCACGCGTGGAACTCATGTTGAAATGAAGATGGATGCAACAAGAGATAAATATTTAAACTTACAGGACGGAGAAGATACGTTCGCGCCTTGCCTCCTGGCGACCGCGTGTCGGGGCCATCCTTATAGCACCATTCAAGATCCTTTACGCAATTCCCCGATATCATATTGATGGATAAACGATATTACAGGAGCCGACCACACGGCAAGCGCGAGCAACAGGCCCATCTTCTTCGTCGGGTCGACTGGGATATGTCGAATCCAGACACCGATACAAGTCCGATGGCAGTCGTGTCAAGGCTGACAAACCGTCGATGGTTTATACCAAATTGCGGCGTGGTTCAAGTTTACGTCTGTTTGGACCAAACTTCCTCCTCGTGCCACGAAAACGACGCCGAATGCTGATGACCAGATAAAGTGGCTGTACCTATCATGTTACTAGAATAACTTCATTCAACCCACTGATTTGTTAGTTTATTGCCTTGTTGTCTCGTCTATGTACATAGTGGCACGCGAGGGGCCGTAGTCAAACCTTACTGGTTTGACTACAACGCTCACTTGCCTAAGTTACGCTCTGTTCAGCGTGATTAGGACTTCGCCGGGCTCAGAATGAAATCCAGATTTACTCCTAAATACGGTCGTATACTGCTTCTCTAACGTATGACCACAGCACCTCCGTCTCTGGATATTCCCCAGCCACAAACCAAATCCAACGACTCCAACTTGGGGGCAGCCTCTCTCTGTACCGAGTCATTCCTAGGCTTTCAAACCAGATAGGATAATACCTGCTATCATCCCAGTCGATCATCCAGAGGTGGCCGTCTATGTCGAATATGAGGTTCCCAGGATGAATATCCCCGTGAGTAAAGACGAGCCTGCGGTAATCGAGCTTGCTAGATAATGGTGCCGGTAGGGGTTTAACCGGATTGAGCGAAGGTTCCTGCTTTGCCAGACGAGCTATAACTTTCCATTCTCGACTACCTAGCGCCTCGCACCAACATTGGAGTCGCACCCAGGTCGGGAAAACGTTGTAGATATCTTCGTGTTCGAAAAGTGCTCCACGTACTAATCCAGCCATGGGTCCAGGCTTCTCGCTAGTCGGAGAATTGCGGATCTGTCGTATATAGGTCCGTAGTGTGCAAAAGCTTCGGAACTGGGCGAACGGTTCGAGCTTCTCCCAGCATCTGGAGAGAGGAACCCCTGGTATTAGAGTCAATATGAGCGCATTCGTCCGTAACTATTGTCACCTTCGGTGCGGGTATTTCCGTGCTTGAGGAGATCAGGTCGATTGCTTGCATCTCTTGCTGAGGTTCGCCACCGAGTCTCATAATGTGATGGTCCGTGATCTTTCGAACGTTTTCAATTACACCAGGCTGTACGAACGATGCCCGTTCTTTACCCCATTCGACTGCGGATTTGCTCGTGTGCAAGGAATATGCTGTCACCTCTGGCGGTAAACTAAATTCTTGGTACTGCGTAGATGAGCTATAAGTGATTTAATTTGGCGATACGTACCACTGAGAGTCAGTCCGAGAAATGGCAAAAGATCCTCGGGTCGTTCGGACTGGATGACAGTAGAAGGTAGATGGGTATTCTTCCATGCATTCATGGCGAAATCTTGGCGCAAACTGGTAGGTCAAAGATGGTTTGCTTCTGCCGCGGAATCCAGGGTCAGGTCAGATACGACGTATGCTAGGCAAAGAGTAGTATTTTCGAGATTACGAGAGAGCTCGTTTGGAGTTTTGGATAGTTCTTCCCACGAATACGACGGCTCGAAAACTAGGATGGTAATCGTTGCGTCCGCGCACTGTACATGGCTGATTGGGTAGTTTTCTTTGTATATTGTAATCTTATATCGTTTAATCTGTGTCTAGATACCCGTGTGAACGGCAATATAGGAGTGGTGATCGACTGCACCAGTCGACGCAATGGCTTGATGAGCGTAGGGCCTATTTGATCGCTTTAAACTCAAAAAAATCTGATCCTGCTCGTATCAGCTCCCTAGAGCGAGTATCTGGACTTCCATGAGCGTTACGCCCTTGACGTTTTGGTCCAAAATGGCGCACCACCTTGATCCCGGGATTGACCTAGCTACTACTTGTACGTGCATCAATTATGCGAGGCTCTCAAGGCTATAGGAGAACCGAGCTCGCTGACGAAGTTGCTCCTCTTGGAACGGCCGAGGCGAGGGGATTCTCCTAAAGGATCCTCGACTTAGTGGGTCATTTGTGCACAATGTCAGAAATGAAGACAATATAAACCTGTTCGAGGGATCAAACACAGAACTAACAAATCGAGGAAAAGGATCTCCCTCAGTGTGCAAAGTGTGGCGCACTCGCCCGTCCTGATGTCGTTTGGTTCGGCGAGACACCTCGGTACATGACTGAGATAAACCAGAAGATGTTTCTTGCGGACCTATGTCTCGTAATCGGGACTTCTTCAACGGTGATGCCTATTCGCACCTTTGACTCTTGAAGTTGACTTTAGTCCATAGGTATGGCCAGCAGCTGGATTTGTGCTACTTGTCAGACGACACGGGGGAAAGGTTGCAGTCTTCAACCTAGATAGGAGCGAGCATGACGAGGATGCCGACTTTCTGTTCCTTGGTCCATGCGACACGACACTTCGATCCGCGTTGGGAATAGGAGAGGGGATAGTATAGTTCTAACCTGTTAGATATTGGCCACTTGATTTAGGTATGCAATAAACCTGCCATCGATGGGCTCCAATTGAGTGCAGGGTTGATCCCTGCGATCTCCTCGAACTCTTGGATCCCCTGCAAATCGAGACTCCCTCGCGCCCAGAATGTCCCAGACATCCTTTTACAGGCGATTTATCATTTGTATCTACCAAGACGACCAGGGACTCGAGCTTGATTCGGTATCATTATCACGAAAACTTGGATTCGAGGTACAAATTCTCATCTGGCTCCACTCAAACCTAACGAAGCTCACAGGAAGCACTTGCTAAAGCACGAGTGACATTGCCAATACCCGAGACCTCACCCGTCGTGCTGTACACACGCACCTATCTCCCTGCGGGCGATACCAAAGGTCGCCTCGTTCGTGTCTGTGAGGATGTCTGGCAATGGGCAGTCACTGAGCCGAGCGTGTGCGAAATGTACATGCGCATCGACGCTGGATCGCTCGATGCCCGACCTATATCAACGTCGTCCACACCATATACACGATTACCTTCGTCCCGAGACTCATCTTCGGACGTTCACGGTCAAAGTAGGCGCACCAACGTCTCAAGGTCAAGCGCTGCGAAGCGGATTGGCCATCAGCAGCGAACGGCAATTACGAAAAAAGTCTCTCAGAGTCTTCAAGTGGCAAAATTGAAATCCTACGGTTGGGTGGGCGATAAGCCTCTGCATACCTCGAGGCGTCCTGGACCCCCGAAGAACTACTCGTATACCAGGAAACCGAGGAAAAGAAAGGAGAGGTGAGAGAATGAAAGTCGCAGCTCCATTAGACTCTCATGCTTTTAGCCCGGTACAAGGTAAAGGTGGCTACGTTCGAGACCACGATGAGGTGATTAGACTCCTTTCTCTTGGGTACTCTTGTACTCTATGCCGGGAGCACAACCGACGCTGTGTGTTGAGCAATCCTCACCCACTAGCTTTCAAGTGCGACGAATGCGCTCCAATGAATAAACAACGGTGCTACCTTGTGGCACCGACCAATCGGCGGACGGGTGTACACAACAAGTCCATCAAACGCAAACGAACGTCTCTGGAAATGAAAAGGCTCATAAAGAGCGGCTATACCTGTCTGAAATGCCAAGAGGTCGGCAAAGCCTGCGTCTTCACTCAGACGGCGCCTACGGCCTACCGGTGCAATGGTTGCGTGGCAAAAGGGCCGAAGGCAGAATGCGTCATGGTACCTCCCAAAGGGCAAAAACTCGATATGGTATCTACAGATGATGAAGACGAAGACGAGGAGGATGGTCCCAGTGACGTCCGAGATGCCGCTCCTAACAGTGGAGGCGCCTCTGAATCTCACAGAGTTCTCTCTACATATAGGAGGTGGAGAGATGTATCACAAACCTCGCATTCAAGACATGGGACCCCGGTGGATAGCCCCGTCGACCGTTTTGCACCAGTATATCCACCAAGAGGAATCGCAGACGCGATCCGAGCAGGTGAAACCTGCCTTGAGTGCAAGGAGAATGAACGAAGGTGCTCCATTACAATCACTGGAAAGGGAGAACCGCCTTATTGCGATCCGTGCGCTCAGCGAGGAGGGAGCCAGCGGTGTGTCTTCATGACCGAAGAAGAAACGCGGTCCAATCTCAGTCAAGGAATGGAATGCGACGACAATGCGAGCCATATCGTCGAAGATAGTGAGTTTGAGAGATTCGAGTAGATTTGTCCTTGTCCTTTGTACAATATTGCCGAAATGAACGTCGTGTGTTGTAAAAACTCTAGCATTACGGCAAGGTTAGATAGGTAACAGTGCGGAAGGTATCCAGGTCTGAGACTACCACAACCCAAACGTGTGACCAAGACCAGCAACGACGCCAAGGGATGCAACGGCAAAGACAGCCTTTACCAATCGCTTCTCCTGAGCCACCATTTGCATCCTATCCGACTCGAACCGAGGGTCCAGCTGATGGCCCCGGGTATACTCTCTCTTCTGAGGCTCATGCGCCCCGCCAAACCCTGAACTGGAGCCAGTCGAATATGCTGCGCCTGCCATGGCATCTTCGTACGCCGTTGAATATGCGGGTCGCCGCGTTGCATTGGGTCGTTTGACGCTCCCACGTTCCCATACCCCGCCTGCTTCACGTGCTGTGTCCCTTCGTGCCTCGTCGTGCTCGAGCATCGACATGCGGCTTCGTAGCCATTGCATCCCCGCAGGATGTCTCCCTATGTACTCATATAGGTAATGTTGTACGGAAGAAAACGGGGTCACGAACCTTGATGGGCGAGAAAGATGTCGCTCAGTGGATCTTTGCCCTGCTCTCGACGTTTCTTGAGATAGGCACCCAGCAAATCGCCGTTCATGAGCTCGCGCAGTAGCTCTGGAGGAGGTGCACGTGTTGCTAGATAGTAGTTTTAGAAAAGCGGAATTTGGAGACATTGGTTACATACTGTTGGTATACGTGAGCGTCTCGATATTGAGCCCGTGCGCCTTCATCTTCTGCGACAAGTCGTCGAAAAACTTGCGGAATTCAGGATCCCAGCTAACACGCGGTGTGAATCCGACGTTTATCGGAGGTGCGTCTATCCCACATGAGTTGTCAAAAGGAACACCGACTGGCAAACGTACTGTGACCATATGCAGCATGATGTCTCCTTTTGCGAGTCTTAGACGTTTGAGTATATCCCGGTGAGGATTCAGATGGCGCGGCTCGTGCGCGGTCATAGGTTGCTCTAATCAACGTCAGAGTGGTGAAGCATCCTCAGGAGAGCCGTTTACTTTTTGCTAGGATCACTAAGTGTTTCGTACGCAATTTGTATCCGATGGAAAGCAGCTTCGTCGTAGTCTGGGCCTGCAGTGTCGGGATGGTGTTGCTTCGAAAGCTATTGGAAGAGCCCGGGATTCGAGAGAAAGAGGGGATACGAGTAATTTGAGCATTTAATGGCCAATATGTGCATTGGAAGGGTACACAAACCTGGTAATACCGCTTCTTAATCTCGTTTATCGACGCTGTTGGTGCGACGCCCAGGTCCTCATAAAAACTAGTTTTTGATTCCACGGCAGTCGCTTGAAACCGTCTAGCGCCCGTATGTGATGCAAATGGTCCTCCTGGTCCTCTAGCAGATTTGAATCGTGGACGGAGAGTTTGTCCGCTCGTTGAAGCGCGTAGAAGTGATCTCTTATGCACTTTTGGTGAGTTCACGCATCGAACGTGAAAGCTCGGACGCATGCCAGGCAGTGGTCGAGGCCAACAAGTCGCGGCTGCATCTTGACGAGCAACCACCATTTCGACTTTTCATAACAACTTGTGTATATCAACATTGGCCACTGGAATCTATATGTAGGACTCATACTCGAGTCGTGTTAGTAGGGTACAGAAACGAGTGGACTCAACGTACGATTGAATCAGAGGAACAGAGAGCGTTCTTTCCTGTGGAATATAATGGAGGCCCCATCGATAAGATAGAGGTCCGATTGGCAACCACCACGCATTTATATACCCCGACGGTTCGCCCTCGTCCACACCGGTCTCCTACAACATGCCTCCAATCTCTTTATACGACAAATTTATCAAATTTGTTCTACAAGACGATAAAGGGACCGAACTCGATTCTATACCAGTCTCCCGCGGTCTGGGTTTGAAGGTTCGTCGCCGTATTCTTCGTAGGCAATCACAAACCTACAGGCAGCAAGTTCTCGACGAGCTCCGAGGTGCATTTAACACCCCTCCGAATACGACTATACCACTCTTCAAGCGCGAATTGTTTATTGAGGATGCTTTGGACGAACATCTCGTATACGTCACGGACTCCGCTTGGAGATGGATTCGAGGGAAACGTGATATCTACCAACTAATCGTGCAAGCGAACCCGACCACAGCAGCTGCGCCTGTGAGACTTCGACAGCAGCATTCTCCAACCCATAGTCCCTCGCCACCCTCTTCCTCGTCGCAGGATTCCGGATCTGTCTCCTCTATGCGCGCGAATGCGCCAAAGTTCCACAGTGGTCGTGCGCGTGTGTGCGAGAAGAAGCCCCCCAAGGGTGACAGGACGAATGAGCATAGGAATCAGATCATGGAGAGCATTGAACGTCGCGGAATCCAACCAAACACTAGTGCCCACGATGAGCCTAGACGTAGCGAGGGAGGCTCGAGAAAGAAAACCGGTAGAGGAAACGCGAGAGGAAAAAGGTGCGCTATCCAAAGATCCAACGATTGTTTTTTGAAAGTCTATTGATAGAGATCCGAGAGTCATTGCTCAGAAGCAAATGAGGATGCGCAACCTCATTCGTCAAGGATACTCCTGTCTGCGGTGTCTACGATATGGAGACAAATATAAGTATACCAGGGCTCATCCTATGACCACGAGATGCGATGCCTGTGGGGAAAAGGGGAGGAAATACAGTACATATTCGATGAGCTGAGCCAACCTGATAGGATAGGAGATGGCAGATCGTCGAGTAACGAATGAAGAGTCTATGTAACAACCCTGACTGACGCGCCACTGTTACGTAGAAAATTTCAAAATCTTGCTCTGCTTCCAAACGATGAGCTCGGGGTTTCAAGTGGTAGTCAACGCGCTGGACCTCGCCACAACTTGCACCACCCTCTCATGCAAAGCAGTCGCTTAACCTCTATCAAAAGGTCATCTAAAAGAACCCGCAATGAAGTGACCAGGACAAAGCGCAATGCGTTCCGACTTGCTCCAACTTCCTGGCTGGCTCGAATGGCAACCAGAGTACCACCCAGCCGGGAACACGACAGTGAGGAGAGATCCTGTCTATACAGGAAGCTGATGAAACACACCGGACGGGTCTTGACAATACTCTGTCAAACTGCGCATTGCCCGTGGTTCATTGTACGTTGGTCGAGGTTAACGAGCCAAGTCCCATATTGCATGTTGCAATCAGATGTACATGGATGAGTAGAGAACATATTTGCAAGAATGGAACATGGAAAACTCGCACCAGCCAGGGCTGAGTGATGGGAATCTTACTGGCGACTCAAAGCTTTGGAATATGCTCTGCGCCCTCTCGATCGTCGAATAACATGTCGTAGATGAGGTTGAGCACACCTCCGTACAAATCCGACCGCAGAATACCTATAGGGCACAGTCAGCAAAGTGCGCTGATATTGGACAGGGACATACCGTAAGGGAATATTTGCGGTCTCTTCAACTTCTCGTCGATTTTGCGTACTTCTTCGCGCATCTTCGTGCGCTACTGCTGCATCTCTGTTCTCGTGAGCGTGGCCAACGGCTTAGGTCTCCGAGTTTGGTGGTGCACCGGCTGTCTCTCGCCTGAGGGACGGTACCCTCCGAGCTCCTCTTCGCTGGCGTATGAACTGTGACCGTCGGGAGCGGTATCGTGGTGGGTCGAGGGCGTCCAGGAAGACAAATTCCCGGCTGAGCCACATCGCTGCGGGATAGGCTATTAATGGAGTAATAAATTAGTAAATAGGCGAAGATGGATTCCTGGAGCGTACTCTGGCCAAGAAGATAGAGACGACGTTGGAGAGCAGCTTGCAAATCCAGACCGTTGAAAGAAGGCATGACGCCTTCAAAGTGCATATGTGCATCGAAATCTTCCTCTTCCTTGTTTTGATGCATGCTCCCTGCGGTACATCGCTATCTTGCGAAGCGTTGACTTTCCTCCGCATAGCAAACTGCATAGATGGGTCGTATGAGCGAACTATGATAAAGAGCAGCATTAATTATACCTTGTAAGCACGTTTGAAACTCTTGCAGCTGCATCGAGGCTCGAGAGCGACAATCTTTGGGGCGTTGCGCCTTGTTGAAATGCTGCAGCGGGATACGTCGTCAGTTGATGTGAGAGAGTAACAGGGTAGGAGAGTTCACCCCTTTACAGAGTTTCTTACGCGTACCGCTACTCTGTCGGGGTTCTTGTATGCACCATGAAGGTTCCCTTGGAGGGATAGCACCCGAAGGAGATTCCCAGAGGAAACCATCCTCAAACATGGGTGAATTGTGGGGGAACAGATGGCGGGGCATGGTCGCCTTTTATCGCTGCGGCCTCTAGGAGACGATCTCACGCCACTCGGTTGGTTCGATTGAACCAAGAGTAGTGATAGGATTCTGGACGGCACGGCTATTTCAATGTGCCGTGGTCCTTTTTTTTGGCGCAAGCCATCCACAGGCCTCGTTGCATACCAAGGGCGGTGTTCAAAGGATGCGAGCGGTCGTCCTCCCGGTGAAAGTAGAGGGATAGCTCCGTTTTTCTTCTTGATGAATAGGTCACCTTCGCCTCGAGAGTTCCGTGTGTAGAATGAGTAAGGAGGCCGTCAATAGAAAGATCGCGATAAGCTGGCATCAATCCAGCGGCAGATCCAACTCCCCCGTTATTCCCGATGTCAGTGTCGAGATCCCAATGAGCAGCGGTAAGGATGAACGGTCAAATTCCCGCCGCAAGGCTACAGCCCTGGCCAATACTAGTCGGTCGACGCAACTTTTACGACATTCCGAAAAGTCTAAGTGCTTCGAGGAATGCCAAAACTGGCCATCCAACTGGGAGGCGTGCCAAAGGTGTGGATGCGGATGCGGAAGAGTTGCGCTGCTTGGCTGTGAGCACCGGGTGAGGAGTAGGATAAATCTATTCTTTATAAAAGAACAGACTAGGTCATAAAGACTATCGACCGAAATGGACTTCGGCCATTATCCATGAAGGGTTGAATTACTCTTTATGCGCGATTGGAAGGACGACGGTAATGCTTTGCCTTTGTGGTAAATATACTGTCTCCAATAGCGATGGAGGTGGAATGGTGGCGAGAGCAGTGAGGGGAGGATTGTGTCGTCGGGTAATTTGCTTCATCGTCTCGATGGGCTACATAATACGAGGGGAGATGGCATGACCTGATTTCAAATCCTTTTGCTGCTGATATGTCGGCTCCGAAACGAGCACATGCCTTTTTCATCGAGCCTCGCAAGCACGAGCAGCATGAAGTCTCAGCCGCTGGCTCGCCAATCTTTCGACGATATCCCCACGTCGGCGATGAACTCTAGGTTGAAACTGGACACATCCTACTCTCCAGTTGGCTCGCCGTCGGATATCGGCAGTCCAGGCCACGTTATTCCGATGCTCCCAAACGGTCATCCAGGCAGTGCTGGTAGCAGTGTAGGGTCGGGAATAGACGCAGTCGTTAGAGGAACGGTGTGTGTCGGTAAAGACGTCTTGAGCGGAATCACCAGTGTTAGAAGTCCGTTGGTCATGCCGGCGAAGCGGGCAAATACAGATCTCCTAAAGTTCGACGAAGCGGACGAAATGTTCATGGCCGACGACCTGGATGTTCACGGCGAGCCATCGAATTAATCAAAGGTTCTCACTCCTATCAAGCACGAGGAGAGGGCGGCCACGATTGGTCCAGGCGCGTGGGCGAGTTCATCCGGACATGGCTTCACGTTGATGACAGATAGCGGGCTGACTATGACCGGTACAGCGGCCCAGCCCTTGAACACGACGGAGGCTACGTGGATCGATCAGTGAGATATCTACGCCTAGGCAGTCGAAGAAGAGACAAAGTTTGACGACGTGACTGGAATTCTGGACGAAGAGCGGAGAGAACGAGAAGCGCTTCGGCTCACTGCAGAACCGAATCCTTCCCCACCCACAGGCCTAGAATCTCCTAGAGCGCGCGGGTCAAAGAAGGGTCCCCGAAAGAAGAAGTGATTACGATTGCAGATTCGTATTTCGTTATTGTCTATTGGAGGCTTTGTTATTATACGAACCCGTGCTGCCAATTCTCGCCGGCCATCCGTTCTCCTTTTGTTTGACGCCGACCCGCAGAGCAAGGCCGTAACTCTTGTTCCCGGCCTATTCGAGATTAAAGGATGTCGAGTTTTCGTTCGCGTTTAACAAGCTTTTTTAACGCTTCCAAATCATCGTCTTGGACAGACCTCGAAGGGTCGGTCGCTGGTAACTCGGATGGCAATGACCAGTCAGCTTTGAAAATCCGTTCAAAAAAGGAGGAACTTGGTTTCCTGGAGCTTGTACCTGGGATTGATCCTGTCGTGGAGTAAGTACTCTCTGCTTTATCCGGATGCACCTAGAGCTGACGAGATCAGCATTATCGCCATCCACGGCCTGGATGGCCACAGGGAAAAGACATGGATGGCAGAGAATGGCACTCTCTGGCTTCGAGATCTGCTACCAGCTGACCTACCCAACGTCCGAGTCCTTGCATATGGCTACGACGCTGATACTCGCAGTCGGGAATGCGTCTCGACACAGACGATATACCAGCAAGCGGATAAATTTGTCAAATCTCTCACACGAGAACGCAGCAATGCTCCGCGGGTGAGTGAGGTATTACACCAAGTCCTATTGTCTGAGACCCTCGCAGCGGCCGATTATATTCGTGGCGCACAGTTTAGGCGGTATCGTGCTGAAACAAGTACTATCACTTCCATACGTCGAAGCCGTTCTCTGAGATTTGACTAGGCTATTATTCTTTGTCATAACCAGACTCTGAACTCGACCAACAAATTGCGGGATATATTGGTTTCCACTCATGCTGTTCTGTTCTTCGGAACGCCTCACTCCGGGGTTAAAGGTGCCGACCTTTTGGAGGTTTTGAACCGACTGTTGTCAGTGTACATGAAAACCACCAACGTTATCCTCCAACATCTGAAGGAGAATTCGCCAGAACTGGAGAACATACAAGGTCTATACATTTCCGCGAGCGAGAAAATTCATACCGTTTTCTTCTATGAGGTGTATCCAACGCCGATTATGGGAGGTAGAAGACAAATGGCAAGTTCAATGTGCTCTCCTTTCCCTAATCCAATATTTTGCAGATTGTACCACGTCACTCGGCAATACTCGCCGGGGATCGTCAGGCAACTGAAGAAGGACTATACGCGGATCACTGCGAAATGGTCAAGTTCCCCGATAAATACCACGGGGACTATAAGACGGTCCTCTCATATCTCAAGCAGTATATTCAAGGTGCCATCGCCGCAGTAACGGATCAATGGTCCGCGGAGGATGCACATCGAGGTTTGTCATTTTTGAAAGTCTGAATCAATGCCTTACGCGAGCAAGTCGTAGCAAGGGGATACAATCCCCAAAATGCCATCCAACCTAAGGCCCGACCATCTGTGTCGAGAAGTTATGTCGAGCGAGAGCAGATCCAATCTCTTATCACCCAAAAACTACTGCCGCATGGGGATCTACAGAACCAACCGCGGTGTGTCCTTTACGGACTTGGAGGAGCAGGTAAAACCCAGCTCGCGGCGAAATGGATTCGGGAACACGAAAGCAGGTACGACCTAAACGGGGACCATGTTACAAAGAACTCATCTAGGGCTAGTTTCACGCGAATAATTTGTGTCGATGCTTCCAGTCAGACCCAACTAGAGGCAGACTTGGAGCAGTCAATTCGTTCCTTAGGCCCAGAATACAGCGCCATGACATGGGAAGATGCAGTCGCATATCTCGATGATAAGGAAAAGGGATGGCTGCTTTTTGTAGACAACGCCGACTCTCCGATTCTTGAACTCAGTCTCTACCTTCCGACTTCGATTCATGGGACAATCCTCATTGCCTCAAGGAACAGCGAATGTGCCAGCTACGCTCCAGACTCTGCTGTTTCTGTCGGTAGTCTGGAAAAAAGTGAAGCAGTGAAACTTCTGCACTCTGTCGCCAATATCGCGCCTACCTCCGACACCGAATCCTTGCAGATTGCCGAAGAGCTGGGGATGTTTGCGCTTGCAATTACGCAGGCTGGAGCGTATATCCGCAAGACTCGACGTCTTGATAAATATCTAGATACATTTCGTGTTCATCGGAAGCAGCTTTTGAGCAAGGGCCCGGATATTGGCAAAGAGTATACGTCGTCGACATATGCCGCGTTCAACCTCTCTTTCAACGACTTGCCGAAAAATGCACAGGAAGTCTTAAAACTATGCGCATTCCTCTACCACTCATCTATTCCCGTGTCCCTATTCGAGATCTCTGCGAAGTCCGGTTTCTCGACATATACGGTTCGGAAGGGCTGTCCTCCACCAGAGAGTGATATAACTCTCATCTCGAGCATTCAGGGAGTCCTAGGCGTGAACTGGGACCCGGTCGTGTTCCAGCAGCTCGTTGAGTTGGCCGCCCGGGCCTCATTTATCGAGGCTTCAACGGACGGACTGTTCTACAACGTCCATCCCCTCCTTCAAATGTATATCAGAGACTGCATCAACGAGGAGGGAGATGAACGTTACGCGCGTATGGCTGCGCAACTCCTACTTGGTGCGATCCGACCGTCGGAGGGGGGCAATGCCCAGCTTTGGCAACTGCTCCCTCATGTAAACAATATCCCTCGTTCCATTCAGTCAGAGAGTGTGGCTCATGCACTTGCTTTCTTTGAGCTCTACGACTCTTTAGGTGACTGGAAGGCCTGTCAGGAGTTGTTGGAACCAACTCTTGCTCAAGTTCAACAAAATCGAGGTGAAAATGACGAGGATGTGATCTGGTTAAAAGCTCAGCTAGCCAGTGCACTACAGAGCCTCGGAGAGGTGGAGAGAGCAGAAAGGATTCAGCGCGAGGTACTTGACCTGCAGATTAAAACCATCGGACCACATCATACAGACACTATATCGGCAATGAGCGATCTTGCGGTCACCCTGTCAGAAAGTGGCAAGCTAGATGAAGCCGAAGAAATTCAACGAGAAGTACTCGCCCGACGGCTTGACACCCTTGGAAAACGACATCCAGACACTATCTGGGCTATGAGCAATCTTGCAAGCACCTTGTCTGACCGTGAACTGTTAGACGAGGCGGAGACGATTGAGCGAGAGGTGCTGGCTCTGCAGCTCGACGTCCTTGGGCCAAGGCATCCTGACACGCTCTCAGCAATGAGCAACCTTGGGAAGACTTTGTCCAGCATTGGCCGGCTGGATGAAGCGGAGAAGATCCAACGGGATGTACTTTCTCTGCGTCTTGAAGTCCTCGGACCACGGCACCCACATACTGTCTCCGCAATGAATAATCTTGCAAATACCCTCTCTGACAGCGGCCAGTTTGATGAAGCAGTAAAGCTTCAGCGAGAGGTCCTTACTCTGCGGCTCAGTTTGCTTGGACCACGTCATCTGGACACAGTTTGGGCTATGAGCAATCTTGGGAGCATCCTGTCCGAATGCGGTCGGTTGGACGAGGCAGAAAAGCTTGAGAGAAATGTACTTGCTCTGCGGCTTGATATTCTGGGATCCCACCATCCAGATACAATCACGGCGATGAACAATCTCGCAAGCACGTTGTCTGACCAAGGTCACTTGGTTGAGACAGAGAAGATGAAGAGAGAGATACTGGCCCTGCAGGTCGAGACTCTCGGACCACGGCATGCAGACACCATCTCGGCAATGGGCAGCTTAGCGAGCACCTTGTCCGACCGTGGTCAGCTCAAGGCAGGCTGAAAAAATGAAGCGAGAAGTACTCACCCTTCGGTGTGACGTCCTTGGACCTAAACATCCCGACACCATCGCTGCAATGAACAATCTGGCAAATACTCTGTCAGACTGTGGTCAGTGGGAAGAGGGGGAAAAGATTCGGAAGGAAGTACTTGCCCTCCAGCTTGACATTCTTGGCCCACGACATGCAGACACAATCTCCGCAATGAGTAGTCTCGCCAGCACCTTGTCCAAGTCCGATCAGCTAGATGAGGCTGAAAAGATTGAGCGACAAGTCCTTGATCTGCGGACTGATATCCTTGGATCACGACATCCAGAGACGGTCTCGGCAATGAATAATCTCGCAGTCACCTTGTCCAACCAGGACAAGTTGGACGAGGCTGAAAAGATTCAGCGGGAGATTCTCAATTTGCGGCTCGATACCCTTGGATTACAACACCCCGATACTGTGTGGGCAATGAGCAACCTCGCAAGCACCTTGTCTGATCTTGGTCGATCCGACGAGGCAGAGGCAATGAAACGGGAGATGCTTTCCCTACAGCTGGAGGTCCTTGGACCACGACATCCGGACACTATCTCAGCAATGAACAATCTTGCAAACACCTTGAACCACCGTGGTCAGCTGGCTGAAGCAGAAAAGGTTCAGCGAGGCGTGCTTGCTTTGCGGCTGGCTATCCTAGGGCACAACATCCAGACGTTGTTTCGGCAATGAACAACCTTGCGATCACCTTGTCCGACCTTGGTCAGTTGGAGGAAGCAGAAAAAATGAAACGCGAGGTACTCGCTCTACAGCTTGAGATCCTCGGACCGCACCATTTGGACACCATTGCAGCGATGAGCAGCCTTGCAAGTACCCTCTCCAAATGTGGAAAACTGGATGAGGCAGAAAAGATTCAGCAACAGGTAGTCACCCTGCGGATCGAGTTCCTTGGACCACAATACCCCGACCAATTTCAGCCAAGAAGAATCTTGCAAACACGCTGTTCAATCAGGGCCAACTGGCTGAAGCAGAAAGGATTCAGCGAGAGGTGCTCACTTTGCAGCTCGATATACTCGGGTCACAACATCCAGATACTGCCTCTGCTATGACTGACCTCGCAAAGACCTTGTCTGAGCTTGGCCAATTAGACGAGGCGAAGAAGATCCAACAAGAATTAGTTGCTCTAAATCTCAATGCCGCCGAATCAAGTCATCCAGATATCGTCTGTGGGACGAGCAATCTCACAATCACTTCGCACAAGCATAGTCGGACTGAAGAAGCAACCGGATTCGAACCACAAAGTTCAGCTGAAACCTCGACTCAAACCGTAGCAGAGATAGACCCGACAAGTGGATGGAATTCACAAGCCCGTAGGCCAACACGTCGTTTTAAAGGGTCGACTGATAAGGTATGTATATTATGATTAAAATAGTCCGCATAAATGACCACTGTATCTGCGTACTCAAATGCGTGTACTTCAGAGCGGCCAGCTCAAGGAGAAGTGTGTATGTCTTTGCATTTTAACCTCGTAATTTGGACTAATTTTGTATGCGTATCCAGGATAAAGCAACGAGCAACAAGGTAATTTTCCTTTTTGTTCGCTTTCTGATTGCTTACAGAATATTAGCGCAAACGGGATGAGGCTGATGACCCTGAGATATCCGTCCCAGTTTCTAAGAAATCCGCCTATAACACCCGAGGGCTGAGAAGATAGCATGCGTTACTCCCACGGTCCAGGTCAGAAGCTCTGACTGGCGAGCGGTTTCACGGCCCACAATACCTATGTCAAGACGTTCCGTATATTTGACTTTGAATTACCAGTATACTCTCTTCGCTCTCTCTAACATTCTTGCCGAGCTCGTGAATTTCTCAGCCATTTCTGTTGGGCGCCATCAGCCGACCAACGCGCCTAATAGCCTATTCTATGGAATATATATTCTATGGAAGACCCGCTTCAACCTGATTTATGGCCCAAAACAATCTTAAAGGTGCTAGCAAAATATGACTTCCGCTCTAGGCTCCTCTTGAGGTATTCAGTCAAATTTTCGCCTCTTATAAGTCAATTTATTCAATCTTGAAAGTAATTTGACGTCTTCAAGACTCACTTGCGGAAGCTACCTTCCGTGGCCACCCACTGCACCTAACAAAGGCCATTAGCGACATATTATACTTGAATTAACCCCCGTGAGACCTATTAGCAATTTTGGAGAAGCTCATAAGGAATTGCGCAGTACACGAGTAACTATAGGGTTTATAACAACATTTCTTATATGCGTTTGACTTTGACTCGTTGGCGGCGATAGTGCTCGCACATCTTGACCAGCTCCCACCATTTCGACTTGTGTCGTGGCGACGACGACAGACGAAACTCGCCGTTCAACTCTTCGAAATCACGCTACATTGGTCCCTGGAACGACAATCCAACCGCCAGAATACATTCCACGTCTGCACCGCGCTAAGAATCTAGAGTCGCGCGCTTGATTCACGAGCGCCGGTAGTAAAATGGTTGGATTCGGAGGAGTAACGACATCACACGATGACGATGAACATAATGAACACGAGTCGAGACGCTGGAGAGGTCGCAAAGGTGTTCGCGGTGAGTCTCCCATCTTCAAAGGAGCGCATACGCGTATTCTGGACAGCTAATACAAGCCATTTGCTTATCTTAATTACTCCAGGACCATCATGGTTACGAATGCCGCTGCTCACCATCGGTTTGCTGGGCACGCAGATTGTCTGGAGCACCGAAATGGGCTATGCATCGCCGTATCTACTCTCTCTGGGACTCTCAAAATCGTGGATGTCCATGGTCTTTGTCGCTGGTCCACTTTCTGGTCTATTCGTACAACCACTCATCGGTAATTACCTGGCATGTCGTGCGCAGCAGCTAACGCGTTACGACAGGTGTCTTAGCCGACCACTCGACGTCCAAATGGGGGAGAAGAAGACCGTACATGATTAGCGGATCCATTCTCTGCGCGATATCTATGCTCCTCCTAGGCTTTACGAAGAATGTCGTTGGATGGATTCTTTCCCCCGACTCACCTGCCGTGCGTGCTCTCAACACCACACTTCTCCATGCTCATCCGACCCTCAGTTCAAGGGAGTTACCATTGCATTGGCCGTGCTCGCCATCTACTGCATAGATTTCACAATCAACGCCGGTATGCGTGACGATATGCTATGTATACTGTCTCACACTTGACAGTCCAAGCGGTGGATAGAGCGCTATTAGTTGACACGCTACCTATGGACTTGCAAGAACGAGGGCAAGCGTGGGCGGGGAGAATGTTGAGCGTCGGAAGCGTAGTTGGTTTCTGGGTGTACGTCGACACTTTTACAGATCAATGCGCGCTGACCCTCTCTCAGCGGCAACCGTTCTCTCACTACAATATTCCCCTACCTCGGTCATACCCAACTTCAAGTCCTCTGCGTCCTCACCTCTGGCCTCCTCCTTGTCGCCCACTTTATCACCGCCATCTCCGTTCGCGAACGCGTTTTGCTTCCAGAGGGAATGCACCAAGATACCACCACAACAACTGAAGACGGCGGGCGACCAGGATGGCGAACATTCGCAGTCAAACACCAACAAAAGAAAGTTGGCGTATTCTCAGCATTCAAAGACATTTGGATCAACGTCAAAATCTTGCCACCCAACATCCGCAAAATCTGCATGATCCAGTTCTTCTCTTGGATCGGATGGTTCCCAGTCCTCTTCTTTAGCACTGTCTACGTCGGCGAAGTATACACTCTCCAAAACGGAACAGGAGAAAATAAAGAAGCGACGGCCGAAGCCGCCACGCTCGTCGGCGCAGGGGCGCTCCTCGACTCATCTCTCCTTAGCCTGGGTACACTCATCCTCCTACCGGCCATCGTAGGCTATTTCAAAAAACGAAGTCCAAGGCGGATTGGGTTCTATCTCGGTCTTGCGGAGATTTGGATCTTTTCGCTTTTGCTCTTTGCACTGTGTATGGGTGCGACGTTGTTTACGTCTGATTCGGTTGATGGGTCTGTGGCGGTGATTGCACTTACGGGGTTTTGCTTTGCGGTGAGCATGTGGGTGCCGTTTAGCTTGCTCGCAGAACAAATCTCGAGTGATGGAAAGGCGAGTCGTGGTGGTGGTGGTGCTGGAGAAGGTGGAGAGTATCAGGCTATCCCGCATGATGGCGACGAGTCAATTCCGATGCACCAGCAGGATACCCGTCTTCAAGATGACGAGACGCCGAGGTCTGGTGGGCTTGTTTTCGATGCTGGTGAAGAGTCTGCGGCTGTTACGGGTGGTGGGAGGCAGGACGCGGATGAGAGGACGTTGGTGGATGGTGATGGAGAGGAACGCGCGCGGTTGCTCGAGCGTGCGCGGAGGGATGACCTCGAAGAAGAACAGAGGTTGATTAAGGATCTTGAGCGGACCGAGTATGCTACGGATACGCCATTCCCTGATGGGAGCGCTGCTGGTGGCAGCGGGGGGGTATCTCAGCGAGTCGCGGCGGTGGCGAAGGAGAGCATACATGAAAAGGCTGGCATCATTCTGGTGAGCTTTCATTTCCTAAACTAGTGTGTCACTTACACCTTTTGCGTCCAGGGTATCCACAACGTCGCCATTGTCGTTCCCCAATTCCTCGTCACGGCGCTCTCGTCCATCATCTTCGCCCTCTACGAACCCGTCTCTGGTGTTCAACCAGGTGCGGGCCATGCCGGTGCTGGAGTCGGCGCCCCAGCCGCAGCCGCAGCCGCCGTTCCGACATCGGACGACAGTCTGTTCGCCGACATGGACATTGGCTTTGACGAAAAGAACAGCCGACTGCTCGCACGCGCCATCACGCGCTTATCGTCTTCGCTCGTGAAACGAACACCCACACACTTACTACCGGGGCTCATCAAGCGATTGCCCGGCTCGCCAGAGGACGATTCGGCCAACCCCGCTGGTCTCGCACTCATCTTTCGAATTGGTGGGGCATGTAGTTTGATTGCGGCCGTGTTGTGTTGGAGATTGGCAAAGAGTTTGCGAAGACAAAAGGGACGATGAGCCGCCTTCTCTCGAGTTTCTTTCATCGTCCTTATTCGTGTCCTAGAGTAATTTATCGTTTCGTGCTGGATAACTTGGGTGGGGAACGATTTAGACTCTACCTCTTTGGCCTTTGATGGTGTACTCTCATCATTCCCATTCGGGGCAGTTTTGTAGTCATGGAGCGGATACCCTCGAGCTTATCGTGGCTGAAGCTGCGAGAAAGGGCTTCAAGATGTATGCATTGACGGAGCACTGTCCGCGATACTGCGATTCAGATCTCTACCCTGAGGAGATAGAGGTAGATACATACCTCCCTATCTTGGAGTATCAGTATTGATCGTTAGTAGGCCAAGGTATCTCTACAAGACCTCGAAGAGACCTTTGCAAAGTTTATCGCCGAAGGGACGCGTCTGAGGGACCTGTATGCCAGCAACGAAAGTGGGATGGAGATTCTGATTGGACTAGAGACAGAGTGTCTACGTACCGAGGATCTCGACAAACTCGAGCAGCTCATCAACAAGTACAACGCAGACATCGACTTCATAGTGGGAAGCGTACACCATGCCGACGAACATCCGATTGATTTCAGCAAAGAAAGGTTTGAAGACGCCATCACCAGTTTCCAAACTCAACTGCCCGAGCCCTCGACAGACACCCAATCTGAAGACTTCCGACAGGGTGCGCTCTCAAAACTACTCGAGAGCTACTTTACGTCTCAACGCACTCTCATGGAGCGACTACGCCCACAAGTCATTGGCCATTTCTCCCTCCCACTCCTCTTTACACCGCAAACGCGGCTCGCGTCGCATCCTCGTGCGCTTCAGCTTGCAAAAGCCAATATCGAGTTTGGCGTCTCGTATGGCGCGTTATTTGAACTCTCCTCGGCGCCGTTTAGAAAAGGTTGGGACGAAGGCTGGCCGGGCGAAGAGGCGGTGAAGATGGTTCTGGACATGGGAGGAAAGTTCTGCCTAAGTGACGACGCTCACAAGGTTGAACAAGTCGGGCTAAACTATCACCGACTACTCGCTTGGATTCAGCAAATGGGGATTCCAGAGGAAAGAATATGCCGCCTTGAACGGGGAGAAAACGGAATAGTCAAGTCGTAGAATGTAGAAATCTCTTTGATAGCATGGGAAGGATGTACTAGAGCTACAGCTTTTTACTCTATTCGAACTACAAACTTACCTTTCATACCCTCGTTTTCATAATCCTTGAGCATCTGGTTAGCGTTTTCCATCGTGTACTCTTTAATTTCCACGTGAATGTCCTCTTTGACCGCCAACTCGAGCATCTCTTGCAAGCTCTCCTTTGGCCCAAGAGCGCCAGCCACGACTATAGCATCCTTGTTCAAAAAGAAGGAAAAATGGAATGGAACGGGCTCGAGTGGTAAGCCGACAAAGACGAGGACGCTATGTTTGGCCATGATATCCATGGAGAATTGAAAGGCTGGAAGGGCGTCGGTGCAGACGACGGTGCAATCGACACCAGTTGCGCCGTCGAATGTAGCTGCAATTCTTTCAAGTGTTTTGTCGACTCCGTCTGTTGGGTTGATTACGAGGTCGGGCGCAAGACGAGGTGGAAGATGAGAGACGAGGTCAAGGGGTGCGGACCGCGTGTCTACCGCGACGACGCGGTATCCCATGACTTTGGCAAATTGTACTCCTGCTCGTCGTCAGCAAGATTCCGAAGCTGTGAGGACTTACCGAGGTGACCTAGTCCACCTATGCCGACTATTGCCATAATCTTTCCTTTATCGAGCTTTGCGTTGAGGATACTTTGATAGACGGTTCCTCCAGCGCACATGAGAGGGGCCGCTTTCTCAAAGGCAAGCGCGTCGGGGAGGTGGACTGTCCATAGCGCATCCGCAAGAAAGTATTCGGCCATGCCACCATCACCATTGAGGCCAGCAAGAGTGACCTTGTCACAATAGTTGTACGTCTTGTTCTTGCATTCACGACATTCATCTATGACGGACGGGTTTATGAGTGGGACATGACTATGAATTAGAGGGATAGAGGTGATACGTACGACACGGGTTACGGTATAGATATGCTCCCACTCTATCGCCAATATTGAATCCAGTGACGCCTTCGCCGAGTGCCGCGACGACGCCAACGTTTTCGTGGCCGGGAACAGTCGGTAGCGGAGGATTGGTGTGTCCCTATCAATTGATCAGCTCTAAACATCAGATTGTCCTACGAATGTCCGCAACATACCGCCAAGGCCATGACATCTGTATGACAAAATCCCGCCGCCTTTGAGCAGACAAGGATCATTCCTGGTTTAACCTTTGGCACCGCGACATCCGTGCGAAGCGTGTACGGTTTATTAACTTCTTCAATTAGTAAGGCTTTCATTTTGGATGGAATTTGCGGCATGCTTCCTAATTGCACTGAGCGTCAGAGAACTAATCGCGCTGTGTTTGTCGAGGTCAAGGTTGTTAGAGTAAATACTCGACCTTGTAAGGCCATGCGTTAAGCGCCAGTTCCCTGTAAGGGTGGAGCTCGACTTCAAAGTGTAAGTTCCGAGTGCGATGAACATCTTCTTACGTGAGGAAGTTCCTGGGATGGAGCGGAACATACCTAAACACTCAAATGAGCTGCAGATACGAGCGAGCACGCTCCTTTCTGATGCAAATTTCATGTGGAATAAGAACAGGGTATATACCGTATACTAAGTGACGAACAAACGGAATGA